CCTTGGCAGTCTTTACATTGGAGGTAGCCTGCGTGCTTGTAATGAGAAATCTCTGGAACCACTGACCTTATTCTCTAACGGAAAACTACGCTATCCCATTTACACATCTTTAATCACAGCAATAATGATAATATTATTAAATTAATGTAGGTATTGTATTTTATGTATATTTTTTACAAAACCAAGTCTGACGACAACAAAACATATATCCCATAATTATCATTTATTGAATGTCTTGCTACATTGTGCATTTCAAATTAAAATTAAAATTAAAATATCTTTATTCAATATAGAAGCATTACACTTATTGATGTGAAAATTACGTCAACATACTACCGGTTCGGAAAAAATGGCCACTAACCTGAGATGAACTGGAGAAAGAAACTCAGCGGAACAATTTTTTTAAACATAATTTGACAAAAAAACATGTTTACAATATATTAAATTCCACTTGAAAGAGTCTGGAGCGATCAATTCATTTCCAGAGAGACAATTGTGATTGTGTTTTAAAAACCTATACATTTTCGCATAAAATATTTACTTATTCTACGCAATTTAAATTTCAACATGATTCCTGAAATAGCATTAACTGTGTATCAGAAAACAGTCCTTTCCCATTGAACTACTCTTTTGTCCGGTTAATATACTAGATGCTCCTTTGAAATTGTTTAAAAAAAAACGACCAAGTGCGAGTCGCCTGATACAGCCTGGATAGACAGATAGACGGCGGAGTCTTAGTAATAGGGTAACGTTTTGCCGTTTGGGTGCCGAATCCTAAAAAAAGTAAAACCAAAGTAATGATAGAAAAATTACTTACAAAAGCAGAATTACTGTTTATTATATTAAATAAGTTTTTGAGAAAGTGGCGTTGCGTCCGCTATTACAGTTGTGAATGAACAAACCTTCCGTTTCACGCCAGTCTTCTGTGAGGTCCTGGTACTTCCCCGGGCAAACTTGCCTATTTATGCAACAGAAGAAACTGCTTTGTTGCAGTGGCCGACTGCACCTATTCTACCTAATAAGTAAAAGCTAATTTGGCGACATTTGGAACAATTAAATTCCGGTATATTTTTTTTAACTGTCGCATGTCGGTGCAAAAATCTAAGATTGATTCGATTACGATTATGAAGTTATTCATCCTAACAATATCTTTTATAATAAATGTAATAAAACAAATGTAAATTTGTTCTTAACCACTCATATCTCTTACTCAGTTAAGGAAGATAAATAAAAATCACATCAATATTAAATGTAATCATAAACTAAGTAAGAAAAAAAATTATGGAGATATTTTTGCGTTAAGCGTTTACGTTTTTACCGAAACAACAGCCGCTAATACATCAATTGACTGAAAAGAAAATAAGTATGTACTTAATTTTCAAAATGATCGCAATTCTCACGTCTTTGCGAGTTACGAATGAACATTTAAAAATCGAACCATTGTTCATTTATGAACGCCAAGTTCATGGTATTGACCTTGTTAGTTGTTATTTAAAGTAAGAAGTTTGCATTATAAATAATTATAGATTTAAAGTATATTTAACAGTCTTACCATATTTATCTTATATTTTAATCGTAAAAGCACAGGTTTGGATTTATCTTTAGCAAATGAAAATAGTCATGTGATTAATATGAGTGTTTCTTTGCGAGTGTTCCATTTTTTTTTTTTTCAATTTTTCTTTACTCAAATAGCGTTAATGTTCCTTTCGAGGTTTTTACGTGGACAGTTCGTTGTGATGGGACGATTTAACGAAGCTATTTTGCATCAATTATGTAGAACTGGCGTCACAGGTAGTGTGTGTCCCGGAATTTCGGGTATTTCGCAATACTTACACGGTGTAGACGTCTACTGGGACGCCAGCCTAACCGAGTGAACGCATAGCCCGCCGCCGAACATATTTCGGTTAGGATGCCGATGTCACGGCAGGTGGGCTGTATCCTTTGGCTTTCCAACTAGGAGAAATGTTTGAAATACTCCTCAGCGAAAAGCAGCCTCTTGCGCCATTCATTTAACGACGTAAACCACAAGCTAAGGCATTTGTAGTAGAGTGTGGCATTAATTACCTACTAGCATGTAATAAGCGTCAACATTCACGCCTGCCGTGCAAAGGGATAGGCAGACAACTTTTTCGATTCTTATATATAATTTTAGACAGTTGAAATTTCACAAATGATGTATTTATGTTGCCGCTATAACAAAAAATGCCAAAAAACAATAAAAAAATATTTACGATAGTGGTACGGAACCCTTCGTGCGCGAGTCCGACTCGCACTTGTCCGATTTTATATATGTTTCGCCTTTTCAACATCAATACATATTCACATACACACGCCGTGCACTATTCTTTTGTTTAAATTTCATATTAAATCAGTTAAAGTGAAATTAAAAGAGAAGAAGGAAAAAAAGAAAGTTTTTACTTTGAGTCCATAGAGTAGTTTCATCGAACACAGAACTCGCGGAAAAGCCAGAAGCCAAGAGCTTGATACAGCCCTCCGCGTTGGGTAGGGCCGTCGTCGAGTTCATTTTGCTTTGCGGGTAATTTATGTAAAAGTATCAGCCTATACATGTCCCATTGCTGGGCAAAGGCCTCCCCTGTACAGAGGGTATCAGGGCATAGTCCACCACGCGGCCCCACTGCGGATTGGCGGACTTCACATATCTTCGAAATATTTTTTTTGTTATTATTTCGAAAATAAGCCAGGTTTCGCCACGATTTTTTCCTTCACCGCGGAGCACGTGATAAGTCAGCACTTAAAGTTAAAAACTTCATTGGTGCCGGCACCGGGGATCGAACTCAGGTTGCTCGAGTACATTGAATAAACGGCGAGAGCCCGGACACTGAGCTATCACGGTAATTTATGTACTAGTTAAGAAATATAGAGACGGTATTTCATCCTTTTTTGTATTAAACGAAACTCTTATCACGGTCTTTATTGCCGAACGGGAATCTTCATTTCCGCTTAGCCTAAGAACCACCAATATTGATACCACCAAAACACCAATTTAATATCGAGTTGAACTCGAATAACATAAAAGTACTTGTAGACGTACTTTTAACAAAGGTACACCCGCGTCACCTTGATTTATTTTTACTTACTGTGGAAAATAATTCCATCATAGAAATCTAAAATGTATATTATACCTTTACTGTATTATTGTTTTTTATATGGTTGAATAAAAGTTTGCGTAAAATAAAAAAAATGTAACTATGTTTTACTTTGCCTACAAATACTCGTAATCTCTAGTGAAAATTGTTAATATCAAATAAAATATTCATGTCATTTTATGTATGTCATACGCCTTCATTTTGAAAAGAATACATTTAAAGTTTTCTTTCTAAAAGTGACATATACATTACTTCTAGTAACTTCAATATATTTTTATTATAATGCAACTTCGTTTTTAAACGAAACTTGAAAATGGAATTTGTATTCGTTGGGAAATATGTTGGTATAGTTATTTTTTTTTTTATTTGAAAATTACCTTTTTTAAGAAATACTACTCGTCTATAAGTAAAGTGTAATAACGTAACCCATTATTTCATGTAACTAGAATAAAGAAGAGAAAAGTATACATAAATACCATTTTTAGTATCAACCGTACAGCTTGAAGCGAGTGACCTGGTACATTAGATTTAAAACTTCAATGCAAAAAGTCTTATCGTACGTAACGTCGAGAAAAGTTTTCAATAGGCCTGTCGCGACAGCAGCCCCGTACGACTGGGCCGCGCAACCCCACGCGGGAAACTGAGTCCTCTGATATCTCGCCACTGTATATAAAGAAACTGGAGCACAGTACTACCTCAATCCACAGAGTATACGGTGTCATTTTCTTCAAATCGGCAATCACAGATGGAAAGCTTTTGGGTTAAAGATAAAGGGCAAAGCAACGTACTAATATCATTTTACTGCCAAACGATACTTTCAGTATTTTTTATGTGATATATTTTTGTGATGTAATTTCAGTAGATCTGTTTTTTCTTCAAACTTCTGTGTTAGATGGAAAGGTTTTGGGCTAGAGATGAAAAGCAAGGAACGTAGTATTAATACAAACATTATAATTACAACATCATTCCAATCTTTTTTTAATTAAAAATCTACTTTCTCGTTTACCCGGTGGCGCCGTTGCCAAACTATTGACTTTAGCGTCGGGGGTCTTGGGTTCGATTCCCACACGGGCAAGTATTTCTGTGACCCACAGATTGTTCCAGATCTGGGTGTTTGTTTCCCAATGAGGGTTGACGTCAGGCAGGCGGCCGGTCGTAAAAAACATAGACAAAACCGCACAACATGATTCACATGTTTTACCAACCCTACCTAGGTGGGATAAGGGAAGGAGGTTGATGATGGTGACTCGTTAACATTTACCTTTACTCCTTCACGGTGCACAAGCAACAATTTGTGGAACAGTAACAGACGGAAGAGATTTATGTCACAACAAAATTAGTTTCAACACGATAAATAACGTTACGTCCTTAAAATAAATTAAGTAAACAACATCTGTTCACAAACGTTCACCGCGTAATATTGCACTGCGCACGTGCCTCCAACTTAAAAGCTTTGATTTTGCACTTTGGTTAAGTTCTTTTTAGGGATCCGTACGCAAGGGTAAAACGGGAGCATATCACTAAGACTCTGCTGTCTGTCTGTCCGTCTCTCTCATCCCATTTACTGCAGTCAAACTGATCCGAGACCGAAAACAAAAATCAGCAATTCCATTCACTTTAGGAACAGCTCAAAAATGTCAATCTCTACCGCGATTGTACTTAAAATTGTGAGAAATCTTAATATACATTATGAATTTTATTTCTGCTCACCTTATGTTACTCGCATTTATTAGCGTTGAACAATTTTTAACAAATAAAGTTTTAGTGAAAATAAAATCGTTAAAAGTTCGATAGCTAGCGTTAAGGTTCGAATAGCTGGGAGCACTAAAGATTTTTCTATGAGTTGCAGTTCGGCTCTGTATTGGAAAAAGGGAAACTAAACTAAGTCCGTACCCGCCGTCGCTTTCCATTTTCCCGCTTGCTGCCACGCAGGTCTATGGTGTGGAAGCCATCATCGACTGCGTCATAAGCCTTGTTTACGCACCCGCCCCCCGCCAACGCCATCGCACCACACTGAAAACAAGAAAACTTAATTTTATAATACACCAGTTGACCCGGCAAACGTTGTTTGCCATATAAATTATTTATAGAGGAATCAGAACGCACGCATAAAGTGTTTGACAGGTTACACAGACATAGTTGATAGGTTGACAGGTACAGTTTGTATGGGAAAATAAAATTGTTGCCATTTCGATTTCCAAGCAACCAGGAAGGAAGTTAGGAAGAAGAAGGAAGTTGAAGGAAGTTATGATATAATCAATAAATAAGTGTTGAAAGAAACAATACTGGGGACTGCCGATAGAAGTGAAAACTAAATAAGTTAACAATAATAGTTAATATATTTATTTATAAATTAAATTATTATTAGGTATGTTAAAATAATTGTATGTATAATAGTAATGATTAAAATAAATAAAGTTCGGTGACGATGACGCGAGTTCCATGAATTTGTTCACCATAAGTGTTCAACGCGCCTAAAGATGTTTTACTTCAAAATATACTAAGAGAAAGTTAAATTGATTTTATATGAAGACATGTTTGATTTTATATTTTTAATTCGACATTCCACAAATTTGCGATAAGACATAAGTTCAGAGAAATCGACTAGAAACATAACATGCTAATCTATGCTTTTAGTTTTTATCTATGGTTGTGTTTAAATAATGAATCATTGCGCGCCAAAAATTGCCAAATACTGCTTTAATGGAAGGAATCTGGGTCGTTAACTTGAATTGTAATAAAGTTCGGATAATAACCTATTTTAACACTCCGCCACTATTGAAAATTTTCTTATATAGAAAAGTTGGGCATCTCGTCAAAAATAACATTCAGCCTGATAATAATCGTTTTCAAAACAAATCTCCGGATTCTAGACTATAAGTGGGATCGTCTAAAAAGTATTGGACCGTTATGGTGAAGTCTATTCTTAGCCATATACTATAAGTAGTTTGTTATTAAACAAAATATATTACTAGGTTGAACATTATTGTAAAATTGACGATCCAATTGGTGTGGGGAGCAGTGAACCCTCCCTCTTGCGCCAGAAGGCGTGGGTTCGATCCTTATGCACGGACTACTTATAATGGGAAAATATTGTGTGATGAACAGTGTTTTTCCAGTGTCTGGGTGTTTATATATTTACAATATGTATTTATTTATAAAAGTACAAGTTTACATATGTACAATATGTATTTATTTATAAAAGAGAAGTATGTTCAAGCATGTTTAACAGTTATCTAGTACCTATAGTGCAAGCTTTGCTTAGTATGAGACTAGAAAACGTGTAAAAATGTGTCTGAAAATATTTATTTATTCTGTAATCATTTGGAGTGCATTAAACCGCGTTAAGGTCACAACGTAGTAATAATTTCTCCAATAACTTTATGACACCGTGGGAAGTTTGTTCAGTTTCTTAATGTTATCGTAATATATGCATAGAGCATGGATGACATGCATTTATTCATGGCGTGCGGAGCGAGGTCACGGTGGGAGGCAATTTGTGGCGACCTTTGTTCCCCAACAAAAAGCGCGATGGAAGCCTCTAGGCCTCATCTCTATAAACAATTTTAAGTAAACACTGACAACACCCAGAAGAGATTTACATATTAACTAAAAATTCAATTATAACCAACAAAAATTGCTGGTATAACACAGCACTGATCATTGTTTACCTCAAAGTGGTTGCCTAAAACGTTAATTAGTCGAGTTATAGAACAAATATCTAAAAATATCTATCTCACTTTGTGTCACGTTTGACTCTCTATTTGTGATGTCTTCCGTCAATCACAAACACTTTTAGGTCACAATGTGGTAAGTAATGAACATTTTATGAAACGCTTTATGACGCGTTAGTATGGGAGTGGTCATCTCATTAGAAATCTGAAAAACGTAAATCTTTTTGAATACAAGGGTATCTAGTGGGATCCACGGTGGATCCGACGTACCTTTGTCCCCTTCCTCAAAGAGATCGATGAGGTCTTTGCGCATATATATATATATATATATATATATACTATTATTATTATATATATATATATACTATTATTATTATATATATACATACTATTATTATTATATATATATACTATTTATTTTATGTAAGTGCTGTTTGTTTTCCTAATCAATAAAAATAAAAAATAAAATAAATATCCTAGCTTCTACCTTCTTTTCCGCGGTTGGCTGTACAATGTACTGTGCCCTAGCTTCCTGCTCCGGCGAAATTGACTCATTGGGAGATTGAAGTTGCTACGGGCAAGCTCAAGTGAACTGTATTCCTACACTCTTCTAATGGTTCACGTCTTCTTGTATCTTGTATTAACTGATGTTTGTGCTTTCAGTCCCGAGACTATTAAAGCTTCATCTGACGCAGAACCGGTGGGCTAGCCAGAACCCACGGGTTTGGCCCCTCCGCTGTGGGTAGGGCCGCGCATGTGCTCATACGTGCGTTTAACTATGGTGTGTCATCTTAGGGCCATCGAGGTTGCGGTTCGGACCGAAACCCCGATGGCCGTCGACTGTGCAATTAGCTAATCGGTGGCTGGGGGCGGTGAGAACCGCCCCGGAACGCGGGTGTATCTTGTGTACGCGTTGTGTTGGTGCGAGGGCGAACTAGTGTGTTTGGCGTTGCACAAACTGTGGGTGTAGTGTTATCCGGCGGGACCCCCGGCGGTGGGTCCGACGTATCTAAGTACCTGGGTTCACGTCTTTTCTCCATTTGCGTAACCAATCACCGATGTTATCGACGGCACTTTTTCGGGGTTCCGTACCTAAACGGTAAAACAGGACCCTATTGCTAAGACTTCGCTGTCTGTCCGTCTGTCACCGATCTGTTTAACCGTGATAGTTAGACAGTTTAAATTTTCACAGAAAATGTATTTCTGTCGCTGCTGTAAGAAAAAAAACTAAAAAACAGAATAAAAAAATATTTAAGTGGGGCTCCCATACAACAGACATGATATTTTTGCCATTTTTATAAATAATGGTACGGAACTCTTCGTGCGCGAGTCAAACTCGCACTCAGCCGCATTTTTTTAATATAAAAATCCGTAGAATATAATTAATATAATTAATTAAATATATAATTTTTTCTTAATATAACTTAATTAACTTCCGTAGAATAACATTATCCTGCGTTGTAAGGACGTTACATACACAAATTTCACGTACACAAACAAATCAAATCAAATCAAACAATCGCAAATCCAGATGCGAAACAACTATCTGTGGATCACACAAATACTGGTCCCGTGTGGGAATCGAGCCCACGACCCCCGGCGCCGAGGCCAATACCTTGGCAGCTGCGCCACGAAGTCATAACTTTTGAGGTGATAGTTGATCGGCGGAGATGTTTATCGAGTAGTATAGGGCTCTGTCATCTGCGAAAAGCGCGAGATTGACTTTGACAACTAATCGCTGAAACATATGGTGGTCAAAACTCAAGCTACTTTGCGGAAAACTAGCTTACAATAACATACCGGTAGGCTATGTTATTGTGTTCTGTAAGGTTTAAGAAACAATGTTGTTTTTTGAAGTCTTGTTTTTATGCAAACCTCATTTACATTTTCTTTGTTTTGTTGGTGTGATTGTATGTGGTAAGAAAACCCTAATACTATAAAACTAAATTCCTTATTACTATAAAGCGCTTTTTCTTTAATAGCAGTTTTACATTTACAGCAATTTTATACCCACAAGTTGCGCATAAACAAACACAGAGATCCGGAACAACTGTGAGTCACCTACATACTTGTACCGTGCGGGAATCGAAAGGTGGACCGCGATGCGAACACAAAACAAACAAACAAAACTTTGTTATATATTCTTCATATTCTCTCACATTTTCATACAGTATACAATTACAGAATATCAAGTGTACCGGCCAAGTGCGAGTCGGACTCGCGCACGAACGGTTCCTTACCATTATCTATGAAACGGCAAAACATCATGTCTGTTATATGGGCAGACCCTCTAAATATTTTTTATTCTGCTTTTAAGTATTTGTTGTTATAGCGACAACAGAAATACATCGTCTGTGAAAATTTCAACTGTCTAACTATCACGGTTCATGAGATACAGCCTGGTGACAGACGTACATACAGACAGACAGGGGATTCTTAGTAATAAGGTCCCGTTTTACCCTTTGGGTACGGAACCCAAAAAACCCACACCCAGGACAAAATTTAATCCATCACCTGGCAGTACTCTAACTGTGAGAGCGTTAACCTCGGTCGATCCAAAAACTCAAAAACACTTGTTAAGCCGAGTGTACCACATTTTAAAGCACTGTAATGTGTTTCGAATGGATCGGCGGCTGCGGTTTTTGTCTTCAGACAATCCGCGACTCACGTGTCAGTGCCAACAATTAAGATAACGGTACAACGGTATGGTAACGAAGACTCGGAATTAATAAACGGGAAGTCGGACGGAACGTGACTAGGAAAATAATATAGTTTTTTTTTTTTTTTTATGTGAAAAGTTGCCAAACGAGCAGACGGTTCACCTGATGTTAAGTGAATACCGCCGCCCATAGACATCTGCTACACCCGAGGGTTTGCAGATGCGTTGACAACCTTTTTGGAAATTGGGCTCCGGCTACCTCACTCACCAGAAGAAACGCGAAAGTATTTGTCATACTTCCATTTTACGCCGGTCTTCTTTGAGGTCGTGGTACTTACCCGGACGAGCCTGCTCATTCGTGCAACAGCCGAGGCTGCTGCGTGGCTCTACCACCGTTAGTATATAGTGGAATAACTATAACATTATTAGATATTTAACTGCAATGGAATTTGAGTAAACATTGAAAGGGCACGCATACTGTTGATTGAAACCCAAAGAACAGGTGCTACAACAGATCGTGTCTTTGCTTCTTTCTGTACCCAATTCTCTATAAACACTGTATAGAACGGTAGTAAGACATGGTCATACTTTGGAAGATTCAAAATGAATCTGATGCAAAGCAAGTTTAAGTCAAGTTTATTGAAGTAATCTTTTATGTCAAAATAGCATAAGTCGCCATAGTCGACTAAAAACAGAAACAGAGCATGTACGAGCGTTGCTTTATTTTTTTTATTGTTAAAAATTTAATGTGTAAAGTTTTCGCTTTGGTATTGTTATGGCAATGTTAATTTTCTTCAACGGTAACATTGTGGAAACTGCAATAAATTATTTTACCAATTCTCACAATAGTTCTATGACTATAGTTGTGCGATCATAAGGAATCCAAGGCGTCATATCCTCAAGCACTATAACAAATATGAGGCAACTGTTGTCAGTTATCTGCGCGGTGCCCGCTTTCACGGAGCACTGCCCAATTCTGCCCACCTCACTTCGAAAGTTACCCGAATTAATTACGACATAAAATTATACGAGCGAATACATTAAAACATTTATTGTGTACGTTCGAACACGCCACTCATTAATAATTCATGTCGGAGCAACAACAAACCCCGAAACTTGGAAAGTTGGCCGCGTGATATTATTTTGTTGGCATTGTTCATCACCTTTTGGCCAAGAGATATGATGAATTTGATCCTTAATGGAAACAACTTTATTAATATACATAAATTTGATATTTACTCGATAATATTTATAAGCAACTGAGCCCTAAAGGCGTGATGCAAGTACGATATTTTTCCTGAAATTTTCGTATAATAAGATCGGTGTAACGTTAATTGTTATTAGTACACGTTGAAAGAGGGCCAGTAGTTTTCTCGTCCAAAGATTAAATATTTATATTATTTTATAAATGCTATGTCCTCTACATAGAATTTCTTTATGAACAATTCGTATCGAGAGTTAATAACTGGAAATAAGTTAATCGTTAAAGTATTAATCAACAAACTCTGAAGAACGTGAAAAACTGTCTCTATTTCGATAAATGGTCTGGTGGTATTCACAAATTAAAGCATAACACATGCGGTATCGTGGAAATCCGCAAGTTAGACCAAAACAGAAAGCATTTCCACACAACTTGGTATTCTAATCTAAAGAAGATTTTTCAATAAGACTTGCCTTAAGGCTTTCTAAAATTAATACGAATAGACGTTAATAGAATTGACTTATTGCTGTGGCTGGTGACAGGAAGACCGTTTATTTTCTTGCTCAAAAGATAAACATAACAATCCAGAAAGGAAATGCAGCAAGCGTTATTGGAACAATTACACGTGGGCTAGTTTGTTAGATAGCTTTTTTTTATATAAAAAATTACCAAACGAGCAGACGGTTTACCTGATGTTAAGTGAATATCGCCGCCCATGGACATTCATACACCCGAGGGTTGCAGACGCGTTGGAAACCTTTTGAAAATTGGGCTCCGGCTACCTCACTCACCAGACGAAACGCGAAAGTATTATATTTCCACTTTACGCTGGTTTTCTATGAGGTCGTGGTAATTAACTGGTGGTAACGACCCTACCCTTTCGTGCAACAGCCGAGGCTGCAGCGTGGCCCTACCACCGTACTAATGTAGTAGCATGTAATTTAGTTTGTATTTAATATTGTTAATATTTGTGTACAATAAAATACAAGTATAAAATTAAATTAAATTAAAGGTTGTTGGAAGTCAACATAATACAGAAATTGACTATATAAAAATTTTGTGTGACATTAGAGAGTAACCGAGGAAGGTATGCATTATTTATATTATCATTGAATTTCTTACAGTTGCCTATTAACGATAAAACGACGTTATTAACATGGTATTGTTTCTTAACCGTCACGTTTTTGAAATTGAATGATCTTTAACCGTTCAATCGTAAACCTTATCTTGGGAAAGTGATAATAGAAAAAGAGGTTTCTGTTGCAGAAGCAAATTAACCATAATTGCAATGTTCCAATTAAATGTTGAGCCGAGCTTACAAGATCACACAGAGAAACATGTATATTGAACAGGAATAAAGTACATACTTCATGAACAATTAATATACACGTACATTATGTATTATATAAAAGGGTAAGAGTCCCTCTAATATAAATAACACTTGTAATGTGTCAATATTTCTTTATTAAATCTAATTAGAAGCTTGTTTTAATTTTCGGATGCTTAATCAACTAAGGATCAATCTCTTTTTTTAGTTTTATTTAGTTATAATACAATTAAATTATTTCTCGTATCTAATTCCTAATGGAGCCAAATGTTAACAACACGACGACGACTCTTGCGCCAGGGGCTGTGGGTTCGAACCCCAATACTGGAAAACTATTGTGTGATGAACATTTTGTTTTTCCAGTGTCTGGGTGATTATATATGTATAACATGTATTAATTTACAAAAGAAAAGTACTCATAGTACATGCGTTGCTTAGTTTGGGACTAGAGAACGTTGTGTAAAAATGTGTTCTACGATATTTATATGTATTTATTTATATTTATAATTAGGTACACAATTTTATTCAAGTGTTTCGAATTCCTTGTCAATAAAGTAAAAGAACTTTTTAAAATTAATATAATTATTGTATATATACAACAATTCACAAGTCTTCAATTTTCGTTAAATTAGCATTTGATATTGTTAACTTGCTCCAACTATCATACGAATTTGTTTATTTGGACATATTTGAATAGTTTGAGTGTGTTTCTTAATACATAAATACATAATTAATGTATCTACACAGATAAGGTATGTATAATGAACAAAGTCCTTCGTAATAGAAGCAATAGGTCCGCCTCATATCGATGCAATCTTCTCAGGTTTCCAGATATTGCAAGTTAATTGTGATGATTATAGTTCTGCGGTAGGGTTGTGTTGTGGACTAAGCCCTAATTACCTCTGTATAGAGTAATAATGCTTTCCATGAAAAAATAAAGAAAACTGAATTGACTGCTTCACACAAATGTTTCAACAGATACAAAAATATCTAGATGGACATTTTGTCAAAAAAATCGTAAATGATTTACTATAATTTTTAATATTATTTTTAAAATCCGCTTCACTCAAATATGGAGGAAAATTAGATCTATAATCGCAATTTTTTAACGTACATCGTTTTGTTTAACCTAACGACAAAGTTAAAACATGGCGTGTCCTAGCAACCAGTGTGGACAAAATAGGTTTTCATGCAAACAAAAGATCTAAATTTATAAATAAATCTATTTTACGGTTTTTTCTCGTTTAATTTGTTTTTACAAATCAGAGGTTTCAAAACGTCATTGTTTAATAAAACCAAGGGTACATTAAAAGATATGCGTTATAAAAATTCGCAGATCTTAGTACCTAATTTTATTAAAGTGAACTCAAAACAGCCAGATTACTAAAAACAGTTTAGTTTAAACCAATTATCAAATATGTAAGATTAAAACATGTAGAAAAAGTACGAAAAGATTGTCGCCGCTGTGGGAATCGAACCCACGTCTTCGGCATTCGCGGCCTGACGCTCTAGCCACTGACTAAACGGCTGATAGCCACAGCGGCTGTTTAATGTTCAATCTTAAGTGCAGAGATTAGCACTATAAAACACTTTAAAATTTATAAATATGTAAGAGTTTATTCTTCAATGCAGAAAGGCGAAAAAAACTACGTTACTATCAAATAAATTAGATATATAGGTGCGATTAAGGTCTTTATAAGTGTTTATACGAGGGGCGTATTGTATTCTCGGTAATGTATTGTAATGTTATGTATTCTCGGTATTGGGATGATATGCTAATAATGAGGGAAATTAAATTTTCTCATTAATTAAAGACGCTCTTTTAGGGCATATATAAAATTTCATTTAATTATCATCTAATATTCAAGATATCATAACGAAAAAGCAACTACGATGACTGATAGGATAATGCTGGAAAAAAATCGAGCGTCGCGCTGTGACAAAATTTCTTGTAAAACAAGGACTCGAAAAGTTATTCACGAAGAAATATTGACCAAGATTCTGATCCTTCAATATGTACTATTCTGAAGTGGTCTAGTGACCTCAAACGGGACACAGAGAGTATTTAATAAGACCCCCATGCCGGTGAGCCAGTTACTGCGGAAGAAAACGTCAAAATCCTTGAGAAATTTGTGTCCGAAGGTGTCCTTGTAAAAGTGAAAACATTAGCAGAGAGGACAAAGCTATCAGTGGGTACCATTCGCACTATCACTTCATGTGTGATGACACGTAGGTTCATCAATATAATCCTGAGAACATGCAACAGTCCATGCAGTGGCATAAAAAAGGAACAGACCAACCAAAGAAGTTTAAAGAGGAAATAAAAGAAAAAAGACTTGGAATATTAACTTCAGATGTCTTGCTTCTTCACGACAATGTGCCGGTTTACGAAGGGTGCATTGCCAAGACGGTTATGTGAGATGGCGGATTTGAAGGAATTAATCATCAACATCAACCCTTCAGCGCGGACCTACGTGTGATTACTTTCTGTTCCCCAACCTCAAGAAAGATCTTCAAGGCATTTCTCCGACGATGAAGAGTTGAAAGTGGCAATTGATGAGCATCTTTCAGACCAGGAAGAGTATTTTTAGAGGATATTGAAAAATTACTTTGCCGCTCAAATAAGTTTGTTGAGGTGATAGGAGACTTCATTGAAAAATAAATTCTATTCAGAAGTTTCTGATTATTCTTTCATGCCTATACAAAGAATAAACTAGAGGCCCGTCGTATGTGAGATAAAACTATTGAAGTCTTAACGTGAATAACATTTTATAATTACCTGTACGACAACCTTCACTTATTCATTTCGACCAATCCGTGTATAAAAGCGAACAAGTTAGGAAAATAAAAAAAACACTAAAAACACAATAAAAAAAACAATAAGGACACGATAAATGACACTGGTTACAAAACTGTGCCGCGGCTGTGACGTAACGGAGCGGTGGAAAAAGTAAAAGTGGATTGCGCGGCGCGGTTCGTGGTTTGAATTTCGAATTTCGACTATTACGCGCGAAACGTGCGCCTTTTCACCTGACGCGCGGTGGACTGGCGCTCGCGCCGGTAGAGAGGTCGAACGCCACGAACGCGTTATGAGGTTGTATCGATAACATAGTCACAATCCTGCCTTTGCTGTGACTTTAAAAAAACTTTACTTTTATAAAGCCTATATGAGTCGAAATGAACTTTCTTACCCCATCTCGGATAGCTCTCACCTCATTATCCACTATAATTTAAATAAAAGTAAAGTAAAGTAACAGCCTATACATGTCCCACTGCTGGGCAAAGGCTTCCTCTATACAAAGGGTATCAGGGCATAGTGTACCACGCAGCCCCACTGCGGATTGGCGGAATCACATATCTTCGGAAAATATTTTTTTTTGTTATTATTTTCGAAAATATGCCAGGTTTCCTCACGATGTTTTCCTTCACCGCGGAGCACGTGATAAGTCAGCACTTAAAAATGTCATTGGTGCCAGCACCGGGGATCGAACTCAGGTTGCTCGAGTATATTGAATTAAAGACGAGCGCCCGGACACTGAGCTATCACGGCTCTAAGTTATTTCAATATATAAAATTAAATGTTTTCGGATTACATCGGAACATAACAATTGTATAGTCTATGCCTTTAAAATTACAATAAAAGCAAATACCATCGAATGAATGCTGCTTTTAGTAGCATCGTAGGCTTATGCGGCTACTCTAGTGCTAAAAGTACCTAAATCCATACCTACCGAGATAACACACAGCAATTATTCATAAAGTAATATACATTGTCATGATAAAGTCTGCACATGCATAGAAGAGAATACAAAAGAGAAAGAGAGACATTTGTCAATAGTTTTAATTGCAATGGAGTCTGCTGTTTCACGAATAGGCAAACTTGTTGGGAAAGAACCAAGGCCTTAAGGAGATGAGGTAACCGCAGCCTACATAATAAAAGGGGTATAACGCAACCCACAGAGGCTGTAGATGCCAATTTGCAATAATAATCACTTAATTTCAGTATTGATTTTCAAAGCAACATTAAATAAACTCGATATTGTTTTTGTTTCGATTCAAGAGCTAAACATCGACAAGTCACTTGATGAACATCTCTACCCGGTCAGGGACCGCGCTACAACCTGTTTGACCGGATATGTAGGGTGGCCAGGCGCAATCGGAATAATGGACGATCACGCATCGACGCTCAAGCAGTCCAGCGCTAAAAACATTGTTTTGTTCGATCGAATAGAGCCAACTTTTTATTTTTAACCATCAGCCGAGGGAGAATAATAATCTTCGAAACGTATGTATGTAGTAAGTACGTGTAATTATTTGTGGGAGTGACGTAATTTATATTATTTCAAGATGGCGCCCGCAGGAAAAAATAGCAGGGATGATTTGTTTTTTTTTTAATATAGCCGTTTTTTTTTTCATTTAATTATATTCACGTTAATTTAATTTAATGTTTAGTTCATATAGAAGTCATTCGTTCACAAGCACATTTTTGTGTGTATGTGTTTTTTCCGTTTTACCGTTTCGTATTCGAGTTGAAACTTTGTACCCTATAGGTGGCCCGATAGGATAATCACTTTGAGTAGCTCCCGATTTAGAAAACCTCTATTCTGTGACCGACTGGTACAAATTAGTTTTATTTTTTTACAACTTAGACTTACTGACAGTGTTCGCTGTTGCACGAATGGACAAGTCCGACGCATATGCAACGCTACGGGTGTTGCAAATGTCCATGGGCAACGGTTATCACTTAACATAATGTGAACCGACAGCACGTCGGCTACTTTCTCACATAAAAAAAAGATTAAGGTTGCTGATTTACCATCTCTAGACTCCTAACTGACCTAATTAAGTTCAGCTTTAAATTAGCTCGTCTATGGCTCTGGTGTTCCAAATAGTATCTTTTCAACTTCATAGGAGTGCCTAAAACGTTCGAGGAAGCTTTAATAGTCTAAAGACTGAAAGCGTCTGAAAGCGACATCAGTTAGACAAATCCAAGTTCTTATAATTATTGTTGCCTATAAAAGACATTTTACACCATTTATAGAGTATTTTCAGTGCAAAAAACATCCGCCGATACGTGAATCTGTTTTTCTATCTTGGTGTGATGTTTAGCCTCAGGCGAAATTGAAACTATCTAGTTAGTTTAACCTAAACGAATTGTTTAGTTTCACCTCGCTGTCTCCTAGTTAAAATGAAGTATAATTACGAAATGAACTATATTTTTGTTATATTGTATTTACATGCATAAAACATTTGTGTAAAATACATATACACTTCAGTACTGAGGCAAAAAAAATAACATGAGAATTAATGTCGAGTAGTATTCACTACTGTACAGTACGTAAGAGTAAACATTTCGGACATGAGAAGTTGTTTTGTAGCATTTGTAGCCCATAGTGAAGTTGCCATACATATCATTCACACGAAGACTGCCCGATCATACAAACCGTAGCGCCCTAACGACCTTTGTTGTTGCGTGTCCAGATTCCTCACCGATGACGGCGTGCTGGTCACGGTTCGTTTATCCGCGATTTTCTGCCGCGTGGTCTCCTTATCGGATACGCTACAGCATATCTAGCGCGTGAGACACGCCGGCTTGGGAAGCTGTTGCATCGAAGTTCTTGAAAGGCGTACTTGCCAGCAAATTGCCTGCTATAACTCTTCATAGATGCCGCATGAGAATTCAATTTAACCTGCCCTAAATAGTAACGCAGCCGCGGTTAGGGATAGGCTCTCTACAAGAGTCCCACCGATCGGCGATTGCCGGTTGAGACACCATGTAATGGGGATGTGGGTAAGTACCACGACCTCACAGAACGGCGCAAAGTGGAAGCATAATACTTTCGCTTTTCGTCTGGTGAGCGAGGTGGTCTTCAGACCGCATCACCAAGAAAATAAAAATTTCTACTTTTCTGAATGCGGATAACAAAATTAATTTGGGACGCCTAAATGATTTGACGTTTAAAATGGTTTTAGGTAACTTTTAATGGTTCATTGTTTGACTGTTCAAATTTATACAACAGTGCGACGTTACAAGGACGAACTGAAAAATTAGAGCAGTTTTTTTTTTAAATTTAGAAGTATCGTTATGGAAACAGTGGAATTGGGATTTTTTTTTTTTATTTATTGAACATAATGTAATCTTTTTCTTTACCGGTATCCCTTTCACTGCGATTCGCTTTTCTAATAAGACTTAATTTTCTCATACGATCTTATGGTACCTTCCTTATAATGCTATCAGCAGTCCCATAAGTATTAAAATTAATTTTTAAATCCATTTTTTTTAATAGTAATATTATAATGAAATGTTACATCATGCACTAAAAGCAAAGTAAAACATCAATTAATAATTGAATTTATTTGCCGCAAAATTATTGAAAAAAGCATTTTTAAACAAACAAATAACGTGAAATTAAAAGTAACGTAAATATGTATTACATAAAATAATTCCACTTCCCCTTACGTCTGGAGACTGGTTTGGACTTGTTTGTTACTTTCTTCGTTTTTAGAGTCCACAAGATAGTTATCTTAGTCGATGTCAGTGCAGATGTAGTACTATTTTAGAAAGTGGAGATGTTTTCAACAGTTTATGGCATAAGGGATTGAACTGCCGTAGATCTATAGCCCTTGATGTTTAATCATATGGATGACGCAAGTCCATACTGCGCGACATTCAAAAATTGTTCTACTTTACATTATATAACATTTATAAGTGAATTTAATGGATGATATAGAACGTATAGAATGGAAAAAAATAGCAGTCTACTAGCGTCGTCTCTATGTAGAGATGGGCTACTTAAAAATGTGATATTTTGGAGATTTTTAGGACAGAAGGAATTCCCAATATACACAATCTCTCTAAAATATTGAGTACGCTTCTACTGTCCGTCCACTACCTTACGCCATCAGGTGGGGTAAACACTATCCAATGGGAAATAATTTCTTAAAAAAACGGCCAAGTGCGAGTCAGACTCGCGCACGAAGGGTTCCGAAATATCATGTCTGTTGTATGGGCCCCACTTATATTTATTATTTCGTTTTATAGTATTTGTTGGTATAGCGGCAACAGAAATACGTCATCTATGAAAATTTCAACTGCCTAACTATCACGGTTATAGAGAATTATACAGCCCGACAGAATGCGGAATCTTAATAATAGGGTCCCTTTGGGTACGGAACCCTAAAAACGTTGTTATATATGTAGTGGCAGCTTCAATGTGGGTTAAACAGACATTCCCGCAGCGTGAAAAGGTTCCATGGTGTACGGTGTCGGCTCTATGTAGAGCAAATAAGCCGGCGGCTGGGAAGAACTGGAACGACCTTTTGTATAAGCCTCCAGTTTCCCAGTTTTAAATATCGACAGGCATTCGTCTCTTATGCGGCCAAAGCACAGTTATGCCTCGGTTTTTTGAAAATTTGTTCGAAAAGACAGGAGTTGCTCGATTTTAATTTTGACAAGTATTTTCTAAGCATATAATTTGATAAGAAATTAACTATAATTCTTTGTTTCTCCTTCGAAAAAGAAGTTTTATTGGATATATATTATTTCAATAAGTTTTCCCAGAAAAAAAAGGAATATGTTTTACCCAGTCGGATGTCCTTAAGCCATTGACGACAATATAACGTAATTACATAGAGATTTTAAAAAAAATGTCAGTTTTTTCTCAACTTCTCCTAAAGTATAAAATATTGAAAAAAAAATTACTTTCATCGTTATAAATGGGCTATGCTTCAAGAATAGCTCTTGATTAGTGAATAAACTGGAGACATTATTCATTTATTTTTGTAATTACTTCGTTTTAAGCAATGATGTTTAATAATATAGTTGGGTCATAAACAGAACAACCAAAAAAACTGTGCTTTTTATAAAATTATGTGAAAAAATACTTAAAACATTATTATTTTTGGTAAAAAACACAATTAAACTAACATTTTATCAAATTAATTTAAAATAGCTTTATTATTTTAATTATATTTGAACAAAAATAAAAATTTTGTCAATTTAATCTCCTTCCGTGGACTGTTTCCAGTCTATGCTCATAAGTTAGATATTATATTAAAAATACTCTAAACGAAAAGCATAAATTTTTCATCATTAGTTTGGTTAATAATATCCTATAGTTATTAAAAAATTATAGTGTGAAAAATAATCATCCTCAATTATAAGAATTAATATACATAAACATGTTGTTATCAGTGCTTGCGACCCCTTCCGTGATACAACTAAAATATACATTCGATACAGTATTTAACAAAAGGCAACATGACTTATTTATTTCTGTTGGCAACACTGTTTAGCTGTTAGTTGAAACTTATCGTTGAAAGTCGTGAATTTGCTCTGTGTGAAAATAAAATAAACTTTTGGTTAATTAAGTGATTTTTTGTTATTTATGGCAAAGATCGTTTCAACTTTTCTGTTACGTTAATATTTCGGTAAGTATTATCATGAAAAATACTTGCTGTAATTTTCCTATTGAGATATCGGCGGCCATTGGTAAAAGCTCTATAAGTTGTTTACTAACCACAAAATTTTGTGTTTTGTATAGCATTTTATTACTTCTTTTCCCTTCCGTGGACAAACTTCTCAGTGGACACTGTGTCCACCGAAGGGCAAAGGTCCACGGTAGTGAGTTTTACTTAGCTCCTTAACTTGTATTAATACAAATTTTTGTGTTTAGATCAATTAATATATTAAAGTACGTGTTGCTTCGAGCCGTCTGAATGCTATTTTTTTATTCTGTGCTCTGCTTTTTTTATTATATTTAATGGTTGGAGTAGTATGAGATTTTTCTATATTTCAGGTAAAAATTCTACGAACCTACAGATCAATACTCAAGCTAAGTGATGAAGAAAAAAGAACAGACGACGTGAACAAAAAAATTAGTATGCGCCGAGCACGTATAAAACTGGACGCAACTGCTAACGCAGAAATACGTAAGATGGATAGAGAAGAAAATACTATAGCAAGAGCTAATATTAAAACGATTGGCCGATATATTCCTAGAAAACAGCGCTAAATAAGAATAATGTAAAACCTAGAAAACGCCGTGAGTTATTTAAGATGCGAGAAGCCACCGCTACGCTTCTTGAAGATAATACTCCCCCGATGAGTCATTCTTCATCATCTTAGCCTGTCCTTTATAGAATCAGAGAAATAAGTCCCAACTTGCCCGAATTTACTGAGTGATGGGTCAAGCATCCAATACAGAAATTAGTCAATGTTTTACTTGATTTTAAATTATAATGGCAGAGAATTGAACATTTGAACAATGTTATATGGCACTACAGCGAAAATGATCATGGCAAAGGAGCCCGATGGCGTAGGTGGCTGTGTAAAGGGACTGTGATAAAGACGCGTCAAATTATGATTGTATTATGACGTGTTTAAAGGAAAATTGTAGAGGTATAGAGATTGAGAGTAATTTCCAATTCCGATGAGTCTGATATAATTTTTCCTTTGTTATCAACTAAAAAAAGAACAACCATTTGCCTATGTAAATGGTTGTTCTTCAACTTCACTATCTATACAGTGAAGATGAAGATTCTATATTTTGATTAGAAGTTTACATTTTCCCTATTGTTATATATTTTATTTTTTTCTTGACATTTCTAATGTCAACAGAAGAGAATACACTTCCTTGGACAATTTTATTTTATTTTTAAAGTCAACAAATGTTGTATAATTTGTCTCGTTTTTTATATTAAGTACTTAAGTACAGTGTAATTATTATTTTGTATCAGTTAACAGAGTTTTAAAAGCACAGTTATTGATTGAAAGCCTAGTATTATCTTTTCTGTTGATTCTTACGTCTTTTCCGTGGACACGAAAAAATGTAAATGTGGCCTATTTTGTAGAGAATAAGGTTTTGATCTCTGAATTTAATCATAAAATGATGTTTTTGTTACATTTTATAATAAAAGTTAATTTTTTACATAAAAAGTTACTTTTTTTTTATTTCCAAGTTTTTATTCACACTTTTGTTTATGACCCAGTTAGATTTATGTCCATACTGCAGGGCGTTAAATAATTAATCAGCTTTAAATTATATGACATTTATAAGTGAATGTGACAGGTGATATAGAACGTCTTATAGTTAAAGAGATAGCAGTGTATAGAATTGCAATCTAATTACACCAATTGGTGTAATATAAGTGCCTCAGTTTCGGTGCGCTAATGTCATATCTACCTGTTATTAGTATATTTTCGGTTAAAGTCTATTTTAACAGAGACTCTGTCAACAGATGGCGCCTTATTTTAAACATCGACATACATTACACGAAAATTACTATACCGAAATTTCTATTAGAATGCAAATGAGGTTTTAAAATTGACGTCTAATTTAATTCGATTAAAAAACCCGTTTTTAACCTTTATCTAAACCGGTACGGAATGAATTGTTGTATGAATTCATCGGAAACCGGGTTATAATGAATAATTTGAATCATGTATCCCTATGTATCATATAAGACCTAAACCAATAATATAATAATATGTGTTTATTCACTCAACTAATTTTACATAATAACTAACACTATTTAAATTATATTATATGTATAAATTATATTATATAATTATATTGTTTTCACAGTTTAAGTTTAATAACGAAACAAAGACAACGAATGAAATATACAACGAAAAATAACGTTCAGAAATATAGATTGAGCAATATAGTGCTATTTCCTGTATTTACCTAATCATATCTTGTGTTTTTATATGCTGCACCTGATCATAATTTAGCGCCTAAATACAATGATGTTTTATTAAAGATGACGCATGTTCATACTGCGCGACGTCTAAAATTCGTTCCGTTTTACATTATATGACATATACAAGTGTACGGATGATATAGAACGTATGATACGGAAAGAGATAGCAGTATATATAGAGTTAAGTTTCGGTTCCTCATTCCCGGTGCGGCGTGTGCTCCTAATCGTATATAATACTAATCATTGCCTATTTACACTTTATTACGCTAGCATCACGCAGAATTTTCTGTCGCCGACATATATCTGTCATGTATCTTGTATTAACTGATATTTTTGCTTTCAGTCCCGAGACTATTAAAGCTTCATCTGACGTAGAACCGGTGGGCTAGCCAGAACCCACGGGTTTGGGCCCTCCGCTGTGGGTAGGGCCAAATATATCTGTTATGCCCGTGCAAGGCCAGATAGAAAACTGAGACTCGAATCCGTAATCTTAGATCCTATTCCGAGATCTCATGCTGCTACTATGCCATAACTATAAAAAACACAGCACTTAGCTGTATTTATATTTTGATTTTTACTACTATAGTGTTATTTATCGTTATTTAATGTTGTTATATGTTTCTCGTACTACAAACGCTTAGATAGCGAAGGTATCTTCAACAGGGAAATGCGCATGATTGTTTATTGCGTAAAACCTCTGCCATTATGTTGCATTGCGAATTCAAGTCAAACATTGCATCATTCTACAGGCTTCTAAACTCCATTACATATGCATCAAGAAAATCTTTGCTACAAACATGAGGGTTTACCCTGAAAACTTTCCTTCTAACTCCATCATATCGCGGCAGAGTTCAAGGTTTAACAAAAGACAATGTGGTCTACTTTTTCAAATTGCTTCATTCGAACCCATACTGCATGGAATTCAAGATGTTCTAAGACAATGAGATTGCGCAAAGACTCCATGTAAATAGATCTGGGAATACCTCCACCACAATTGTGAAGAGTGAGATCTCTTTTTAACTATTATTTTTAAAAAGATTGATAAATAAAGATTGTAAATAATTATTATTTTTAAATTTCGTCAATATTAATGACATCAACCGCGTACGGTGACATACTTATCACCAATGATGTTTAATAATGTAGATGACGCATATCCATACTGGGCGGCGTTTAAAAATTGCTACATTATATGACACAAATAAGTTAATGTGACAGATGACATAGATCCTATGATATGGAAAGAGATAGCAGTCTATAGAATTGCAATCTAATTACACCAATTAGTGTAATTTGACTGCCTCAATTTCCGTGCGCGCGTCCTGTCATATCTTTGTATATCATTGCTTTCACCAGTCTTTTTAGGCTTGATAAATCTATGTTCAATGACTAGAACTTTTAATTCGCTAACGTGTCATTTTGGTACAATATGATGAGCTGTTATTTCTCCATGGCAACCGTCTATTGACACAACTGTCGACGATTTGTTATCAAGACTAACCTCACCATATAATGCATCCGTAAGGCCGCATTAAAGTTGAAGTATTATACAAATTAAAAATAAAAACGGAATGAAGCTATTGAAGTTCCACTTGAGGTATCACCCACCCGGAATAACTCTGGAGTACACAAAGAAGGGCGCTGTGAAGAGTAAGGACATCGACCTTTTAGATTTGAACTGCAAGTAAGCCTTTTCTTTCACCATCAAAACTTAACATATTAACGTTTAAAACAAGAATTGGATGAGAAAATATAATAATATGATACTTTTAACGCGTAAAAAAATAATGTCACGTACTCAAACTCGACTACAGTGCAATATAAGAGGCTTCATTCCTTACTGAAATAATACGTTTATTAGTTAAGAAATAGCTTCTGATAGTTCATTAATTTTACCTTTTTCTGTTATAAAGAATTGATGCTATAATGAGCCGACATTAGATAGAGTTAAAATCTCCTCTCATAATAAAATTCCAGTCATTCTAAATACTGTGCTAACTTTAATAATAAATGTTGAAATTAAATTTTATTCAAATCTATACAAATACAAAAGGAATGTATGCACGTATGTTCATAATTATAAACTATTATTTCACATAATATTCAGTATATTTTTTTTATTTTTATAACTATTTGTGAAGAATAATTAAAGGAATAATACAAACATTAAATAATTGCGAAAAATTTAAAATGCTCGAAAAATTAGTAACAAAAGCATAATATCAAAGAATCACTCTTAGATTTGAGCACTAAATGACTACAATACGATAACTGATATTACTTATTTTATGAAAATAAAAAGTACTGATGACGAGTTTCCTCCCGTTCTAACTAGGTGGTGCGTTTTATGTAAAAAATTGGCTAATAAGCAGGAGCTTCAATTGATGCTGAGGGATTACCGTTTTCAATGGCAATCTACAGCACTTGACGGATTACTGATGCGATGCCAATAATTAAACGAAATGGGTCCGGGTTATCTCCCTCACCAGACGACGCCTAGGTGTAAACTAGAGAAGACATATTTAAATCGTTTATAGTGCTAATCTTTGCACTTAAGATTAGATTAGAGAAGATATATCCTAGAGCGGGAGTTGTTTCTAATAGAAACAATCCTTGGACTTAGCCACTAACATTACTTACCTTAACTCCTACCACCAATCTCTAGTGGATAAGAATTCAGTTTGTGATAAGGAAACAATACACAGTTCAGATTTGAGGCAAGTGGCGAGCCGGCTGCAACAAGAAGAGGCGCTGATAACAGAAGAGGTGCGTGGGCAGCTGGAACAGTGTTTGGAGACGCTGAGGAAGAGGATCGAGCACGAAGGTCCCACGGGGAAGCGATACTACATCCACAAGACCCTGGTCACCCACGTGCTACCGTTGACCAACGTTGCCTTCGACAAGGCCGGGAGCAGGTAGTTCAGCTACCACTAAAATGACCTTAATCAATCGACTTTGAAAAGGAGGTTCTCGATTCGGTTTTACTTTTTTTTTTCATTTTTCACAACTCGATCATTCATGAACTGCTTTTAAAAATTCTTTTTGCGTTTGATTTGGTTTAGCTGCTATGTGGTCCCTATTTATTTCATTTTTATTGGACCCTGTAATACGGAGAGACATCTGGGCACTCCTCCAAATTAAATAGATTGTGTAGTTAGTGAAACATTTCAAGCTTTATTGGTGATAAAAATGTACTTGTTGTTTGTATCAGTATATAGAGACGTACAATTTTCTTGCTTCTATGTTTTTCAGCAATCTCGTAGACCACTGAATCGACACCAAAGATTTTTATTTATTGCAAACATTACTTTATTGTAATCCCTTTTTTTTAATTTAAACATAAACGATAAACGTCATTTATATAACGCCTTTCACGTTTCGGAAATTCGAAATATGACAGGTTCGCAGTTCTCTGTTTCATTCCTATGTTCCAGTCTTGGGGTTTACGCTGAAAAACATAAACTTATAAACAACATCAATAATTATATTGAATTGTTTACACTATAATATATCATTATGTTTTTATTTATGTGAAAAGTTGCCAAGCGAACAGATGCACAGCAACAGATGCGTTGACAACGTTTTGAAAATTGACAAAAATCAATCGAATCGAATCTCATTCGACAGTCGAAACGTGAAAGAACTATAGTGGAAGTATAGTTCTTTCACGTTTCGACTCAGTTCGACTCAGTGAGTTCTTTCACGCCGGTCTTCTGTGAGGTCGTTTGGTAGGGCCACGCAACAGCCAAGGCGTGGCCCTACCAAAATGGTAAAATACTTGTCATTAAGCTTCCCTATAAACAGAGATATATCAATGGGTCCGTAAAGTGTACACGTGTTTTGACACCTGACAGATGCCTGACAGGCAGCTATGACAGAACTTGCAAGATTTGGAACGTGGAGACGGGTGATGAGATGAAGACGCTTTCCGGTCACCAAAACGTCGTTTACTCCGTGGGATTCAACTATCCAGTTTGGTAAATCCAACTAAATAGCTATAAGTTCCTGTTCTAATAACATCGTAATGCAAATGTTAAGAAAAATTTAGTGAATTCTGTTGAATTAGAACTAAACAATAGTAATGCAGCTCCATTAAAATCCTGATCCCAATTCTTTTTTATTATTATATTTAAAGATCGTAAACTGAACTTCACACTTAAATTATAGCATGATAGTACAGATTATACGGACCATAAAACACAAGTGAATGTTCTTCTATGTGGAATCGGTTAACTTAAAAAATTGTACTTAAACACATGCCGATATCTAATGATATACAAAAAAAAAACAAATGTAAATAGAAATACAAAGTCTAAAGCTGTCATGAATACTTTCCAAAAACCACAATCAGACGGTATCAATTACATTGGTCTCATTGTCCGACATCTCACGCTGTAATGCTATCTTATCAAGCTTTCACTTAGGCAGTATAAGTTATATTAAAAAAAATCTGAACAAAAATTCCAGATTAAATTTCTCCGCGTCTAATTATAGTTACGATGACAATTATTCAAATTTGTTTTTAAAATCGGATGACAAATTGAACGGTGAATTTCTTCTTTGCCTCCAAAAACTGACTCCGATATATGTATGTGCCTAGAATATAACTAATGTTCCAGAATTGAACCCTAACCAAACTAAAATCTCGTAAACAAATGGCCGCTATACTGTCGTAACTTATTACAGACTTCGGGAGCTTTTTCTAACGTGCATCGAATACATTGTCTTTATATTCCCGTACCGCTTTCCAAGCGAGATCTGTCGCTATTAACTTCAATTTCTAATGTCAGGGGTCTTCCTATTGTAACGCTAACAGATATTTCCTCACGGTCATCAAATGATCTGAACCAGATGGTAATATACATTAAGCTAATCTAGACGTTTCGCCCATTACAATTGCGAACTGTTTCCGCGACAATATATTTCTTAAAGCGCATAAAAGTGATCTGTCTTGATAAAATTGTGACGTTAACGTTAAAAATGCAACTAATTCACTTGCAATAGAACAAAAGAATATAAAATAATCATTCGCTGGAATATTTATTATTATTTTAACAGAGCCACATTTGCGTTGGTTAGTTTAAAAAATATTTTTTATATAATACCGAATATGCTCATAATATTTATTTACTGAGCAGCAATCACTGCATACCATATTATTCTCCGTCCGATAAAATTGCGAAAATAATTAATTCAGGTCCATAACTTCTTCACATTACCCGATTATTGAATAGATACCTTTTAACAAACTGTTACGTTTTATAACCAGTACTGAGACAGTTGTGTGACGGTCACCAGCGATTTGGTGGTGACGGGCTCCTTCGACAAGAGCGCGAGGGTGTGGCGCTCGGACACGGGGGAGTGCGTGTCCACAATGTGGGGCCACAGCGGCGAGGTGGTGACCGCTCAGTTCGCTCCCAAGGGGCACCATGTCGCCACCGCCTCCATGGATCGCACCGCTAAACTGTACGACACGCTGACAGGTGAAATTTTACTGTTTTAGATTCAAAACAGATGACTTGATGAATTTACTGTAGTAGGGCCTCACAGAAGACCGGCGTGAAGTAGATGTGTTGCACTTTGCGTTTCGCCTGGTGAGTGCGGTAGCCGGGGCCCACTTTATTAAAAGGTGGCAACACGAATTATAATCGTTTTTAAGTTATTTGCGTTTCATACAAACGCACGCACTCACGCTTACTTAGTTTGCGACTAGTCAACTAATCTAAAACGTTTTGGGTGAACGGGAAATATTAAAAATCTTACGTAATTGTAGTATACCGAGTATCCAGTGGCGGTTTTAGGCATAGGCGCACAAGTTTTGCACGTTAAAACCAGGGTTCAGGCATAGCTATTTTAGCCACGAGTCTGTGATTAGTTGAAACAACCACACAAAAAGGTTTACATCATTCTCGATAGGTGCGGAGGTACACACGTACACTGGTCATACCGCCGAAGTGATCGCACTCCAGTTCGATCCCAACGAGGGTCAGAAACTCATCACCGGATCGTTCGACGGCACCATATCGATGTGGGATACCAGGGTAAAAGAGTAAGTATGAAGGAAGCTTACATGAAACATAAAATCGTGAAATATGTATGTTTTCAATATCTTTTAGCAACTTCTTCGTGTTATATGCCAAGCTCGCAACATATCACTTGGTCGAAAGCAAACTAAAATTGAGTCCATTCTAGACAATCTTTGTGAATACAAATACTGTAATATAATTACTACCATTAAACTATCACTACAATTTTAGTTTCGTTTACTATGTTCCGACCTTTAATACACGTTCCTCATTGGATACACGTTCTTACAAATTAAAAATTCGAACGCCTGATTGTAAAATGGCAGCAATAATTCATAACATAATCATTGCTATTGAAAAACTTTCTGATTTTTATCAGCCGGGTGGCGGTGTTGACCGGGCATACGGCGGAGATATCCAACGTACAATACAACTGGGACAGTGCGCTGGTGGTCTCCGCATCGTTGGACGGCAGCGCAAGGCTCTGGGACGCACGTGGACGCAATTGCATCGCCACCGTAACGGCCACTGCAGCGGAGGTCGCTTTAATATCTTCACCAGAATTGATAGATAACGTACTATAAAAATATCACTCAATGATATTTTTATAGCTTGCACTTCTGTTCTGAGAATCAAGAGTGCCAGATTCGTTTAGCGATTAGAAAACTAAATTATCATCATACCATATTCACCGACTTTACGTTTCTTTGTCATTGGCCATGTTATTTCTATTTTCTTCCGTCTTTCATTTAGCTAGGACAGCCAATACGCCATTAAAAATATCTTCCAAATAGCTGTTTGACAATTAAGTTAAAGCTATAATAATTATGTGGACCAAACATTTGTCAAGAACTGAACTAAAATTCCATTATACATGATCGAGTCAAGTAAGTAAATCTTCACGCTGTTAACGCCACGTGGCAGCTTCTACACGTTCTACACGTTGCACAAATGGTCGTGATCGTCCGGGGAAGTTCCACAGCTTACCAGAACGGATACAATAAGAAGTATTGTTTCTTTTTATGAGTCAAGTGTTTCAAAGGTAGGCAACTCATCTGCAAACCTCAGGTAGTATATATGTTCATGGGCGGAGGTAAATCACTTAACATCAGAATCACTTTTGCCGAATATTCGTTAAAAAAATCAGATTCAACCGGGTGTAGCAACATTGTAAAGACGCAGACTAAAGGTTTTTTTTTATATAATTTACTGATTTACTTACGCGGTAACCGTAACCGAGTACATGAGAGTATACTTACCAGATATAAATTAACGAATGCTAACCTCAAAAACCACTTTCGCTAAAGTGAACGTGAATTGTTTCATACGTTCATATCGCGTTCTAAGTTTTGATCGGTTCGATGACCTTCCGCAGATGCTGGACGCGTGCTTCGACTGGGCGGGCCGTCGCCTCGCCACCGCGGCCAGCGACGGCACCGCGCGCGTCTACCGAGCCGACGCGGACTGCCGTCAAGTGGCCGCCATGCGGGGCCACCGCGAGGAGGTCTCCAAGGTTTGTCCAAACATTGATCCAAGCGCGTCTTTTTTTAATAAGACTCCGCTGTCTGTCTGTACGTCCCTCTGTGAAAATGGTTAAAATACAATGTAGATAAAAGACGTTGAGAATTGCCACAGTGACGGCGAGAAACCTTCGATTCCGTTTTTCTACAAAAATTTTAATGTTTAATCTTAAGTGCAGAGATTAGCACAAAAAATATTTAAATTTTAAACAGTTTAGGACACCATGTCAAAACACCATACATGTAATAATAATTTGAATAGGTAGGATTATAAGAAGAAAAACAAGTGAAAACTTCGTTTAATTTTTAAATAAACGATAAATAAATGAAGGAAAACCATAAAAAATAAAATAAAGACCATCGTAATTTTTACTTAATTTATAAACAACGATGTAAAAAGTTCGCAGCCGGTAGGATTCGAACCTACGCTCCCAGAGGGAATCTGATTTCGAGTCAGACGCCTTAACCACTCGGCCACGACTGCTTGACGGCAACCAGCAAAAAATTACATGTATTTAATATTCACGCAATGTTTTATTTTAAAGTAAAATAAATAAAACATAATATTATAAACCCCTTCACTTTTTACAGTAGTAATTTGAAGCAACTTTAGTTATTGCACGTATAAACTAACTCGTTCGGGGAATTACCGCGTCCTCACAGAAGACCTAAAGTAGAAGTACTATAAACAAGAAATCAATATAGACGTAATACTTACGTGAAGACCTCAAGCAGTACTATACTTTTGTGTGGCGTCTAGGTAGTGGGATAGCCAGGGCCGATTTTTAAGGGATGCCAACGCGTCTGCAAGCCGTGTAGTTTTGTAGCTGCCCTTGGGCGACGTTAATCACTTAACATTAGGTGAACCACCTGCTCGCTTGCCAAAATCTCATAATGCTCTCCAGCTTCATAATAGTAGCCAGGTACAAGTTATATTAAACATTCCGTATCGCAATTTACGTTATATTAATATTACAAGCTTGAATACCATGCATGCGAAATTGAACGTTTACTATCAAAATATTTTTTTATTAATACTTAGTGTCTAACTGTTTCCCTTTTTTTATGAACGTATAGATTGATTTGAAAAATAATTCCTTAACCCTTACCGTGTTTACCTTTTTTATCAGCTTGCTAGAACGTTTTAACAGTTTCTCTTTTTCAGGTCTGCTTCAGCCCAGCCGGCGGCTGCCTCCTGACCGCGTCTGCAGACAAGACTGTAAGGATCTGGAACTCCACTACCGGTAACTGCATACAAGTGAGTGTTGGTTGTTCGCTAAAGACCTGGACAAGGGTGGTATTCGTTTCTAGATTCAAAGTACTTGATTTTTGTTTGAATTACTTAAAACTCAATACCCCCCTGAAAAAATATATCACTTGAAAAGTTGCCAAGCAAACAGGCGTTTGACCTGATGTTAAGTGAGACATTTTATGTAAACGTAAACATAAATAATCCGTTGAAAAGCATTAAATAAGTTGGCTCCGGCTATCTCACTCGCCACACGAAACGCTAAAGTTTAATACTTCCACTTGACGCCGGTCTTCCGCGAGGTCGTGATACTTACCCGGACGGGCCTGCCCATTCGTGCAACAGGAATAACGAAAACTGTTGTGTGGCCCTACCGCGGTTTATAAGCGACCGTGCGTATTTGTCAGGTGCTGTCAGGTCACCAGGGGGAGATTTTCTCTTGCGCCTTCTCCTACGCCGGCGACACGATCATCACAGCATCCAAAGACAACACATGCAGGGTCTGGAGGTGACTCGACTGGTGGCTACCAATATGAGAACCGAACACCGATGCTACGGATTTAATATACGTTTTTTTCTGATTAAATTTGTTACGATTTTGTGTTCAAGTGAAATAATTGTCATATTCCACGGGTATTATCAAGTTTGCTGTATTTGACAAAGGAAAAAATAAGCAACTGAGTTATTACTAACGACAAAACATTCTTAACACCAAAAATCAAAACCTACTTCAGATATCTCACTGTACATTTTCCATATACTTCCGAGTTCTCTCATTTATCTCCGCAGTATTTTTTAAATCGATTCGTTATAAGTTAACAAACATAAATAAGCCGGCTCAGTGACCGGGCGCTAGCTTCTAATTAAATATCTACATTCGAGCAACCAGAATAAAGGCCCATTTACACGATGCCATTTTCTTGTACATGCAAGAGCAATAATTGAATGCAATAAATTGCGCGCAATAATTGGTTAGACCATTTGTTGTTTAGACCATGCAACTTATTTATTGCTTCAATTTAATTGTATATAACAGGCAAGAAACTTGCACCGTGTAAATGGGCCTTAAGTCACCAGAAAAAATCCCGATGCCGACACTAATGAAATTGTTAGTTGCAATTTTGTGTGCTGACTTCTCACGTGATCAACGGTAGAATCGTAGGAACCCTGAATATTTTCGAAATTTAAAAAGAAATTCGAAGATAAGTGAAGTTTGTTAATCCGCATTGGCATGTCAGGCCTTTGTTCAGGCCTGGGACATGGCAGGCTGTTACTGTACTTTTTACTTTTAAACATGAATAAAAAATAAATCAAATTAAGAACCACCACCTCCTTTGAAGACGAGATAAAATCTTTAAAACGAGATAAAATCCGTAAAATAGAATTGATTCCTTGTTGCCATAATCTGTTTTAATGTGGTAAAGCATTTAATATTTGGTATTGTTCGGATGTTTAGTTATATCCACTAAGCTCTTGTTAATCATTTATATATATTTCAAAGTTATGTTATTCCTAGAATTACTTTAGCATAATCAATGTTTCAATCATGCGAAAAAATTTATACAGATTTTTCTTCAATTATGTGCTTCGTTAACAGATTTAAATCTCTAACTCTTTGAGAAGTTGTTCAATTAGAATGTTATGAATGTTTTTTTATGAAGAGGCCGAAACAAGTGGTACTTTTATTTAAGTTTAGTAAATGGTAACATTATTAAAACATGTTTGGGTTTAACTGTGGTAACAAATGGGTAGCCCATTTGTAACGCTAGATTGCTTTTCACCATAATATAAACACTACAATAGGCGAAACGCGGAATGGCATTTCAATTGAATTTTTACTGATGCATTGTTCGGACACTCAACATACCGAGAAAAATGTAACGGGCAAATGATTTAAAATATTAGCCGATTTTGCGATAAGTTGTTACACTTGTAAATTGTTACACTTGTAAATTGTTACAACATTCTTAGACAGGCTTTTATGTGTTCTGTACAGTAAAACGCGCGTATTGGTACTTTTTTTTATTATATATACAGCTTGTTCGTACATTATACTTATTTTTGTAACAAGAAATATTTTTATTTATTATTTTTGTTATCAAAATTTCACTTTATAATCATATAATTAAACATTATGGTATTTTATATTAAACACGTTATTGCTTCAATAGTTGAGCCTCTATTTTGTTTTTTTTTCGCAAGTGAAATCAAAAAATTACCTCTTGTCAGGTATGTAATGAACTGTAACAAGTGAATGTTATACTCAACCATCATTAGCAAACTTCTTCCATTTAATTTGACGATAATCATTGAATTTGGAGGTAGCATAAAAATAATAAATAAATAAACAACAACAAAAAACTGATGAACGCCGATAACTGTTACTAATAAACTATACCTGTACTACTACTAAACTATACCTGTTCAGAGAAAAACCGCCAAGAAATTATATACGTAAACATACAAAATTATTAAAGTATAAAATCAGCAGCAGCCAGAGAACTTGCAAGTGAAAGTACTCTTGCTCTACAAGAGTCATTTCCACAAATACCTTGTCCACTATTATTATATACGAAATATCTCGTCTCTGTCTTTGTCATGGTACATGTTTTCTCTCAGTTCTTAGAATACATAAAGCTCCATCGGGCACACAGCTAGTGGAAAGGCAACGCTTCCACGGGCTTAATTATTACTTCAAAACCGCCATAAGGCAGCCCGGTTAATTCGTATTGTATTAGCCGTGCAGTGAATGCGCCGGAGTTGTAAGCACATCCTGGCGGGCCGGGGACAGGGGTCAAATGTACCCCGATAACCGACCCCAGTACAGTCGTTCGCACAATTGTTATAAATAATATCAACGTTTAAATTAATACTCGTTGAATCTACCGACGTTGTATCGAAGGACGAAATAAGCATTTAGCAATAAGCAATGAAATTCAGATACAGATGCCGGCTTAAGTACAAATTTTGTCAGAGTGCGAAAATATTGATGATAGACGCTCTCAAATTGAATAAATTAAAAAATGTCGGGATTTCTGCTAGACCTGAACCAAATTTTCTCAGACTAGGTATTTGACAATTCTTAACTCTTCAAAATAAGTTTTTGGTTAAACTTTTAATCTGAATACCTAAATGTTAATTGCTCACCTTGAATGCTATCGCAGAACAAAAGAAGTCATCTATCGATGACTCTTTTATTTATCATCCCTATTACAACACATATGGTATTGTTACCTTACAAACGTTTAGTGAGAGACAAGAGTCTTCTTTGAGGTCGTGGTATATCCGATATGATCTTCCATCAATTGATTTGCAACACACCTGCCATCTATCTATTTATGAAGACAGGCGGCAAGACGTACCAAACACGCAAACACATATCACTCTATATAATAATCACACAATGCCAACAACCACAGTAAATTAACCGCGCAAATATTACTACTTACGCGCGCGACTGCCCGCGTTACGTAAGCGAGTTAGCACTACACCGGCTTCGTCACCACATTGTTCATTATCACCCGACGCGTCGGCTCGGACGGACGTATTTGTAGTGCGGTCGCCGGTAGCCAAAACAATGGTGTCGCAAGCCCGTAGCTTCTCTTGTCTACTGCTGCTGCTATGTGCCGCCTCGGCGTACGAATACGAGACCAAATGGTTCAGAGTGCCTCTCGACCACTTCGGCTACCAGCGCAACGAGACGTTCAACATCAAATACTTGGCGAACGAAGATAGTTGGGACAAAGGCGGCGGGCCCATCTTCTTCTACACCGGCAACGAGGTAAGGGTCTGTTTACGGCCGTGCCCTGTGTTGTTTATAGAAAAAACCGGCCAAGTGCGAGTCGGACTCGCGCACGAAGGGTGCCGTACCATTATCTCTAATAAACTACATTAATAAGCACCAATAGGTTGCCTAGCAACCACCTCGCGTTTCTTGTATGAGAGCCCCCTTAAATATTTTTTATTTGTAGTGTCAACGTAAATTTATCATCTGTGGAAATTTCGACTGTCTAACTATCACAGTTCATGAGATACAGGCTTGTGACAGACGGACAGACAGACAGTGGAATCTTAGTAACGGGTCCCTACCGTTTTATCCTTTGGGTACGGAATCGCTCATCTTATGGAAGCACAGGTCCTGGATGATTTAGTGTATATTTTCATGGAATGTATGCGTAACGATTCCTTCCGCACAACAGTTGTTATATTTAAAATATAACAAGTGTAGCCTGCAATATCACACTCTCTTACCCGAATTATAAATAAAACCGTTTAAAAACTTTAAAGTTAAACGGTTTTATTTTATGTGCACTGAAAACTACAATATTGTATTGTCATCTAAATTAAATGTGTGTACCAAATTTCAAATCAATCTGACAACGGGAAGGTGCTTAAATATCAATTTCTAATTTTGACCTAAATAAATAAATACATTCCGTACTGGTCGAGCTAAATAAAACCGTTTAAAAAATAGTAGCAATATATAACACTACTTTCGCAGATATACGATTCTTAATAAAAAGTAATAAAATGTCAATGTAACAATATTCTGTGTTCTGTATAGAGCGTATCATTTTCTAAATTTTTGAACTTAATTTTCAATAAGCTAAAGACTTGCACGCCGTGATCCCTTACTTAACAGGAAACAATTTCTGATTATCAGTGCGTTTATACCACGATTTATCTCTCTTTCTGTCTCCATTTATACCACACCAATTTTAGTAAAATAAAAGACAAACGAATTATTAACTTTCAAAAATTTTCAGACTGCTTAAAAAATAATGCGTTTTTATTTTATGTGAGGTGGCTATTGAGCTAGTTACCACCTGATGTTAAGTGATAACCGCCGCCCATTTAAAGCACCCGTATGGTTGAAGATGCGTTGCTAACTTTTAATAAAGTAACCGGCAACCTCACTTACCAGACGAAAGGCGGGAGTTCACAAATCTACTTCACGCCGTTCTTCTGTGAGGTCGTGGTACTTACCCTACCCATTCGTGCAAGAAGACTGTTGCGTGGCCCTACCACTTTAAAGTTTTACCACAATAATGCATCTCATAAAATAAAAGGATTTTAAAAACAACGTTCTAAAAGGACCTTCCCGAAAACACAACCATACAGACATCTCCGTGTTGCTACACATACAGACGTCTCATAGAACGGGGTTCTAATTAGAATTTTAATCACAATTAAAGAAAAAAAATCGACAAAGAATCTGGGCCACAGTGTGTCATAGGCAAATATAAAAGTAGTAAAAGAGGTGCGAAATAATTTTCTATCGTGTTTGGTCAAGTGTTCAAATTCACCACATTGAAACTGTTATAATTATCTGAAACCTAATATGCTAATTTTTCGAAATAGTCTGAATAACGATGAAAAATTACTTATATCAATAAAACAATGGTAACCTCATAAAGGAGAGAAGTTGTCCCGAAACTATGTGACTGATTGTCCGGACTTGGAAACTAATTTTGTGCACGTGACCCTGACGTCACAGATGACTCTCCTTGCATTTCCTATAGGTGCAATTTTGTATTCCTTACTTACATCGAACTTAAAATGCCATACTGAGAGCGACAGTGCCATCAACCTATTATCCGGGACTTTTGACGTTTAACCTCTATCCAATCTTATCGCAAATGCGGGTAATAACAGACAGCGTGTGTTTTGAAATTTAATCAGTGTTCACTTGGGACAAATATACCGAAAGCCCAAATGTTATAAACATTAGTATCACTTTCCGTTTTAAATAAATACTCCTGTTTGCAAGTGTACTTGATATATAGAACTGGGCACAGACAAATACCCAAATTCATAGATAATTTCAGGTCACACGATAACTTGTTAAGTGGTCCGTGGAATATCGAACCCTATTATTTACTATATATGACTCACTTATGTACAGCGCTAACAGTCAAAATATTGCAGAGTACACCTTCTAACCGCACAAAGTTTATCCATACAAGTTTTATTAGGTTTTACCGAGATAGTTATGTAGTGTACGAGATATTTAGTATTTAGCACGTATGATATAACCACTCGACATCAAATCAAATGGATTGACAATAAAGTTTCAAGCGGTTTGTTATCTTTTGTTTAAAACTGGCGTAACTAATTCATAATTTATCTAATAAAAAACATTTACAATATCGAATTACAGGTTATCTTACAAACCTGGTCCACCTACAAACCTAGCTAGATTCCATTTCCTTACTGAATTACTCTCAAGAAGTAGTGGTACTCATCAAGAAGACTGGCGTGAAGTGGAAATATAATACTTTCGTGTTTCGTCTGGTGAGTGAGGTAGCCAGAGCCCAATTTTCAAAGGTTGTCAACGAATCTCCAACCCTCGGGTGAAGCAGATGTTCATGGGCGGCGGTATTCACTTAACATCAAGTGAACCACCTGCTCGCTTGGCAACTGTTCACATAAAAAAAACAGCTGCAACAATGAATGTGCATACTTATTTCTTATTCATGAACATACTTATTTCGTGAACATATTTCTTTAAAAATTTTTGATGTTTATTTATGTGGAAAATTTTCAGGGCCAAATTGAATTGTTCGCCAAGCACACTGGTTTCATGTGGGACATAGCGGAAGAGTTCAGTGCCAAAATCGTATTCGCGGAACACAGGTGAATATAATACCACTATTCGCCTAAACTGACATATTTGATATTCACTGTTGTCCGAGCTTACTAAGCCCAAAATTGTAACTGGTAACTATTCTCCCTAAACACGCGCGATTGTAAGAGTTGCTGCTACTGAGATTCGAAACTATAACCTAAAATAATAACCGTTTTTTTTGTTCTTCATAAATTGTAAGTGCATACCAGATGAAACTAAACGCGAATTTGTTAATAACTCTTCAAATCATCGAATACTAAACGATGAGACTATAGGGCCTTTAAGAAATGAACCTGTTCATATAAAAACGGCCAGCAACGATTTTGCAACATCTCTGGGAATGTCTGTTGGTGATAGTGATCGCGTACCATCATTTGACTAAATAAAAAAAACCCTTGAATCAATTCTCACTTGATATAAGGTTTTTATCGTTTCTTAAATGTATACAAACCAATATCAAACGTATCTTCTTAACCGTTACATGCTATATTCAACATTTCATTTGCGAATGCTTTCAGATATTACGGCGCGTCGATGCCATTCGGAAACAAATCACTGGACAACGAGCACATAGGTTACCTGACTTCAGCACAAGCTCTCGCCGACTATGCCGAGTTGGTGGACTACCTTCAGAACGTAAACGGGAGCAACGATATAAAACCCCGATACCCAGTCATTGCCTTTGGAGGTGGGTAGTATAAAAAAAGAACAAGAAACATGGATATGTCACCTGTCGTATTAAATCCACGCAGTGGCAGCAGATTGAAGAATTCTTATCGAATTAATCTAAGTCCCTCTTAATAAATAACAACGATCCTAAGTCCTGAGACCCCTTTGCTTATTAAGGATATAAGCCTCGTACTAGCCATCGCAGTGTAAGACGACCCCCCACTAGACGGAGCGACGACTTGTGCAAATGTGCGGGAAGTTTGTGGATGCAGGTGACTCAGGGTCGTGTTTCGTGGCAGTCTGTGCTGGAGGCCAATGTTCAGCAGTGGACTCGAACAATCTGAAAAATGATGATGATAATGACGCTAGGAACGGAAAGTTTTACTTTAGAATTTCCACATGAATACACAACTAGAAATAATTAATTTTAACTTAGTTGTTCATTTTGCTTCATCGGCTGATCGATCTAACTAATTAATGTTATTTAATGCATATATTTGCCTATAAATGTATGTTTCTCTACGAACAGCCCCGACGACTTCTTGATCCTAATTAAATTTTGCATAGAAATACCTTATACGCTCATTATATGGTACTTTGCGGGCTGCGCATCATTTAACTATAAAAGAACCCACAGAAGAAGCCATTGGGGCGAGTTATTCAAAAAAAACGTCTACCAAATCACGGTGACAGCATTCTCTTTAATTCCAGGCTCTTACGGTGGAATGTTGGCTGCCTATTTCCGCATGAAATATCCCCACCTGGTTGCCGGAGCTATCGCCGCTTCCGCGCCCGTCCATATGTTTCCTGGAATGTTACCCTGCGAGGTCTACCCCAGGATAGTGACGTCCAGCTTCACAATAGCTAATAAAAATTGCAAAGAAAACATCAAAGACTCCTGGAGTATCATCAGGTATATAACATAAGATAATCTGAATTAATACACATCAGATGAGGATAAATATTCACCAATAAGTTATAACATATTGTTCTTAGATTAGAAATTCGACGAGTTTAATAAAATAAAGAAGGATTAAAACATTTGTACTTTAAACTTACTTGTTTGATCGATTACTTTTATTCGTAACCGACCTTCTGTATATTTATGGTCTTTATGATATTTCTAGAAACTTCACAAGTACGAAAAACAACACCGACTGGCTGAAGGGCGAGTGGAAACTGTGCGATCCCGTCAAGGATAAGGAGGATGTTCAGTTGCTGATCGATTTCCTCCACTCGATGTATGAGACCCTAGCTATGGTCAACTATCCGTACGCCACGGACTTCCTGCTGCCACTGCCGGCGTACCCTGTGCGCACCGTGTGCCAGTACTTGGACAAGAAGTTGACCGGCAAAGATCTATTAACGGTAGAAAATATATCTAACATAGTATAAAACAAAGTCTTCCCGCTGTCTGTCTGTCCCTATGTATGCTTAGATCTTTGAAACTACGCAACGGATCTTGATGCGGTTTTTTTACTAGATAGAGTGATTCAAGGGAAGATTTATATAAGAAGCCGGGGCGGGTCGCTAGTATCTAATAAGTTATTTTGTAACAGCAACGAATTTGCCTTTTTGTTCCCTTCTTCGTATCTGTATGGCCTTGTAAATCTCCATGAGACCTCATGAAATTAGTTTACTTTTAATATTTATTTCATTTTGAGCAGATAATATGTTATATTTTAATCTAATTATAATAATAATGAATATTTTTAACACAATTACTGTTCTTATTTGATTAAGGTAGCATTAGGTACAGTTTTAAGTTAAATTACCATACCAAAATGTTAATAGCACATATTATGTTTTACAAAACAACTCTATTCCAACAGTTCTTTTTAATTAAAGAAATATTACAATAAATGAGAACTAAATGGCTATAACAATCTCATCGTAATAATATTTTTTTACTTTTCAGGCCATCGGAAAAGTTTTACAGGTATTTACTAATTATGAAGGCAAAAATAGTTGTGTAGATTACAAGAAAGGCGACGATTACGGCAACCTCGATGCCAGTGGGTGGGATTATCAGGTATATATCATCAATATGAAATTTAAAAAAATTATTCTAAACTTTATTCTAAATATTTCTTCTATTTCTATTATATATCTTCTTAACAATTATGTAACACATTCAGTCTTATTTTAATGGATGATTTTAATTGGGATACTCTTAGTTTCTATGAAACTATTGCCACTTGACAAGGACCAACCGTAAAGGCCTTAAAACAACTCAAAAAGACTGGTTTCGCTAACTGCTGAAGCCACATTAAAATAACGATCTTACTAAAACTTAAAAAGCATTTTGGATAGAGACACATGTGTTCACGAATTTTTCATTCCACAGGCTTGCACAGAAATGGTGATGCCGATGTGCACATCTGGCGTCGGCGATATGTTCGAGAACGATCCATGGAACTTCACCAAGTACTCTCAGGACTGCCACAAGAAATACAATGTGTACCCTCGGCCTGACGCAGCCAGACTAGAATACGGTGGTGATCGGCTTCAAGCCGCTTCTAATATTGTTTTTAGTAATGGACTGTTGGACCCCTGGGCTGGAGGTAAAGTTCGTTCTTAAAATAAGTAATGAACAAGTATTCGCACTGTAATTATTACTTTGGACTATAGGAACACTTATGCGAAGTCAAAGAGTAGATTTAAAAGAGAAAGAGAACGGACACATGATCGGCATGTGTTATTGTATGTAACCTGACACCGAGTTATTTTTTTAGAGTTGAGAAAGCTTTGCTTATTAAAAAAATGTGTTTTTTTAAAAACATTGCCCTCAGTGTAGGATAACATAACCCTGTGTTGTAAGAACGTTGTACAAACATTAATTTTACGTGGACATACACCCAGATTCGAAACAACTATCTGTGGGTCACAAAAATAGTAGTCCGATGTGAGAATCGAACCCACGACCCCCAGCATTCTAAGCCAATACCTTAGCAACTGCACTATAGAGACGAAGTCAATATCCTTTATATCTGCGGTAAATTAAACGCCGAATAATAATCGTCTCTCTGTCGGCTGTTTTCAACATTTCTATAATCAATTTATTGTTATATGTTTCAGGCGGCCTCTTAACTAGCATCAGCGACACAGTAAAAGCCGTTGTAATGATTGATACCGCGCATCACCTAGATCTGATGCCCAAAAATCCAAACGATCCGGATTCTGTGATAAGCACACGCAACGAGCACAAAAGAAATATAGAAAGGTGGATACGTCAGTTCAGGCAACAAAGGGAAGATGGAAAGAAATCAATTTATTAAGTTATGATACATAGAAATAAAATAAAACTAGTCTTTTTGATGCAGTTTCATTTCGATCGAATTTTGCGAGTGATATTATGATTTTTTTATGAGTTATTTTATCCCTAAATGGAAATGTGCCATGTCAGTTTTGTTTCATATGCCACAAATTATGGTAACCTTCAGATATTCGATGTGTTATACATCTTGATAATACTTGGGTTTGTTGGAGTTCTACACTCTAGAACAATCATAGGAGATAAGCTGAAAAAATGTCCAGCTGTAGGCAGTAAATAATCATTCGAAAACCCACAGAATAGGGCTAAATTACCAAGTATAATTGTTGAGTTGAAGTTTAGTAACTAAAGGATGTCCCATAAGTAAAGAGACAAAACTGAGTGTTCATATCGAAACAAAACAATTGTTCCTCAAGCTCGAACTATCGAAATGTTTTAGGCTCTGTGTAAAAAGGAATACAAAAAGTATTCAGAAAAATATAAAACAAAAACGTTGACATCTTTCAAACAAAGATGGGCTAGAGTGGCCAAACGGGTGGCAACAACCTCAATACGAAACGTAGTGATTACATTCTCTTTGGCAACAACTTCTGAAAAAGAAGTCATAAGACGTGCAAGCATTAATTTTAGAAAAATCGGCTATAAAGGCATCTCAGAAGAAAATTTGATATAGATTGTATTTTTATTATTATTATGCATAATTTATAATGACACACATAACAGTAGACATACAATTTTCATTAAAAAATTTCATTGCCTTGTCTCTTTAATTCTGGGACACCCCAGTAATAACCATTTCAACTATTTATTAATCAACACTGCCTGAAACCCACATGCTACCTATGGTAAAATGAGGAACTTTTCAGAAGCCAAAGGCTTCTTCGGTGTTATCACTGGCTGCTACGTAAAGCTAAATAAGTAGCGATAATATGAGTATAACCTCGTATTATCACTACTTTATTTTTTTTTACTTTAAATTGTTATAAAAAACTAAGAAAATAATCAATAAATTGAAAGTAAGAAAACTTTTTTATTAATGATAAATTAAACTTAATTAATTCTGATTTACATTAATTATGAAATTATGTAAATGTTCAAAATTTTTGGGGTAATCTCCATTGTTCACTAGAATAAAAGTTTTTTGATGTTTATAGTAACCCTTAACACAGTAGTTAACATGAGTGTGCGTTGGAGTTGCATGATAACGTCAAAAATTCACGAAGGTTGTATATTGTTTTTGGAAACTTGGAGTTGAATCTACACATTTCCTTTGCCTTTAGTATATTTGACATTGACATTTGTCATTCCGATTGCAGATTACTTTGGTGCACGTCATAACAAAAACAATGGAAGCTGAAACGAGTAGTAATGTTGAATTGCCTGTAATTGATACCAAACCTATAGTTTGCAAATATTGTTATAAACCAGAGATCAAGCAGGAGAACCCGGGGCTCACGTGTGAATCATGTAACTGTTTCGTTCATTTATCCTGTCTGAAACGCCCCGGAACGCCGGGTGACTTCGCGTGTGATGTTTTCTTCGAATTTACATGTGCAGAATGTTCTGAAAACAGGGAAGAGATTTTTAATAGAAAGAGGTTCCTGTGGTGAGTTTCATTAAAATGTTTTAATTATAAAACTGTAAAAATCCTACATTCCAGCTAAATTTCAGTGGAAAGAACACTGAACTAGAGTAGAAAACCTAGACAACACATCAATGAGCATTTTCGTGGCCTTAACCGACGTGGAGGGCCGTATCAAGCTCTTGACTTATAACTTGGAAATTGATAATGACTAATTCTCACCCAATCTATCATATTTCTTATAATTGACATCATCCCAAAACCGGTAAAGATTCTGTTATTGTAATTCTACAAAGCATAATTTAATTGATTCCAGGGTGAATGTTCTGCTGCTTACACTTCATCATCTGGGTGTGCAATTATATGGAATCAGTAACAATGGATTTTTCCATTACAAAACACACATATGTTCATTCATTGACCGCAACTGGGTTCTACTGTTTGGAACGAATTTGTAAGTATCGGAAATTCAATTATGAAGTGGTTACAAAGTATATGTGTGTTGGTTATTTAAATTTCTATTAAATTTTAAGGTGTTTTATAGTGCTAATCTCTGCACTTAAGATTGAACATTAAAACATGTAGAAAAAGTACGAAAAGATTGTCGCCGCTGTGGGAATCGAACCCACGTCTTCGGCATTCGCGGCCTGACGCTCTAGCCACTGAGCTAAACGGCTGATAGCCACAGCGATAAAACGATATTTGAAATTGTTTGTATGCTGGAAAGGATATAACAATAGATGCGCCAAGCATTGCTTCAAATGCTAAATAACAATGTAGAAAGAAGGCGTTAAGATTTTCGTCGCTGTGGCTATCAGCCGTTTAGCTCAGTGGCTAGAGCGTCAGGCCGCGAATGCCGAAGACGTGGGTTCGATTCCAACAGCGGCGACAATCTTTTCGTACTTTTTCTACATGTTTTAAATGTCTATTTCTTATTTAGTTCTACATTATGACAAATCTGTAATAAACCGATTAGTAATTTTAAAATTAATCGTAAAATTAAAAGTCAACTTATGGTTCAAGCATATTATAACATTGTCGCATACTCATGTAGGCTAGAATAAGACTATTATAACTGTATATTATATTGTAAACTGATACCTTTGAAAAAGAGCAACTGTTGAATTTCTTGCCGGTCTCTTCTCAACAGAAACTGCTTTCCGAACCGGTGGTACCTTACGAACCTATATACATAATTTTTAATATAAAATTTGACGATACATAAGAGAGCGAAAGTGTCTATTTGAAAAAATATATTTTTTGATTTTGATTTATATGGATTTTAATAACATAGCTTGTAATCAAGGAATAAAATGGTATAAACTGTAAGTCAATTTACAAAATATTAAAGAACAGACTTTTTATATATAAATGAACTTAGTTTGTACTCCATGAGACACTAAAAAAAATCTGTGTGATGAAAAAAATCAGTCCATCCCAAGTTGAGCTCATGGCCTCAAAACCATCTAATTAAAAACATTCTTATAATTTTCTTTTATTACCAAATGCTTCATGTGATTATAGACACTGTAGAATATATTGAGAATTTGAAACTAAAAAGATATAATTACCATAAAATATAAAATTATATATAATAGCAAAATATGTCTCTTCATCGTTTGACGACACTTCATCATTGGTATATCTCATACATGCGGGGCTATTCCTGATATCAACAATCTGTGCTTTATTCAAAACATCAGCAAGCAGAAGAAAAATTGGGTGGGCACAATTGCTGGTGCCCTCTCTGTATACAACAATACATTCTTCATGTCCGGTTCTGGGGCTTTGGGCGAGTCTGGATGGTGGCGTCTGCTGCACTCTTTTTCACCGGCTGTTGCAGCTCACATCAGTATGGAATCAATTCAAATATATATAATTTAAATCATGTTGATTGACTGAATTGCCAGGTAAGTAGTAATGTAGCCACAGACAATGAATACACTGCTTGTCAGTAAAAACCTTCATAAAACTCTAGTCTTGAAACCACCTTTGCTAGAAGCGGATGGTTTTCTCAAATAAGCCGTGAAAGCTATTAGACTAGACGTTACCGGCCTCGTTTATCGGTATTCAGTATAGACGCTAAAGAAGAAGTTAAACTTTATGATAATCCTGTTTCCGGCAATGGTTCTTCAATTACGTTGCATTGTAGCACGATCCTTGATCAAATTTAATGTGATAGTGTCCTAACTCAGTCAAGTTCAAAAATTAAGATGATATTTAACAGATGCGCCATGAATTGCATAATTATAAAGAAAATTTAAGGTTTATTTACTCACCTCGACTTCATGACATGATCGTGGCAATGTTATTATACTATTGGCTCCGGCGCTGAGGGTCCTGGGTCGATATCCGCACGGGACTAGTATTTGTGTGACCCACAGACAATTTTTGCGGATCTGGGTTCTTATAATCGCTGTGGGTTCATATCAGAAAGGCGGCTGGTTGGAAAAAATCTGAGCCAATACCAATACGCTTAACGACATGATTCACGTGTTGTGTCACCCGACTTACGTGGAATAAAGGCAGGAGAAGGAATAAAAGAGGATTTGTTTATCTAAAACTTCATCTTTAGAAAGTAATTCTCCTTGAAAGTTCTAAAATATTTCGCACGGATTTGTTTTACTGTGTTTGCTTATGGTTCTTCTTTTATAACACCTGTACGGCGTTTTCAAGATCAGGAGGTGTCCAAAGACAAAATCAAGGGTCGCCCGCGTGGACACATCACCGTTGACAAGGCGCTCTTCATCTCCAAAGTCACCGAGTTGGGTTCGTAAGCTTTAACACTCTATCTTCCTGTTTAAACGAATGTTTTATTATTTATCAAAGTGAAAAAATCATCCGATCAATATGGGATTCACCAACTTTAGATTTCCCAACTTACCCATTTCTAGGATACAAGCACCTGATAAATGACCTAACCGCGCCTCAGCAGGCGGTCAACGAAGCAGTTCCATTTAAGAAGAGAAGGTTCGACGTGGAACTCAGCGAGCCCTCTTGCTCTAACCAGGCCCAAGGAGTCGTAATAAAGTAACCCATGTTTCTCACTGGCACCCTTGACTTCTCACTATGGTAGATTTCAGTTGCTGCATGATAAAGATCTTCTGGCTTTACTCTTTTTAGAAGCTAGAAAATTATAAAAACGAATAACGTTAATTAAACACAATATGTATTTAGAGAAGGGACCTTTCCAAAATCTAAAAAATGTTCTCGCGCTATACGGTCCACTGATAATTTTTCCAGATCAGAGTTTTTATCAACATAGAAGTTTATAGTGATTAGTGTTCATGACAAAATGAAATGATCGAGGTTTGTTAGTGAAGCCAATTGGTAGTGTGGCGATGGTCTTTCTTACCTTAAGTTGGAATGAACGATTTATTTATCAACTCTTTTGATATACAAACCCATGGCAACCTGTTGAACCAGACGTTTACATTGTCACAGTCAGTCAGTACACAATGTCCCATAAAAGAATTGCTTGATTACGCTTGATTTGCGGATACGCAAGATGTGATCTCCTGGTGTCCAGGGAGGAGTTGGGTGAGGACGTAACGATCGAGGAAAACGAGCTGTGCCCGGAGTTCCAGGACAGCTTCCCCGACGTGGACGGGCTGTTCCAGGGCTTCCCGTACAGCTCCGCACTGATGCACCCGGCCCACGCGGACGACAAGTCCAAGTGGACGGTAAGTCTGTTCCGACCGTGGAAATCTTGGCATGCATCTATTATAGGAACCGAGTATAGTATAGTGGGATAATTAACCATTTAAGATTAGCTTAGTTAGTTTATCTGGGCTTTAGCCAGAAACAAACACAGGCGGTGGGCTGTTTGTCCATTCAATGTAATCAGATGATTTCTGCACTTATATGATCCAAAAATCAAAATATGGGTTATGATGGGACCATCATTCGCTACGTGAGCTAGCTATTATTTTAATGAAATTTGTTGAAAAGTGCAGGCGGTTAACTTTATGTTAAGTGAAGACCGCCTACCCATAAACATTTATAGAACCTGAAGGCTTTTAAAAAGTGGGTACCGGTTACCTCACCAGAAGAAACGCCTAAGTGTAATACTTCCGCTTCACGCCGGTCTTCTGTCAGGCTATACTTCTAAATGTCTATGTTTTTTATATTGCCTGAAACCTGAGCTACCACCATTACCTTAACTCTGGCCGTCTCCTTGCCAGAGTGACTCGTCGAGTGTGCAGTCATTGCAGCAAACCGCCTGCTACGACTCGGACTCGCATAGCCCCAGTCGGATCTCGCTCGACCAGCTCGACCACCTCGACCACGACCCACCATTGCTACCGGCAGAGACCAAGAAAACAACAGAGACGCGACCCAAGAGAGAAGAGAAGGAAAAGCAGCCGCCCCCGAGACGGGAGTCTCTATTCTCGAGCCAGCCCAACTCCTTGGAGCTTCCGTGGCTGAATGAAGCGAAGACCCAAAGCCCTGGCGCTGACCTGGTTCCGTTGACGGAGTACGAGGAGGTGCAGCTGCTGAAGAAGGTAGAGGGCGCGCTGGTCAGGGCTCGCCGCCCCTCCGCAGCCGCCCATCTGCACAGGTTCAGGGCCAAACTGGCGCTCAGACGGCTTAAACGGCATAAGCACCTGCCAATATTTGATCTGGACAAGTGAGCATGGTCCTGTTTCTATGTCATCACCAACTGGCTAGCACGCCAACCCTAGTTTAATGGGATGTTTGTTAAACATTAATATTAGTTTTATTACATTGTCTGCATTTTTAGAGCCGTCAAATTGCTGAGCGGCTACGCGACCGAGGATCCCAGGGTGGTGATGAACGCAGAGAGGGTCTTGGACAGGTTCCAAAGATCGGTGAGTCTGACATATTAAAACGCTTATCAGTCCCCGCTGGGATGTTGTTTGATTACTATTTGTTTTCTATCTGCCAAATGACTCTTATTATTTTATTTGCTTATGTTATCATGAGCATGCTACACACACAAAATTTCAAACATAAAATGAGGTATACATATTTACATATTATAACTTGGTAAATCATCACGTGTTTTGTAAATTTTATCATTATTCTGCAATATTGTAACACTCAAATAATTTTGTAATTATATGACTAAATTAATAGTTGGGTTTTCATTTAATTTTATTCCAGCATTGTAACTTCTTAATATAAGCTGTTAATTTCGTACGAAATAAATTAATATATAAATAACTGTACACACATATATTATATGCAACATTGTGTGCTACTCACAATAATACACCATTTGTGTGGATATCTATCAAAATATTAAAAGTGGTTTGTGCCACCGACCACTGGATACTGGATTTATGGTTATACACTTTTCCATGGGGACCAGTACCTGCTGGACAACCTGAGCGGCACGGTGTCCTGCCAGCAGAGGGGCGCGGCGCTGGTTTCGAGCGGGGACTGCGCCCCCTTCCGCTCGCCCTACTCCGGGGTAGCGCTGAAGCCCTACATCAGGAGGGACCAGGACTGCGCCCCCCTCTGGCTGAGGCTTACCGACGAGCTCCTAGCAAGGACGAACCGGTGAGTGCTGTCAAATTATTGTCTATGGTTGTCAAGTAAACATTTAGTAGTTCATAGATACCGTTCTTCTATATGTCGAAGCCCAGCGTGCTGGTTCATAGCCATTGAATTTAGCCAGAGTCGGACATTTCTCTTAACATTCCGTTTCACTGTGTCAGTCTGAGCTGACCTATTTTTACCTAAAAGTTTTCTAAACTATATTGATTCCTTCCAGCATGTCCGCTCTGCTGAATACAAAAACATAATTAATTTTATCTGTAATATTTATATGGAAAAATTATGAATGAAATATAAAATTCCCTCAAAAAGCGATGTGATCCCAACCAATGACAACTTTTTGACTTTTACCAATAACAACTTTTTGACTTTTACCAATAATTCCAAGTTATTCAAATAAACCTTTATCAATTGCATTGAATGCTTTCACTCCAAAGAAGTATACTTATTACGTGCGTACATAAGTACACACATGCTTTTTTTATATTCGATCGTTCATATTGAGAAGCGAGCAACGAATTGACGGGTTCGAACCCCCGACAGGCACGTGGCCGACTACCGGCCGCCGCGGCACGCAACCCTGGACTACTCGTACGTGAGGCCGCAGCACGTGGCGCCCGTCAACGCCCTACTGGCGCACTTCTTCTGGCCCGGCGTCGACAGTGAGGCCCCGCTTTCCTATACCGTTTTAATTTCAGAATGAACCGTAGAGACCTCCCGATGGCCATACTCGTATTGTATTTACAAAGACCCCGCTTTCGTAAACCGTTTTAATTTCAGCATGGGCCGTAGCGATCTTCTCATAACCATGTTGTTAAAAAATATAGATATCGACATTTAACGTTACGGAAGATTTTATAAATATATCACCTACCTACTACCGGAAAAAACGGAGATTTTCTTAAAATTAATAGTGCAAGCAAAATTTTAACTATTACTTTAAAAAAATATATTTTTAAATATTACTTAATTGCATACTTTACTTCACTAAAAATAGTAACCTTATATGTGACAAGGTGGTAAACTAGGTGGCGGGTTCACTCGATGTTAAGTGATAACCGCCGCCCACTGACATTTGCAACACAAAAAAAAAGAAGAAAGTGCTTATTTTGTACTTTTTTTTATTCTTTTTAGGGTTTCCTACCTTAAAAGGTAAAAAAGTAAACCTTAGAAGATCACTCTCTTGTCCATCTGTCTGTCCGTGTGTCACCGTCGATTTTCTCAGGAATGGATGAACCTATGGTTTTCGATTTTTTTTTTATTTTTCGGAATTTTCACTTTACTTGCTTTTAACCAAAATTGACAATTCCAAGTCAACCGGAACTACCCTATACGTTTCGGGTCGAAAGTTTATACTATAAATATTCTAGCCGCGCATACATAACATCCATGACTGTTTACGTTTCCTTCGCTCTCAATTCTTTCTTCCTTGACAGTAACCGAAGCACTCCAGCACCCTGAGTTCAGTTGCGTGGTGACGTACAAGAAGCTGGTGGTGGCGTGCGCCTTCCTAGTACCGGACGTCGGTCACAACGAGGCCTACATATCCTTCATACTCACCAGACCCGAATGGAGGAACGCCAAGATCGCCACCTTCATGCTCTACCACTTACTTCAGGTATACAGAAGAGAGAAATCAAATTCAAATATCTTTATTCAATTTAGAAGCATTACACTTACTTATTGATTGTCAAAAAACACTACTACCGGGTCGGAATTAAAGCCACTGACCTGAGAAGAACCGGGGAAAGAAACTCAGGAGAACAAATTTTTAGCATAATTTGACAAAAAATAACAATCATGAAGAGAATATATTAAATTCCAATCAGAAAAAGCATTCTAAAGTACAGTAAATGGCCAAAAAGTTCACCTGTCCCATTTAAGATTAATAAAAGATAGGTGAAATATAGAGGAACAAGATACATAGAGAGCATCTGTCACTGTCTATCCTATTATAGTTAAAAGAGAAAGAGATAACTTTATTGAAGTTATCTCTTTCTTTATCTAAGAAGTAAATAATTCAACATAGAAATGTATGTTTTGAACTTTTATTAATTAAAAAATATCTTATCCACTTAAAATATCTGCCAGCTGAAATTTTAAGTGATTTTATTTTTTTGACATTCTCAATAAAATATTTTTATTTTTTATTTTTAACAGCTTACAAAGATGTTTTGTACTTTTTTTTTAGACATGTACAGGCAAAGATGTAACTCTACATGTTTCACCAACAAATCCAGCAATATTCCTCTATCAAAAATTTGGTTTTAAGGTGAGTCACGCTTATTATTTGAAATCAAATAAATCTTTGTTACAAGAACATTGGCCACATGCGCTACAAGAAACTTTATAGCATTGGAAGCAATGCTTGGCGCATCCATTGTTATATCCATTGTGCTTTAAAAATGTAGATAAAAAACGTTAAGATTTTCGTCGGTGTGGCAATCAGCCGTTTAGCTTAGTGGCTAAAGAATCAGGCCGCGAATGTCGAAGACATGGGTTCGATTCCCACAGTGGCGACAATCTTTTCGTACTTTATACACAAATTTTAATGGGAACATATACTTATAATTAAAACAATATAGAATGTTAGGTATTTTTTTTAATTTTCATTTGTTACTGGTAAGAGGTTAAAGGCTACCGTCTGCTACATTTTCTGCCTTAATTAGCTTTGTGAGGGAACATCACTAGCTGTGTCTCTTCTCTATAAAGGTTAAACTTGTATGTATGTAAACAAGCATGCAGTCTGCATTGGCTTTACATATGGCAATGCATTTAATTACCCAAAAGCTTCAGGTTTCAAAGGTTAAGTATGAGTTGCATGCAAAGTTGTTACATTAGATATTATTCAATTGTGTAGAAAGATTCTGAAAAACTTTCTTATTCAAAATAAAGATTGTTCTTAGTTCAATTGAATCAAATTTTATTTAATAAATAAAAGCATTGTAACTGTAAAATCTGAACATAATTCAAACAGCACTGACTAGTCATTGTATTTTTTATAAAAAGTAATATATAAATACAATTATGCAAGCAACTCATTGTTTGCCCACTTGCTTTTACATCAAAATAAATAGCAACCTGAGTTCTAATGAAATCAGCACCAATGAAATTGTTAATAGCAATTTTAAGTACTCAATTATCATATACTTAGCAGGGAAGGAAAACATCATGAGGAAACCTGCATATTTTCGACATAATATATTTGTAAAATATGTGAAGTCTGCCACTCGACAGTGGGATTTCCATGGTGGGCCATGCTCTAATACCCTATGTACTTTTATATAATCAGGGAATTCAGGGTACACAATACCTAGTTTAGTTTGTGTTTATAATTAACCAATAGATGTTTACATATTTAACGGAGTAAGGATGTTTAAGAAATAAGAAATGTTTATAGTTAAATTACATTTATTTGCTGGTTTCTAATAGTTTCATACTTTGTTTAGGAGGCTTATTAATAAAAGCCTCCTCAATAAGATAGTCATAGATTTTTCTAGTTTTGTTGACATCTATTCTCAACACTCGCCGAGCATCCAGGAGTCTTAAGAAACCCATCTTATTGTTTTCAGTAATTAATTGTTTCTTAATTTCCATATAGTTTTTGGGTAATAGTCTCAAATTCGAACACAGGGTCTTTTCACTATCCAACAGGAGATGGAAACCCGGCAGGTCAACAATATCCAAAGGCATTGATGCCCTCCGAAATTTCTTACTTAAATTATCTTTCATTGCATACCGTTTCATCTTTACAGGGGACTGACTCTCATATCTGTTCTGCATTACAGACGTAAGAAACTTCTGTTCCTTGAATGTTAAAGCATTTTCTTTCTTCAACTGTTGATATAGTCTGGCAGAATATAATGTCTTTATACCATTTTTTCTATATTCACTCAATCTGAATATTCTTTGTAACAACTCATCCTCCAAGCTCAGTGACTCCATAAAAGCATCAAACTGCATACCTTTCATAAACTGCATGAATGCAACTAACCTCTCTGTCTTACATCTCATTAGAGTTTCATCAAATTTTTTTAACCATGAAAGAAATTTATTTAGTATTATTAAACCATGATTTTTTATGATAGTATAACGCCTCTGTCTTTCCTTTAGTCTAGTGTTAAAAGCTTTAACCAAACTAACTTTTAATGCATCCATACATTCATCTTCTTCATCATCTGAGTAGCCATCCTCCATGTTGAATATATTTTCTGCATTATGGTCGTAACTGAGTTCAAATTCAGATCTATATGCATTATAACCGGCAAGGAGCTGGTCAGACTGGTTGTTCCTTGGTGGATTTAAACTGGTTTGCAAATTATATAAGTAGGGAGTCATGGGCTTTGGAAATAGGGACTGTTCGGTTTCGGGCAATAACTTTAATTCATTACACTGTACATTTTCAATGTAATATTTCTTATAATGTTCTTGACATTCAAGTTTTGAACGTGTGTGCACTATCTTGGACACTTCTTCCCAATTGCCGAAGCCATATGTTGATATTGCAGACAGGAGCTTACACTCCTCTTTAGCTGACCAGTTGCAGTTGTCGAATAGGGGAAAGTCGTTCCTGCGTACCGCGTATTTATGATCGTTTCTGTGAAAGCCAGGCTCCTGGCCGGTAGCGAAACATCCAGTGCATATGTTAGTATCGCATTCGCAACATTCTATAAAAGGCTCGTGTGCCACCTCACTGCACGCGTCGCACTTAACTTGTAGTATATCAATGGACATCTTTTCCCCAGGTTGAGGAGCTAATACAAGATTTTTACGAGAAGTACTACGACATCGACTACAAAGGATGCCGGCATGCACTATTTTTAAGATTAGCTCGATAAAAAGTTGTTAGAAGTATGGAGTTTTATTTGTTTATAGCTAGGTTGAAATTATAAACAACTCTTTTCTTGATCTCGTTTGCTATACATGTTATATTTTAAATATGAAAGTATTTATGTTTATAAATAAAGCAACAACCACCGAGATGCCCTTGTCTATTATCAGTATTTGACAGATTGACACTGACTGATAAATTTTCAGTGCTGCCAAGTCGGGCCAAATTTTCAGAAATTAAAAGTGTTCCTTTATAAATATATATTACGGCACTAAACATCGCGTTGGGAAAATAAATATGAGGGGCACACTGAAGTGATCAGGAATAGAATATTTCGGATTGAGTTACAATAAAACCTTTTTTAGGATTTGAATACTGCCTCTTAGAATCTTAATGAAATTCAAACAGTTATAAAAACAAAAACTATGTGTTGGTTTAAAGTCGAAACGTAGTGATTACATTCTCTTTGGTTGACACGTTAACAGAATTTTCAGTGCCGTAATTTATCACAATTTTCGTCGCGGCTTATCTCAAGATAAATGTCTCAGCGAAGTTGTTTCGATTTATAATGTTGAAGCACCGAGTCAAACAACAATATACCGCTGGTATGCCGACGCGGTCGTGTGTAGCTCAGCACTGTTTCTTCTGCAGGTTGACCAAGAACAGCGGTCACGAAGCTGTGGAAGCGTACAAATCAGCCATTTTGTCAACATCAATTTCAGACTGGAATTACTGTTTTAATGATTGGTTTGCACGAATGGAAAAGTGAATTAAGTTGAACGGAGAATACTTTGAAAAACTATAAAATACAGTTTAGCTATACCGTGATGTGGTTTTTCTTATTCCCGATCATTTCAGTTTATATACTGACAGTAGACAATATGTATATAATTTATGTTCTTAACTTCATAGGTAATTATTTTTCTACATGAACACCTTTTAATATGGTAAAATTATTGTTTACATCTGACCTGAAGTTAATTATAGTATTTACAAGTTAAATTTTTAAGTCTAACTAAGGTAGTTTTGAGGAGGGTGCTAGTCCGTTCTTGTATCACTAAATTTAAAGGAATAAGAGGGATTTGTAAAAAGAATTGTTGCAGAAATTTCTTTAAGTACATACTACGATTTTGTTTCAGTATCGTTCAATAATCGACATTTTCGTTCAGTACCCCAACCCTAGTATTGTCTTTAATTTATTATTATCAATGTCCCGCTTGTCATCGTATAAACATCGTTTATCAAACTGTAATGATATAAACTTTTAAACATATCGAATTCGCGATTTCGATTATGCTTGTAAAAGTAATAAACTGTTTCAAATATTCACGCATGCATGATCTTTTTTTTTAATTTTATGAAAAATATTTGATAAATTTTCAACCGTGTTTTGTAAATAAAAATAGTTGTTTGATTGTATTATTTTCAAAATATTTGAATTTTACATTGTTTTATCATCTTGTATTAACTGATGTTTTTGCTTTCAGTCCCGAGACTATTAAAGCTTCATCGGACGCAGAACCGGTAGGCTAGCCAGAACCCACGGGTTTGGACCCTCCGTTATGGGTAGGGTCGCGCATGTGCTCATGCGTGCGTTTAACTATGGTGTGTCATCTAAGGGCCGTCGAGGTTCGGACCGAGACCCCGATGGCCGTCGACTGTGCATTTAGCTAATCGGTGGCTGGGAGCGGTGAGAACCGCCCCGGAACGCGGATGTACCTTGTGTACGCGTTGTGTTGGTCTCGCCGTGCTCGGAGGCGAGGGCTGGTGTGATTGTTGTTACACTAACTGTGGGTGTAGTGTTATCCGGCGGGACCACCGGCGTTGGGTCCAATTGTTTATTAATAACAACTTGGGTTAAACAATTCAAGTCTTTTTGTAGGTAACATTAAAAATCAATTCTGTGTAACGTTTAAGCTTAGATATATTATACTGGATGGCTTTTCTAAAGATGCCCAAATTCACAAAGGAGGTTCAGACTCGGTAGTATAATCGTTTATTGAAATAAAAACAAAATTTTTTTCAAAAAAATTGCCAGTCCGATCCCTAAAATCAGAACTTGTAGACAATGCGGTAGTCATTCATAAATGCGTCGTATACTTCTGAAACGAAATTGTGTGCGTGTTAGTTATGGATGATCGCGCGTAAAATAAATGAGTTGCCCATAAATTTCGCACTTTTTGATATAAGTTCAGATGAATGTATTTAATTAATTACGACTGATTTTAAATATTTATCATTTTTATATAACATTATTTATGTCTACAATTTAATAAAAATAAATGGATACACTTAAAAAAGCCTCCCTGTATATACGACGTATAATATTTATGTAATCAAATTTTGAAAGGTAAAGGTGAACGAATGTTAAAATAATCATATGTTATGTAAAATAAAATCCGTAAATCCTTTTTTTTTTTTCTTTCTTATGAGAATATTTTAAAAGCAAAATATTGTCAAATAAAACCTAATATATCATTTGTATATGATATTATAATCACGCTTATCGTCTTCTAGTGGCAAATAATGATAATGATTTATTATTTTGGAAAATTTCGCTCGTTTGTGACGTTGATCATTTTTATTGCTGACCTGCCTTACGAACAACACTGATTCTTAATCAGTTATGGGTTAAGTTTAAACTAGTCTAATACTGATTTAAAAATAAAAAGGAACAAAATTGTAAAACTTTCTTTTCTGTAATAATACATATAGGTATAGCGTATTTGTATTCATCAGCTGCGGTTTTAAGAAACAAAAACATATATAAAAATGAAGATTTTGTATACCAAGTAGAATCATTGAGATCGATTCGGTAATCGTCTGCTCTGTCGAGAAAATATTAGACTAGGACTAACTACGAGTCATTTTTACAAGTTTACATTGTTTATAACAAAGTCGCTCCCGATGTTTGTACGCTTAGATGTTTTAAACTAGGCAACGAATTTTAATGCGGTTTTTTTGCAACAGATAAGAGTGATTCAAGCGGAAGGTTTATAAATGTAGTATACATGAATATTATAGTAGAGAAAATCCGAGAAATTTAATATGTATATCGCACCCGTGCGAAGCAGGGGCGGGTCGCTGGACTTTGAATAAGCTACAGGTACTACAGGCAGTTGTAGCTAGCCATTTCTTGTTTACTATCAGTGTTGTTTGATGTAATATCAAACTAAATGTAAGCGACAGCCGCACCTCTACCGACGGCACTTGATCTTTTCGTAATAGAACCAGCGTCTAGAACAAAAACACGTGAGCGCCGCTCTAGTGCCTGACCCACATCCCGTTTTATCGCGCTTCGCTCACGTGTCAGCGACTAACGAATTCATTATAAAATACGCTTGCTTAAATTATCATTTGTTTAGGGACATTTCAAAATATATTTTGTACTGAAAATTTTCTTAAATTTTTAGGTACATTCACCCACATGATTTAAAAATCAATGATATCGAAAAAAGAGACAACAAATTCCGTGAAACGTCATAATAAAGCAAGGCGTGTTCATTTTATTGTGATGCGAGAATGTTTTACATTGTTATCGTATCTGTCATAATTTATTGAGCTACCTATATTAAGTTTAAATGGGATGTTAATATTTTTTATTTAAAATATGTTGTAAAGCGTTACAATTATAATAAAAACTAATAAATTTTCAGGTTATCTAGCAAACCTATGGCATAATGCCACCTGCCAAGAACACTATGTCTATTTAATTTTGATCGCACTAAAACAAAATACTATAATTATTTGATTTTATCATCTTAAAGTAAAAGAAGCTTGTCAAATTTTAAATAAATTTCTACAAAATATTAAGTGACATTTCCTTAATAAACTTTGATTACATACAACTATATAGATAAAGTTAATAAGATACAATATAGAAAATTGCTATTAATTAAACCTTTAGTATGAGAAATATGCCTTTGTATATAAGTAAAAGGTAATTTTTATCCTTTAATTGTTATTAAACATAAACGAGAAAGTTATAAATATAATAAAATAATTTTATAAAGAGTAGAGTTCATTCAAAACAACAATATTATTTTTTTTTTACACTAGGACATGTACCAAGAAAATAACACTGAATACCGATAATAATTATCCTTAATGGGAACATACTGTACTATCACAACGTAAAGCTGAAGTCATGAACCCATTATTTTCCAGAGAATTGAACAATCAAATTTATATGCATCTCTGTCTAATACTTACGAACACCTATCAGGTACTTAGTTTTTTATCTCGCTTGCACGCCAAGTGAAGGCCCCAGAATGTTCTAGACGTTTTAATGTATATATTTTGGCGCGACGGCAGCGCAGCGTTTCATTCATTTGTGAAGTAGATAGTGTGAAGTTGTGAGTTGTGTGGTGTGTGAAATTTTGAATATTTCTAATAGTTATTTCTGGATTTTGATTGAAGGAGTAATTGTAAGTATTTTATATAATATTCTGTATTATTTTATTTCTAATTTTTCAATAAAACTAGTATTTTGAGAAATAAAATGATACTTTTAGATGTAGAGTAGGGTTGCGCGGATCGTCGCTTTACGTATCCAAAAAAGGTGTCAGACGTGCGCAAGCTAATAGAAGTAATTTCTTTGTTATAGGTCTATTCAAGAAAATGGGAAAGGATTATTACAAAATTTTGGGACTGGCGAAAGGCGCTTCAGACGATGAAATAAAGAAGGCCTATCGTAAGTTAGCGCTTAAGTACCATCCAGACAAGAACAAAGCACCAGGGGCAGAAGAAAGGTTCAAGGAAGTCGCTGAAGCGTACGAAGTGCTATCAGACAAAAAGAAACGAGAAATCTACGATGCGCACGGTGAGGAAGGCTTGAAAGGCGGTATGGGCGGCCAGAACGGACCAGGTGGCGGCCAGTCGTTCTCTTACACGTTTCACGGAGATCCACGAGCCACGTTTGCACAATTCTTCGGCTCGGCGAGTCCCTTCCAGGCCTTCTTTGACCTTAACGGCGGCTCCGGTGGCACCACGATGTTCTTCGACCGTGACATGGACGTCGATATGGATCCCTTCGCAAACATGGGCATGGGACAGGCAAGACCGGGTGGGCCCGGAGGCGCCTTCCGTAGTCATAGTTTCAACTTCCACGGCTCTCCTAACAGGAAGGAGAAGACCCAGGACCCGCCAATCGAACACGACCTCTATGTGTCTCTGGAAGATATTGCGCGCGGCTGCGTGAAGAAGATGAAGATCTCCCGCCGTGTCATACAGCCTGATGGCACATCTAAGAAGGAGGACAAAGTGCTGACTATACATGTAAAGCCCGGTTGGAAGGCTGGTACTAAGATCACTTTCCAAAAGGAAGGTGACCAGGGCCGGAATAAAATACCAGCTGACATTGTGTTCATTATTAGAGACAAACCCAATCCACAGTTCAAGAGAGAAGGCAGTGATATTAGGTACACAGCGAAAATCTCACTCAAACAGGTAAGAATCTTATATTGTTTTTTAAAAACATTTTCATCAATATATTGTTTTCTTAGAGCTTTTAACATAAGACAATTGGTCCCAACCATAACAATATGAGTCACTGATACAGGATGTCAATATCAATTTGAGTTTAGTCTAATAGAATTATCTGTGACTCATTACATGTAAACATTAAAGCTTCTGCAATATTTAGCTTTACATACAAAATATCTAACCATATATTGTTTCTTTGTTACAGGCTCTATGTGGCACAGTCATCACGGTACCAACAATGTCTGGTGAAAAGCTGACTGTTAATCTCCAAGGTGAGGTTGTTAAACCACATACAGTGAAACGGTTCCCAGGATATGGGCTACCATTCCCAAAGGAGCCAACACGGAAAGGAGACCTGCTTGTTGCATTTGACATCAAATTCCCAGATCGGTTAAGTTCAGGTGTGAAAGAAATACTCATGGACACATTACCAAACTAAATTTTTAGTATATAGACTGTTGGATATCTCATTAGGACATGATTAAGTGTATAAAGTGGGTTCTGTTTTCTCCATTTATTCGTTTTGGAGCTATGGCAGAATTACACTGTTTATATGCTCAAGTGTTATGATGGGCCATTCCTTCTAGGACATTTTTTTTGTAGAAAACTCTTACTCAATTTGCTTGTGAGTTTTGCTTCAGACAGGTTAAATGGCATGGCAAATGGAATAGTGATTCCTGCTGGACGAATAGTGTTGACTTTTAATTTGACAAATTAAAAGGTTTCTAGCCATGTCAGATGTACTTACTAACCAGGCCAGTGTTTGCCAGAAACTGTTGAAGTGGAAGAAGCTTAGTTCATTAAATGATGAATGTGAGTAGAGCCTGTTTGCCATACTGAATGTTGGCACTATGGGTGTGTAAAAGCTGCCTTATGCATGTCTGGGTGTACTTCGTGCGTTGTAGTACGAGGGACGGAGAGTTTGTGACATTGATGTTGTGTGCACAATTTGTATTTAATTTGTTGAGCTGTAAATATTTTCTATACTTGCGTATTGTACATAATGTGATCATAGAACAGTGATTGTAAGTTTTAGGTTTCGAATGGACTTGCCAACAGCTATTGGAAGAAATATCTATGTGCCAATCAATGTGGAGACTGTAGATTTTAAATTCAAAACATTGATTAATAATTCCATAGCATTGTAAATGGTCTAGAAACAAAGAACTGACAATTGCATTTAATTGGTTTTTGAAATAGAATTTTAATTTTCTATTGAAAAATTACATTTCAAAGACTGTACAATAAATTTAAATTTATAATAATCATTATCTATGTAGTGACATTTCTCATATAAAAAAAACTTATCACTTATAATTGCTGTTTAAAATAACTAATAAATATTTGAAACTACACAATTTCTTTTGTTTCGCATCTGGGTGTTTGTCCGCGTTAAATTTATGTTTGTAAAACGTCCCTACAACACAGGATAATGTTATCCTAAAGTAAGGGCAATGTTTTAAAAAAGAAAAAAAAAAAAAAAAAAAAAAAGAAAAAAAAAAAATGTGTGTACATGCCTCTTTGTTATACTAAATGTTTACAAACAAACCAAGCAATTGCTCATAATTAATAATTTTTTGTATAATCTGAAAGAAATTTCCTTAAATATTCATTGTTACATTACATAAATGATTCTGTACTAATAAATAAGTTTTCTTTGATAATTAAATACCTACCTTAAAACTATTTCTCATCAAGCATTTTTTTTTTTAATATTGTTCTGGCCATAAATTTATTAAAAAAAAAACGATTGTTTTGTCACTTTGTGAATGACAATAAAAAGTATAACTGGTACATATTCAAGGGTACCGAATGGTAGTCCAGCAGTATATTTAAACAGCTGTAGAGGCGCGGTCACGGCTAGAGTTGGCACGGCCGGCAGCACCGGGCCTTGGCGCTCTGCTGGAAATACGCGGCCGAGAAAAGCGCTTGTCGTTTCGCCATATTAGCGAAATTGTTGCGTTCGATTATACATTGATTAATACATCCACGCGCCGTATTAAGCGCGAACAAAACCACATAACCGACACGGACGTTACCGGCTGTCAAGTCTGTAATTATTGAAGAGATTTATGTTTCTAGTAAAGTTAGTTGACGACTTGAGACACATTCAATAGGAACTGTTTGTAAATCATTAAAAAAGTAAAAAGATATAGGCAGTGTCATTCGACAAGTGCAATCAAACATGGATTTTCCATAACTTTAATTACAGTTTCATGAGTGGGGACACTAATTGTTGGTATGGTACATTGCTGTACCTATAAGGAACCTCATAGATTTTCGCACTGATTAAGCCCCAAATATCTGAATTTGGATCTAATTTATAGTCCAAGCAGTCGTGAAGAGAAACTTGTGAAATTTCGTTTAGCTTTGTCATTTTCTATAGCGAATGATGTTTAATAAAAATAATCTGATTTTTTTTTACTGGACATAGAATCAGTGCAGTGAATCTGCTCGTAAAGTGGTTGGTGGTTTTCCAAAAAGTTTTTATATATCTACCGCTTGAGCGTCGATTGCCGCGCTTTCCGCGGCCACGTTCCGTCAAGTCGCATGTCGGACGTCATAGGTAAAAATACCCGTGGCGCCCGCCCCCGCCTCTCTGTAGAATTATACAACGGCGGTCCAACGTGAATATCATTATCTACTATCATATCTATGTACGCGGCACTCGTCTATTTGTGTTTCCTATTTAAACGATGTATTGCATACGTGTGCCCTACGTCGTTAGTCCAGACGTTAGATGCCGTCTGTGTAGTACATACTTTATTATAAAAAAGCGTGGGGTATTCCTTATCAACTGTTGTAGATATTTCAGTTTTTTCTTTATTTTTATAATTTAAATATAGAAGGAGACTTGATATAATAATATTCATAAGCTGTCGATGTTGAACTGTTTTGAACGATGTTGTTTCTGAAAGTATGGAATCGGCTAAAGGAAGCAAGCATACTGCGTACAGAATGTATATTATTTTCAAGTCTATTTATTTATAAATTATTTGTAATAATATGTCATCTATCCACAGATTAATTTTTTTGTGCTGTATATTATTCAGATTAAATAGATATTGTAATTATTTTTAGAAGAACGATATATTGAGGAGTATAACAAAACAAAAAAATCTATAATAGATTTCACACAGTCATCGCGTTTTGTCGGGCATGTTGGTTCAACGGTTTGAGGATAAATGAAAACTCGGGTTATACCAGTGGAATTGCTTATTCATTTAACTATATTTATTACTACGAGTATTATACCACTACAGTTAACACAAGAAACCATACAACAAAGATCCACAATAAGTTATATTATGTGCATCCTTTTATTATGTTAACTTGTACGCGAAGATAATATTGTTTACCTTTGCCTTTATGCCACAATTGAGAGACAAGTTGGTAATAATTCGCGCTCAAACCTAAATTATGCCTAACTGATCATCACAAAAAAGTGTATTTGAATTTTTTTAAGGTTTCGGTATTTTTTTCCGTTAGCACCGGGTGTCTTTCGACCTAACAAAAATTTTGTTCAATATAGAAACATTAATAACCAACAAAAACCAGACTTCTCCGGTCGCTTAGTTTTCGAGAAAAAAAAATTAATAAATTAAATTTTTACTAAAGAAATTCGCCATTTGTTTTTGACAACATGTCTTATTATTCGCTTATTACTTCATTATTAAATTTGAATCTTCCGTGCGCTTCGCCAGAACTCTCGTTATGTCGCCCCAGAGTGTCACTTCAACCCCTCGGCTTTCATTCCACTACGATCTTCTGGCTCCGCCTTCCTTTAGGGACCACAAGACCACATAAAGTTGGGGTGCTCTGTGTCACGGTTAGATCTGTCTCTTTAAATATTTAAAAAAAATTTAATCGAACAATCGATAGGCTCGAGTATGACGTCGCCCGATTCCTATATTTATCATGTTGGCAGTACTGTGTATTTTTGGTTTTGAAAAAATGCCGGACTTGCTTAGTGAAAATAACAAGTTTTAAATATGTTTTATCTCTAAAACTTTACTCGACTGGAGAATTCTGCTTGTTGATTATTTCATTAATGTTTTTTTTCTACCGAATGAATTTTTTGTTAGAAAAACATCCCGTGCTAATAGAAAATATTACTTTATGAAATTCAGAAGAATAAAAATTTTAAAGTTATGTGAAGTCGTTAAAGAATTTATAATTGTTATTCTAGATTTGTCATCCCACTGTTCTTGTTTAGATTGGTCTGGAATGCAAGTTTTATTAATAACCCTATTAGTTACTAATTACTCTATTTAATTGCAAGCTCCGTTCACTTCACCATTATTTTTATAACAGTTTTATATCTACTTTTATAATGCTAGAAGTAAAAGGAATTTTTGATTCTTAAACCATTTTTTTCGTGATCAATTTTGTTTTACCGGTTATTTTAGAGGTACGAAGAACCGCCAGGAGATGCAGATGCAATTCTGAAAATATTTTTTTTTACATGATACATCTTCAACTTACATTTAGCACAATTACATTGTTCTAAATGTAAGTTGAAGGTCTTTTTAACATTTAATAAATAAAAATAACAGTTATAATAAATAAATAAATATTTCAGGACACATTTTTACACGTTTTCTACTCCCAAACTAAGCAATGCTTGTACTATGGATACTAGATAACTGATAAACATACTTAAGCAAACTTTTATTGTGTAAATAAATAAATAAACACCCAGACACTGAAAAAACACTATGTTCATCACACAATATTTACGTGGGATCGAACTCACACCCTCTGGCTCAAGGGCACCCACAACGCCAATATTTTCTTTTACAAAAAAGCCGCCAAGTGCGAGTCGGACTCGCGCACGAAGGGTTCAGTACCATACCATTTTTTAGTATTTGTCGGGTATATAGGGGCAACAGAAATACATCATCTGTGAAAACTTCAACCGTCTAACTATCACGGCTCATGAGATACAGCCTGGTGACAGACAGAAATACAGGCAGACAGACAGTGTAGTTTTAGTAATAGGGTCCCGTTTTACTCTGCGGGCACGGAACCCTAAAAAGAAAAAGGTAGCTGTTGTGCACATTAGACCTTTTTAGCGAGTAAAACATCCGTTAAGCCAGTGACCGTTTCCTTCAACATAACCTAATTTAGGAATAGACAAGCTAGGTCAATGAACGGCGTTGCGCTATTTGAATGTTTTCCACCTTTGTTATTTGTTTAGTTCACTTCCTAAATGTGCGCCACTTCTCACACGACTGACTGACTTGTGTTTGTTTATGAAATTTGAAATTAATTAATTGATCGTACTGTCATATAATTTGAGGGCTAATCTCGTTTGTGTTATTGTAAGAACTACGATTGAAAACATTACAGTTTGTAAATGATTCTCGACACGTTGTCGTCTAAATGCACGCGTCACGATTTATTGCTATAGCTAACCTTCAGTTGACGTCCGCGGGCGCCGGGCTGTACATTTCCGCATTAGTCGTGCGATAGAACTGACAACCTCTGTTAATAGTGCTACATACTTTCGAGCGGTCACGCTATATTAGGCTAAGTACAATGAATTGCCTATTGCTTTAGCAGCCTCTTAATTTAGACGTTCTGAATGATCGATGTTCTCTCTTTCCGGCACCATCTTCCGGCTAATACAGCCTGTCGAGGATAGAAACACTCGTCTCTGTCTTCGTCGTCGTAAACACTTAAATAGTACATTTCCTGTTCTAAGTGATTAGGTATCTTAGGATTTATTATATTGCGCACTCAATGGCTTCATCTGCAATTTGCAATCGACTAATGTGTTTAAGCATTCATTTTGCTAGATTTTGCATTGTATTTTTTATTACTTAATAGTTATAGCCTTAATAATATTTTTGTAAATTCAGGTACTTATTAATATGACTGATATTGAGCGTATATTATCTAATTTTAAAGTTTAATTGCACGCTAGTTAATAACTTGCCGGAAATTGCTGGAGAAGAAAATTTTCAAATAGTCCCTTTTTTAATTTTGAAATTTCTTTTAAATAGATAATTGTGTTTGAACTAATAATTTTTTTTTTTTATGCGAAAAGTTGTCAAACGAGCAGACGGTTCACCTGATGTTAAGTGAATACCGCCGCCCATGGACATCTGCTACACTCGAGGGTTACAGATGCGTTGACAACCTTTTGAAAATTGGGCTCCGGCTACCTCACTCACCAAGACGAAACGCGAAAATTTGTCATACTTCCACTTTTTTCTTTTGAGGTCGTGGTACTTACCCGCACGGGCCTGCCCATTCGTGCAACAGCCGAGGCTGCTGCGTGGCCCTACCACCGTAAAAATAATAATCGTAATTGAGTTAAATCAAATATTACTACTATGAATACAATTTAGGGAAGCTGAATAATATTGGGGATCACGAAGGTAGACCAAACAAAAAAAAATTACTAATTAAAAAGTATCAAACTATAATTTCCTCATATATTCCTCATACATGTCTAACAAAATATTGGCAAAGATTTAATTCATTTGTAAAGCACAAATGAATTATTTTTTTCATTTAATCAATTTGGGCTTAACACTATTCTAATAATATTATTTTATTTATATATTATACTTTTATTATAATGTATAAACAAACATTACACAATAATGAAAATACGCAATTATCCTAGACGTACAATTATTTCCAGAACCATCCCGTTTGGCAGAACTGCTATTAAATTGTGTGAATGCAATACGGATCTTTATTAAGGAGGAAAACAACCTATAAGTACAACAAGTTAAGGTTTCTTTTAACTTGACAGTGAAGACTCGCGCAAAAACCGCAATGGAAGATTCGAGAACAAGTCTAACGCGGCTGCGTCGCGGAGGGTGATCGCGCATGTTCGAGAAAGTCGAGAATGTTCGATCCAGTTGCACTGGCTTAACATTACGTTGTACGACGTACGTGCTCGCTTTAAGACAATAATAATTATTATCGTAATAGATTTACGGTAGACGTCATTTCATGTATTGTAATATTGTTTAGCAAACTTAAGTTTATTAGGTTTAAATCTTGTTATTAAAGGTAGAATGGTTTTTAAGGATTCAACAGAAATATTTATTAAAAGCACGTTAATTCTTATTGGACAATGATGTAGTGAATTATTTATTGCTTGTAATATGGTGGCTTAAAACTCACTGGGGTGTGTTTAATAATTAAAGTACCTTTATGTGCATTAACTTTTTTAAGTTTCAAGTGCAGTTTGATTTCTTTATTATTTTAATGGAAGTTTCACCTTTTAAGATTAGACAGAATCTGAAGACTTCGCATAGAATAGGCTAAAAATGTTCTCTTATTATTCTTTGATTTGAAAAAGTAGGGTACTTATGTGGAATGTTTTATCTGTACTACTGATGGGAAAATTATAAAAGTGAAGACATCACAAACACATATCTCAGATATCTTGCGTACCTACATGTAACTGTAAACGCACGTGCTTTTTGAATATCACGTGTAAAGAAAACGTGACTCCCGACAGAAGCCACGCATACGGCATACTATCTGACAAGGCAGTATAACCCGGCTAGATTTGAAATATATTATTTCTTCGGGTATCTTGTATTACGTTGGTAATATATCAGTCGCTCGGATTAACATTGTTTACCTTTTTAAGTGTAACGCGGCCGAGTTTAAAATCTTAAAAAGCAATTTGCTGCGGAGCGTTTACCATTAAGATTTAATTTATATGGGTTATAGCGCGATCAAGAGATTATGCTAGGTTTCGAAAACGATCGTTCGTCGATGAACTTAAAACATCTATGAGTATGACCATCAATGTTTTTGTTTTTGCGGTCAAGGTGAGTTTGGATTTAATTCTGTATTTATTTTTAAATTTTGTTTAGACGACATTTATTCTATTGTGATATGTGATATTGAATAATATCTAGTTTGACTGATATGTTATATAGTGTTTTATGGTTGTGTTATTGTGTGTATAAGTACTTAATGTCGGTAATCGAGTTATAATAAAATGTACATTAGGAATTTTGGAATTATTAAATAACCTGTAATATTAGTAAACAAAGATAGCTAATGTTAGCTATCTTTCTTTATTTTCGTCTCAAACAGTGGTGAACGTTGGGTGAGCGTTGTCACCTTTTCCTGGCGTTGTATAGTAATTTTATTCATGCCTTTCCGACGCTGAGCTGATTACTTTCGTTTCGATTGGGTTTTTTACGACCGGCTGCTTGACCTTGGGAACAAACGCCCAGATCCGGAAAAATTAGCTACGGGTCACACAAATACTTGTCTCTTGTGGAAATCTAACCGACCCACTGCGGCAGCATCAGAGTTTAGCAACTGCGCTAACGAATCATTTATTTTAGTAACAATATAATTTTTATAATTTTCTTATGAATGGGGAATCAATTTGTCAGTTATTTTTGGATCAACGGTTGTATCATGAATATTATTAATGCCAATGAAATTTAAATTGAATTTGAAAGAATTTAGGAATAGACATCGATTATTGCTTAGAATTAAACCAAGGTGTTTCATTCGTTTACCGTTTAACTAATTATTCATTTAACCAGGCAGCCATTGAAAGTAAGTGTTTTATGTAATTATGCTCATTGTTCGCATATATTGTTCGAGCAATCCCTATTTTTCCATTTTCCGACGACCCGAATGGCGTAGTCGTTAGTATACCTGCCTCCTGCGCCAGAGGGTGTGGGTTCGATCCCCACTACTGGAAAAAATATTGTGTGATGAGCATAGTGTTTTTCTAGTGTCTGTGTGTTTATATATGTATAATGTGTATTTATTTACAAAAAAAAGTGTGTTTAAGTATATCTATCAGTTTTCTAGTACCCATAGTACAAGCGTTGCTTAGTTTGGGACTAGAGGATGTTGTGTAAAAATGTGTCCTAAAATGCTTACTATTTATTTATTATTTCAATCCACTATTATAACATAATTATGATGAGTGCAAGCGTCATCATCAGTCTTAATTGGTTGCAAGAAAATTACGCTAGCACCAAAATGTTGCCTTCACCCGTGGAATTACCCAACGTAATAGTATGCTGAATTAGATAGTATCGTAATCAATCAAGATAAAATTAGTCCTAGTGATATCACAAAATAAGTCCAGTAGTTATTGTGTACGTATTTCTATATCTGACGAATAGTTAATAAAAATGAAAAAAACCCCCTAAGTGCGAGTCGGATTAGCGTACGAAGGGTTCCGTACTGTTATATATGAAAACGGCAAAAAAATTATATCTGTAGTATGGGAGCCCCACTTAAATATTTTTTATTCTCTTCTTTTGTTATAGCGGCAACAGAAATACATCATCTGTGAAAATATCAACTGTCTAACTATCAAGGTTCACGAAATACAGCCTGGTGACAGACGAACGGACAGACAGGCAGACAAACAAGCAGACAGACAGACAGATAGTGGAGCCTTAGTACCGTTTACCCTTTGGGTACGGAACCCTAAAGAATACAATAATAACAAACATAATATTTAGTTTTATTATTCTTTTATTTTTGGTGAGATTTTAATGCATTAGTAATAATTAATAGAAGACGTCATGAATTGATCACACCTACACATAACAACTTACAGCATAACAACATTTATTCGACGATTGTAAAAGCAAGCAAACTTACCATTAAAAAAGAGAAATACGAAATAAAACTCTACGAAACGTATATAATAACCACCGAAAGCACTTGTTAACATGATATTTCCTTTTATGTTCCCTTCTGGGTTCGGCTACAAAAGAAAAGTATGTCTCCATTATCCATAGTTCATGCGTTGCTTAGTTTGGGCCTAGAGAACGTGTAAAAATTTGTCCTAAATATTTATTAGAAGATCATTTTTTTATTAAAAAAAAAAAAAAAAAAAACAAAACCGACTTCAAATATCCCCCTTTGATTCATTTTACAATTGATTTTCAGGAGTTCCCTAAGTACCTCCGGAGTCCAGGATCCAATACCAACGAAAATAGCATGGGACCACATGGGAAGCGCCAGCTTTCAATTTCAAACAAAAAAAAAGAATCAACAAAATCGGTTCACCCAGTCGAGAGTTCTGAGGAAACAAACATAAAAAATACAGTTGAATTGAGAACGTCCTCCTTTTTTGTAGTCGGTAGAAAATGCGCCCCCGCTCAGCAGACTAAACGCGAAAGTGTGCAATACTTCCACATCACGGCCGTCTTCAATATATTATAACTCTTTTCGTTATCTGATTTGCAATTGCAACGATGTCTCACGTTTGCGGCGAAGTTTCTCGACCGTGTTATTTTTCTTATCAAAGGTACGCGCGGATACGCACGATAACATAATGCAGTAGCGGATTATATTCGAATGAAACTTACTATTTGGAATGCACTTCCTGACACGGCGTACCATGAGATCTCGCATCGATTTGAATCTTAATGCAATTTAAACGGAACGCGTTCGATGGTCGGTTGATATAATGGGCGCTATTTTGAACTATCAGTTCGCGGGCTTTATACCGTATCTGCGTACATTTATATCGATCAAAAACTTCGTGATAAAAACACATCACGAGAGCTAGTCATAGTGTCGGTAAAGTATAATAACGACTGTAATTTTTGGTACATAGTGTATATAGTGTTCAACACTCAGTGGAGTTATTTTTGAAGAGCAAGTTTACTCTATAATGTGGTCATATAATACATCTGCTTTCAAATAGTTAAGCAGTTAGGAGCTCAGATATTATAAAGAAGATAAGCTGTTTGTGTATAGATGTATTATGTATACAGCATTACGATCGGTTAGAGATGGGCGTAGTGACATAATAATTTCGGATTCATATCCTAATGCCAGTGTGCCAATCAGCGCGATGCCAATCTTATTTAACGGGCGCGGAGCGGTGCCAATCCTGCCACAAAGTACGTTATTGTTTACGTTTCGGTATTAATAGTCATTTCGGGCACGCGGACCTCAAAATTTATTAGTCGAAAATCAAGTAAATAATAAATATGTATTTGTGTATAAATCTATCGCTCATAATTTATGATTTTTTTCATTATTATGATTGCAAGTTGACTTGTATTTGTGATATGCAAATTAACTTGCCAACCATTAAACTTCTCTAGTATAAAGGAAACGCAAATATATTTTTTTTTAAATAATAATATATAGTGAGTGATAATAATGATACCTTCGGCAGTTATAAGTTTATCACTCGTTTTATATCCAATGGTAAACTTAATTGTGGGGAGCGTGAATATTTAAAAGTTTAATATTTTAATACGTTTTTAATTCATTCGTCAAATGGTCACAGAAATTTTCACGTTTTCATACCCATAATGGTAAATCAGTAAATCGTCCATTTTCAACACACATTCACACTTTAAGATAAAAAGGTTAGAATTTCAACAATTTTGAAATGCCGCCAAAACGGTCCTGTCATTTCAATGTTACAATATTTTATTTCAGTGTATTTTTTCTCATTATTATTTGGCAGGAGTTTTTGTATTTGCCAATGTTATTGACCGTCATGGAATAATGATAATTTGCAAGTAAGTATACATTTTAAAAATGTAGAAATAAATTGAATAGGATAAAGAGAAAATGTTATAGATGCTCCAATGTGAGATACCTCAAGTGGAAGTGGGCCGCCTACGTAGCACGAATGTCAGATGAAATATGGACGTATTTTGCTATTATTTGTGGAGGTATAACTGGCAAGAGAGCTAGTCCGTCCGAAGGAACGCTGGGTAGACGAGATTAAAAAATATGGTGGAAACGACTGGACAAAGAAGGTAAAGCAAGGAAAACCTGGAAAGAGTTTGATATTAAAAAGGATGAGCTGTATGCTATGTCTGTTAAGACAAATTACAAAGGCTTTTATAATTTTGTCGTGTCTAATTGTTTAGGAATTAATATTTTTAAGAAGTAAACTTATTTATTTTAATAATTAAAATTTCGTCAAATTATTTTTTTTACTGTTTATATTTAAATTGCTTCATTGTAAACAATATTATAACACGTTCCCTAAAATACTTATTAAAATGAATATTTTGTTCAAGTACTTAAAGAATTTGATATCAGGTTAGGCGTGATCTAGAAAAGTAAAAGAGTGATTTTTCAGTGCTTGTTTAGGTTTAAGTAGAAAAACAATGATATCTCGAAAATGATTTCAAAATCTATTTGAGGCGTCCATTTATAACCGCGTACCAAGGTAATCGGATAAATTAATGATGGTCCGTTTACATTGGCGGCCGTTTAACAATGTCTATTTCTATTCATTTTTTTCCCGGTTATTCAGCGGATTTTTTTTTTCTTTCAGTTGCTTTTTGTTATTTTTGAGGTTGTTTCGATTTATTTTAATGTCCTGTTATAAAAGTCGCCCTGTGAGGCTTGCGTATTTAAATGCGTATTTTATTCTTATTTGGCAAAAATCTGATTAGTTACAGTGTGAAATTTCTTTGACAAATTATCCTATGAAATAATTTAATTTTACGTTTTATGTTAAATAAGTTAATAATAAAAATTCATAAATTATTAAGTTTAAAAGGAGATACAAAAAGCGGGCCATCTCAGAGATGAGAACAGTACGCTTTATTTTTTTAAATTAGTTATACCTATTTTTATATACATAAACTTTTTGTACAATAGCGTACAATGGCGGACTTAACACCATTAGGTGTTCTCTACCTCAACCGATAAATAAAAAGAGAAACTAAGAAGGAAGAAGTGCAAGGGACTCAATAGCGAATTAGTATAAAATAATATGATTTAATGTAATATACATACACATACACGTACATAATATTTTATATAAACAACTATTCTCGTCTTATAATCTGTCCCTGCCTTTAGTACATCTTAAGCATCTTCATTTCATCAAAAGCCCTGAGAAGAACTGGCGAAAGGAACTCAGCGGATTGCTTTTATAGGGACTCCAGGAATGGATTCTACAGGATCTAGGCAATAATATATAGATTATCTGATTTAGATATCATGTCCATCTTGATTGTCATTCCCGACCTTAAGGAAAAACTTGTTTTATTTCTTGGACCAAATTGGAATTTCCGTCATTATTAAACGACGTGAAGGTAGCATTATAGTGATAAGGTTTTTTTTATACTGTTATGATATGAACTTTTATTTTTCAATTATTATAAACGTAGTGTAGTAGACAGTTACATAGTATGATATTTTTTTTTACAATGAAAAAGTTTTCGCCACATATTTCTACACAATGCTATAGTCCGAAACTAAGAACAGCTTGTACTAGGCAACTGATGAATATACTTAAAGGTACTTTTCTTTTGTAAATAAATACATATTATAGATACATAAACACCAAAACACTAGAAAAATGTCTATCACACAATATTTTTACAGTAGCGGGGATCGAAACCACACCCTCTGGCGCAAAAGTCAGGGTCACAACACAACTACGCCGATTGGATCGTCAGGCATTTTGAAAGTTGAATGATTTTTAAGCTATAATTTAGTAATCGATAGAGCTAAGCAAAAGCTTCTGTTTACCGGGTTAATCACATTGACCTCACTAACAAGGCATCACAGAGGTCCGGTGTGAAATAGAAGTTTTCTCTGAAAAGCGTCAGTAAGCGTTGTCTTGTACCCCTGGACTAGATGGAAAGCTATGCTAAGAAACTAATTAATTGGTGGCCCCTGATACATGGAAGTCAAATTGCCTGTATTCGAGTACAGGCGTCCCGTTCCTATAGGTATTCAAGGGTGCTTTTTGGATTTAGGGTTTTGCTTGTTCTCGGTAGTTTTGCTGTCTGCATTCAAACTAAAAGGTTTAACTTATCCAAAGCAAAGCCCTGGATCATCTGTCTTTATCCGTCTTAATTCCTGATTACAACATGGGTGGTTGTTGTCAAGGCAAGACTAAATATGTTTCCACCGAGTTTATCTATAGCGAATTTGCAACCGAAGCAATAGCAAGACGCAAGTAAAATATGTTTTTTTTTTTTATTTTTTTTTATGCGAAAAGTTGTCAAACGAGCAGACGGTTCACCTGATGTTAAGTGAATACCGCCGCCCATGGACATCTGCTACACTCGAGGGTTACAGATGCGTTGACAACCTTTTGAAAATTGGGCTCCGGCTACCTCACTCACCAGACGAAACGCGAAAGTATTTGTCATACTTCCACTTTACGCCGGTCTTCTGTGAGGTCGTGGTACTTACCCGGACGGGCCTGCCCATTCGTGCAACAGCCGAGGCTGCTGCGTGGCCCTACCACCGTATTGTGTATTTAAACTGTTTAAACCCGCCTGTATTTAAACTTCTGCAATTATTCGTAAGATGACCGAACCTCGAACTCGTATGTCATTTTAGCGAGTGTTTGGTCATCACTCACTAAGTCGTCAACACAAAAATAAGCATCTGTCAATGCCGGAATAGATTTTTTACTTCAAATAATCATGGGCCGAACATGGCCGTTATATTACCGACTTGCTGATGCCCGCGACTTCGTTTGTGTTGCTTGTTTGTGTTAACAAGGTTTTTAATGTACAGAGTGAAAAACACATATCATTTAGCACTTATAAAAGTCGCTGATTCTTAAATATTTAATCAGTTTAATCAGTTTGTATTTTTGAAAATACAAACTTCAAATTATATTTATTATCGGGCTATAAATAGACTATATAAAAAGTGATAAAACTGTACACCACAATAGTTCAGAAATAACGATAATAAATAAAAGAAATAAAATTGCAGATATAGCAATTGTAGATATAGCTGTCCCCAATACTTATAACCTACAAAATACTACAACTGACAAACTTACAAAATATGTCGAACTCAAACAAGAGCAACCGTATGTGGCGACATAAATCTGCGTTAATAGTACCAATAGTCCTCTCTACATTTTGCGTTATCATCAAATAACCTCATCAATCCATCAAAACTCTACAAATAACTCGCTATACATATACATATTACTTTATAAAAAGCGGTTATTTTAAATACATGTACAATTGTAAGCAATTTTTAAACACATTCAGACATGTAACCTCTCCCTAATTTAGTAAACAGCATACCAACTGGTCACTTGGTTTAGGCAATAGGCGTTAGGTTTAGGCGTGTTTAAGATGCAATTTTACCGGTGTAAACCGAAAAGGAAAAATTCATTGGGGAAAATGATAATGATAATATACATATAGATATCGCCCGCGGTTTTCAAACCCTTTCGTTCTAACCGGTAACCCTAGCCGGTCGTGTGGTGTCCCCTGCCGGGGGCTTCTGTCTGGTTGGGTGCTATTTATTTATTTATTACATACAATATATGTATATATGTTTATTTTTATTTATAAGCCCAACCAGACGAGAAAGTAAATAAATATCCCTCATATTACCTCGGGCCACAGGTAGGAAAATGTTCCTTTGCGTGATATTTGCACAACAGTTTTACTCAATGATTAATCAGCATAAATAAAGGTAATGCAATCAAAGGTCGACAACGCACGTCCGAATAATTAACCGAGTGAAAGTAAGAAAGCTACAGATGCGATAAATCGTTTCGATAGTAAACATAAACTTTAAAGCTCCCGCCATATTTGCGACCATAAATGTTATACCTGCAACATCCGTATAAATTAATGTAAGCTTAATCAACAACCGAATACGGTTTATAATCGTCAAACAGAAAACTGTCGAATACGTTACTATGCCGACATGCGGCATTATGTCACGGAATGCCTATGAAGACCGCTCAAGGTTCAGGATACGCCAATAAATGACGTCAGGCTCCTTATACACTATGTCATTTGAGTTTATCGCGTTGCGACTGCATTCGGCTCTTATTGCCCGAGTACAAGACTCAAATTCGCCTGATCCAATCGCCTGTGGAAGCAGTTTCAGAGCAAGGCCGACGCCTTCCTACAGCAGGCCAAATAACAATGCTAAAAGTTTTTCTGAGTCATACGGACCACTTGTCAGAATCTTGAGAGCACTTAGAATTACATAATTTTCGTAGGATATTAACGTGTGATTTTTTTGTATCCTTCTTACGCCCCCATTGAGACATTTCAATTAAGGAACGTAGATTTAAAAAAAACCTTTCTCGTACCCTTATCCTATTAAGGTGGGGTCGTTTCCTATCTAGGTGAGGTCCTATCCTATCTAGGTGGGGTGGGATGTTCTTAACGGTATAAGGTTAGTTTTTATTCAAACCTCCTTACGAATAAACATCCATATTCAGAAATATTTCCCACACGGGAATCGAAGCTGCAACATCCGGTGTCGGACAATAGACTCATTATAGTTTTTAAAAAAATAATTTATTTTTTAATGAAAAACTAGCATTCGGTTCCCGTGGTATTTACTACCTATGGGTATCATATTAACTACACTGCGATAGCCAGAACGGGCTGCCACTCGAGAACCTTTCTTCCCCAACGGTTATCGGACACCCCCCACTAGTTTTAACGGTGGTAGGGCCACGCAGCAGCCTCGGCTGTTGTACGTAAAGGCAGGCCCGTCCGGTTAAGTACCACGACCTCACAGAAGACCGGCGTAAAGTGGAAGTATGACTAATACCTTCGCGTTTCGTCGGGTGAGTGAGGTAGCTGGAGCCCAATTTTCAAAAGGTTGTCAACGCATCTGCAATACCTTGGATGTAGCAGATATCCATGGGCGGTGGTATTCACTTAACATCAGGGAAACCACCTGCTTGCTAGGCAACTTTTCACATAAAAAAAAGGTGGAGTGACGGACGACCTGTGCAAATAATATGCGGGAAGTCGATGGATGCAGGTGGCTCAGGATCATACTTCGTGGCAGTCTATGGGGGAGCAAGAAGTGGACTCAAACAGGCTGATATGATGATGATGATATTAAATACACCCGATTTTGCGCTTGCTAGCGTTTAGGGAGGGAGGATGAAGAAAGTGTTTGTAATTTTGTAATCCTCATCATCATTAACCTGCCCGTCACGTGTTCTCCACTCAACAACCTTTCTGCCCCAACGGCCATCGGTTCTTCGAGCTATGTGTCCTGCCCACTGCCATTTCAGCCTGCTGGCTTGTTCTGCTGCGTCGGTAACACTAGTCCTTCTACGAATCTCCTCATTTCTGATTCGATCTCTCACTTGTCTGTATATATGTATATATTTGTGCGTTTTTTCCGGTGAGTGAGGTAGCTGGGGCTTCTTTAAATGTCCATCGTCGGCGATGATGACTTAAAATCAAGGGAACTGCGCCTGCTGATTTGTTCCCATCTCACATAAGAAATCTTTATTTTTTTCTGTTTTAAGACAAGTTTTGACTTACTCAATAACTTTTTCACTAGAAACAAATTTTACTTGTAGCTAAATAAAAAAAAAAACAAATTGTATTTACATACATATGTATACATACATTTATGGTGATTTTGTAAATAAAACACTTATTTATGAAAACAATTTTATTCAAAATCACAATTTTAGCCATCAAATAAACTGGATAAATATAGAACCGCCATAGATATGTGTAGTCGTGAAGAGGTTATTTTACCCGTCATGGTAACGTGCTTGGTGCTACACTCGTCAACCTAAAGGAAATTAATGTCACTATAGGGGGACTAGTGTTTCAAGAAAGCAAAAATGTATGCTTCTAAAAATTTGTTGTAAAGGAGTCAAAGAGCGTGCTTCACAAACAGAAAGCCACTAAATTATTATTAAAAATACGTTCTAAACGAATAGAAAACTTCATTTACTAGAAGACTCAAAGATATCGACTACGATGGAAAATTTGTACAAAAGAGATAGCTGTGTAGTTACACTGGACTGTATAAATAACAGGTGAACTCGCAAAGTTGTCGTTGTGTAAAAAAGAGATCGTAAATATTATAAATACACTAATAATGCAATATTTACTTACATGTAATATTTATTTACCTACATGTAATATTTTTTTATTGCCAAATGGTTTCCTTTTCATTACCTACTATTTCCTGGACACGGAAAAGTTTTATATGTAGTTTACAGTTAATACTTATATGAAAATTGTTAAAAGTACAAAAAGCACATTTACATAGCATTTTGGCACAGATTTCATTCACAATTCGGTACAATAATACATTTTTCCTAACCTTAATAACTAATATACAAATGTAATCGTAAATGTTAATACAAAACTCGTACACACAAATTATATGAGATAGTTTTTTTTTTTAATTCAATGTATTTTTGTCTGGTATTGTTGAAAATAAATTACTATACTTCTGCTCAGCATGTTATTTGTTTAAAAGTTTTTTCCAAGATACGACACTTATTTTCTTAAAGTTACATTACCTAATTTAAATAGCGTTAAATATTTTTAATAATTCGTATTAACCGTTTCGAAAGTAGGCCAAAAACGTTTTTTAACACAAAAAGAAGCAATTACTGAAAAAACGATGTAAATTTTTCTGCTGATTATAATTAATTATCCAGAAATGTTGGCGATACAGTTTTAACTTTAAGATTGTTAAACCTCATCTCTGTTATTTTTAACTAAAATACGGTAAGGCTTAAAACAAAACAATAACTAACAAATCGATAATAGTGTATCAGTGGCGTTTTGGTAATATCATTAAGATATTAAATGTACATTTTTTTTACAATCCATAACCATTACTATAACAGCCATTTTGGAGACTAGCGAAGGCTGTAGGCCGAGATTTCGATTTTTTTTTTAATAAGAGCAAAAGCAAGGACTAAAACCTTCTTTTTACTCTATAAATATCACGCATCAAAAAAACTAAAACAATTCACACACATCCTACGAAAGTACTTTATAATTGGGTATTTGTACCTTAGCCATGGGCGGCTTTTGGTTTTCTGGTCGTCCTCTGTTTCTTATCGGGTTTATTCTGTGGTCCGGGAACCGTCCAGGCCGTGAAGTCCGGTTGGGGCAGTTCTTTGCAGTCGACCAACGGGTTGACGGCGCTCAGCGCTTCCATCACCCTGGGCTGCGCCTGGTCTAACAGATCCTCGTTCGCGCAAATCACGCTGGCCAATGTCGTCTTCCTAATCTCCGCGAGTTGCTCTAAGGTAATATTTGCAGAATGTTGACATAGTACATAATAACTTAAAAGCAAAACTAAAAGTGAACTTATCTAAGGCATATTATACCATTGCGGAATATCTTAACGACGCTAATGTGTGGGGTTAATGCTGTTGATACCACGTAGGCTAAAATAAGACATACCTGTTCTATTATATTGTAAACTAATCGTTTTAAAAGAGAGCAACTGTTGAGTTTCTTGCCGGTTTCTTCTCAACAGAAACTGCTTTTCGAACCGGTGGTAATTTACGAAAGTATTAATTTTCATGTTAAATTTTGACGTTTCATAAGAACGCGCAAACGTCTATGTGAATAAATATATTTTGATTTGATTTATGGTAGAAGAAATAATTTCATTGACCAGTAGCTAAGAAAACGTTAGGTTACGATGATGTCAACATACATAGCATTCTTTCCTCTTTCAATCCTAAAGAGTTAGACAAGGATAGCGTACATGTGTTATCGATTTCGTGGAGTTCATTACGGCGGCGCCCGTTTACTGTGCTTTGTTTTGAGACTTTAGTATTCAGTAACTAAATACAAAACAACTGAGAAATCCATAGTATACGATTTGAAAAACTTTTGCATTTACGTAAATGTGAATAATTGAAACGAAATGTGTATGTTTCCTACATCAGTAATTAAAAACGTAGGTGTTGTTCCTGACTATAGGAGACGTTTAAAAATTCAAATTCAAAATACCTTTATTCAAATAAACGCTTGCGCGTTCTTATGAAACGTCGAATAAAAATTGATGCATGACGTCGTAAGGTACCTTCGGCTCGGAAAGCAGTTTCTGTTGAGAAGAGACCGGAAAGAAACTCAACAGTTGCTCTTTTTCAAAAATATCAGTTTACAATAGAACAGACAATAAAATAACGGTATAATATTCATATTTTAACTTACGTGAGCAACGGTATTAACACCACATATTGGTTATTTTTTAATTTCTTTTAAAAACATTGTACCCGCTTTAGGACATTATCCTGTGTTGTAAGGACGTTTTACATAAATTGCACGAGGGCAAACACGCAGATGCGAAACACCTATCTGTGGGTCGCACAAATAGTTGTACCGTGTGGGAATCGAACCCACGCCCCCGACGCCGAAGCCAATACCTTGGCAACTGCGCCACGGAGTCATCAGGTGGCGTAGTAAGTTTGTGCTTATTTCTAGTGTTTAATTTATGTCTGTCACTGTTATTTAGGTACTAATTAAGGTTAGGACGAATATAAAAAAAATATTACAATATGTTTTTTAAAATTTCAAAAAATATTCAATAATTAAAAAGGGTCCGGAAAGGCGTGCCTCACCTAATGTGAAGGAAACTTGCGGATCTCCGCTCTCGTACCAGAAGCGGTCGGCGATCTTGATTCGCAGGAACTGGTCGGCCAGCAGGCAGCTGAGCGTGGGCCCCAGCAGGCGCCCGCGAGGCCTCTCAGCCAAAGCGCCCGTGTACAGATCTATGTCCTCCACGGAACTGACAAAAAATCTCATTTATTAATTTCAGGTCCACAATCGTTTCACATTTATTCAGTTCGGTAATCAGAATAGCGATATATTCGTTGCTAAACTACAAGCGTGATTGTATTTCTAAACGATAGAGAAACGAAACCATTGAAATAGTTAACATGCGAAAACCATCGTTCAGATTTAGGATGAAAATAATACTTTATATTTACCAATGAAATTCTTCAACAAACTTTCATCTTAATCAAACGTTTTAAGAGGTAACCCATCTTGAGATATAGTGATACATTATATATCTAATAAGTAGAGTAAAACTTTAAACATAATAGATTTAACATATTTTAATATATTGAATAAATTTCTTATATGTTATAAATTCAATTTATATGATAGAGTTAAACGATACACTGTAGATGGAAACTCACGTGTAGATCTTCGTGATCCTACTCATGGACAGCTCGTCGAGGATTTTGGTGAGGTCGTCGAAGGTTTTGGGCCTGGAGAGGCCGCAGTGCTCCCGCCAGGCGGGGTAGGCGGGCAGCCCGTGGTCGCGCCCTCGCTGGATGTTCAGCGAGATGAGGTCCAGGCCGCAGGGGCCCTGCCTCTTGGTCGCCATCGTGGAGACGTTCACGACGACCGAGCGCTCGAACAGGTGGTCGGTCAGCTGACGATAATAGTAGTCCACAACGAACTAATTAACTCGATAGGGATATTAAAGTACACAGCCTATAAATGTCATATAATATAAAGCGTAAAAGCTTTTAAATTTTGAAAACCCGATTGGCGTAGTAGGTACCTGGATACCACTTATTTAAAAAATATTGTGAGATGAGCATAGTGTTTTTCCAGTGTCTGGATGTTCATATATGTATATTTTGTATTTATTTACAAAAGAAAAGTATTTTATGCATAGTACAAAGTTTGCTTGGTTTGGGATTGGGACTAGAGAACGTCGTGTAAGAATGTGTCGTAAAAATATATATTTATTTATTTATTTAATCGCCGCGCAGTATAAACATGCGTCATCTATGTATATTATTAAACATCATTGGCTCACCTCGGTGGTGACGTGGGGATCTACGGTGTGCACTGGCGTGGAGATGGCGGAGGCAACAGAAGCCCTGGCACCCCTCTCCCTGTACAGGGCGTAGGGGTTGAACAGCATCTCGTGAAGGTGCACGTAGTTGATGCTGCCACTGCTGGAGTCCACGTTACGAATCAACCCCTGGGGATAGCAGGATCCGAAGGCAAGATCTGTTAGTTTTTTATTCAAGCATTGCCCTTACTTTAGGATAACATTATCCTGTGTTGTAGGGACGTTTTACGAACATAATTTTCACGCGGACAAATACTCAGATGCGAAACAACCGTCTGTGGGTCAAACAAATAGCTGTCCCGTGTGGGAATCGAACCCACGACCCCCGACGTCGAAGCCGACACCTTGGCAACTGCGCCACGGGTTTTGTTTCTTAGTTAAATACCACGAGTTTTACCGTCAGAACTATTTAATTCAATATTTGTTCCGCCATAAATATTTCTACTGTACCGACGATTACTTTTGACGTGAGAAGTTGGTAAACGAACTGGCGGTTCACCTGATGTTAAGTGATAACCGCCGCCCATTGAAATGCGCAACACCCGTGGTTGCATACGCGTTGCAACCATTTAATAAAGTGAAACGCAGAAGTATAACACTTGCATTTCACGCCGTCAAAATGATAGAATATCATAATTATCAGAATGATCAAAGAGTTTAACAATCGTTTTGGCAACTCATATGACATTTGAAGAGCCATATGACAGCTGATTAGTTAACTTCTACGATGATCTGCAAAAACCGTGCGTAAATCATCCAACGTTATGCATCCATCCCGTGAGCAAAAATGTGAACGAAAGATTCGAAAACAACGATTTACACAGAGGTGCAACGCTATTTATCTTAATTAATTTTATTACGTTGTATACTTTTCTGACGTAGTTCCTATCTACATATTTGCACATCACTAGCGAGTCCTACGTAGCTGGTCCCCTTGCCAAAGCCGCTGCGTGTTTAATAATAACTGCCAAGTGAATTCCTCGCGTTGTAATCTCATTTACGGCTCCGCTCAATGAGTGAAAGCTGTTTTTTACTTTTTTATTGTTGCTGCATAAAGTATAAATACAATATTATGCCAAGATTAAACTCCTTGGTACAGGACTCGCTCAAATAAGGTAGGTACTGTAAATTTTACGACGTATTTATAATCGGATGACGACGGTGAACAAGACCATTTATTATAAAATTTTATGCGCTGTAACACATGCTATATCCAAAATCATGAGCAGAACCCGGCTTGCTAATTAGCTCGGTTTTTTCGTTGAATGCAAATCGCAAGTTAAAAGTAAAAAAAAAAAAAAACGAAAGGTTAATGAAAAACATTATTAATTGGTAAATTACTGTTTTTTGAAAAAACTTCATCGGATCTTTTAAGATCTGTTACCGTCCAGTGTAGTAGGATGTTTTTAAATATGTTTTACGCTCGCACTCAGAAACTTCAATTAAAGCTTCATCACAATTAAATACGAGGTCACTTATCACTTGCTCAGCGGTGAAGGTAAGCATTGTGAGAAAACCTGCATATTTTTGATGTGTACATAACATATTTCGAAGATATGTAAAGTCCGACAATCCGGACTTTACATATCTTCATATTCAAGTCGAGTCCTTTTATTACCTCATCAGGACTGAGCCTAAAAGTAAAACAATTTAATGTCTAGTTATTGCTTTTGATACCTATGTATAAAAGCTTATAATTTAGCTTATTCTTTATAAAAGCTTCAATTATTGCCACGGAAGCTACGCTATAAGATTAACACGTGTTCAAATCAGCAACCGACTGTCATTTAATCGAGTGAACTTCGGAAGATTCGAACCCACTGACCGGCAGTAGCGTGTGCGCGAAGCGGAAAGCGGCCGCCGCGAAGTAGTTGGCGATGGTGGGGTCCACATCAGGGTCGTAGTGGTCCGAGTAGCCGTCTGTCTGCAAGGTCAAATTCAGCGCCCACATGACGTCACTCCCTGAAACGTCAAATTGTCGGCCAGTGACAGCTATGTTATGCTATGAATTTTTTTTTGTGATTTCTATAATTGTGTCGATTTGATAGTCCTTCCGACGTTAAGTATCCGAAGGGTAGAGAGGTCTAATAAAAAAAAAATCAAAAGTCAAGTTTACTACCTTTTCATTGTCCTCCTTAAAACGTACGGTTCTTTTTAGAAGATCAGTTTACATGCTCCCAGCTTCACATGATCAGGAGAAAGTACGTTAACGTTAGGATAGACTTAAACCAAGATAAAGACAGATATTTTTATGTCGACCGTTCAAAAAGTCCGTTGCCCCAAAAATTGCCTTAACGACATAACATGGGACGCGTCCATTATTTTATTAACGCAAAACAAAGCCGACTTCAAATATCTCGCTCTGTATTCTTTTATATCTATCTCTATGTATAATTGACAAATATCTTTTATATATATCTATGTATAATTGACTATCAGGAGTTCCCTAAGCATCTCCGGAGCCCAAGATCCAATACCAACAAAAATAATATGAGACCACATGGGGGGTACCAGCTTTCAAATAAAAAAAAAAGAATCATCAAAATCGTTTCAATCATTCGAAAGTTCCGAGAATAAACATAAAAAAATACAGTCCAATTGAGAACCTCCTCGTGTATTGAAGCCGGTTGGAAAGTTCACAAAGACCTTGGGACAGGTCGCGGGGCTCACCGAGGATCGCTGGCAGGAACTCTGCGTAGGTGATGTGCTGCATCTGCGCCCCCAAGATGCGCCTGGTCTCCTGGAACACCGTCTCGTCGTCCCACGAGGGGTTGAGGCGGGCGAGGGTCGCCGCCACGCGGTTGTGCTGCCTCGCCCACAGCAGGTGCATCGTCGTGAGGTGGAGGTTCTCGTTGGCGCGGTCGTCACCTGGACAACGTCACCTTAAGCTATCACGCCAAAGCCAAACGGCTACAACCAGTGCCGGTCGATTCTCTCGAGTTTGTCTACCACGTTGAGTAACTTTTGAATGTCGATATCATTACCGTGTGAGCAGAGACCCAGCATATTCCATCCTGTGGTCGCAGAAGCTAATGGGTTAGGGTAAGGTATGCTGGTCCTGTTCTTTTTTGTCGATTGTTACTAGGGACCATAGAGAAGTCATACTGAAACTAGAATCTAGGGACTATGTGTTAAACCGTTATGTGGTAAACAGGTACAGATATTTTTTGTCTGTAAGAATCAAGGGTATGTGACCCCAGCCGAGCTTAGACCAGCTTGTAATCTATTGCATAAATGTCGGTTAAACAGAGAAAATGCTGTATGCAACCTGTACCTAATATCCACGTAAGACCCTTACACTAAAGTAATGAGATATAATAATTTATAACTCGTTTGGTACTCCAAACAAAACCAATTTATTTATTAAATGTTATACGTATGTTTTCAATAAGCAAATTAATATGACTGCACCTACATTATGTTTTTGAAATACACCGAATAATGTTTATTTTGCAAGGGGCGTCACAGAAATAAGCAGTGATTGTAAGAAATTTACGTATACGATACTGTCACATTAAGAAAGCAAATTTTTTTGCGATCGGAGAGAATAATATGGAGAGAGTCAAAGACTTGAGGTCAATGACAAGAGCTTATCGAGAGAAGTGAAAGCGTGTTTAGGCTTTTTTCGAGTTATAGATTCCATACATTGATAATTTACTTTCGTTTCGGAAGATGGTTGATGTGAAATACATCTAGTAAAAAAAGCCACACCAAGATCCGTTGCGTAGTTTTAAAGATCTAAGCATACATACATACACGGACAGACAGACAGCGGGACGACTTTCTTTAATACTATGTAGTGAAGAAGATCCGTCTGTCTCTCTCACTCACCGGACTCGAAACAATAGCGGCCCTGCGCGCTCATCTCGACGGTGTTGCACCCGTCGTTGGGGTCCGTCGAGGGGGGCAGCAGCTCCCAGGGCCCGATCTTCAGCATCCTCAGCCGCCCGTCCTCCTTCAGCCGGAGCCTCGAGGACTTGGTCTCGGCGAAGCCGTACACGGTGGACGCGTCTATGAACGCCGTGGCCTGGTTCAGCTGCTCTCTAGCGCCTGGTGAAGGTTTCAGTTCCGTATTCGTCTTTACGGTGGTGGGGATATGTTTTTAATGTCAGAAGGTGGCGAGCGAGCCGGTGGTTCACCTGATGTTAAGTGATAACCATGGGCATTTGCGGTACACGCAGGGTTGTAGATGAGTTGCCACCGTTTAGTAAAGTCGGCCCCAGCTACCTCGCTCACCAGACGAAACGCAGAAGTATAACATTTCTTTGCTCGACTTCGCTTCTATTTGTTTTCTTGTTTCATTGCCTCAATAACTGCATTAATTGCCTCAGGAACTTCGCTTATTGATACATTATAAATATATATTTACGGAATGAAAAGTATTTTTAAGTTAAATTATTGGACTAATAAAAAATTGTAAGAACAGTTGTGGGACAGTTTGGGCCAACGACCCTCAGAATAAATAAATATTTTATGACACATTTTTACATAACGTTCTCTATTTCCAAACTAAGCAACGTTTGTACTATGGATACAAGATAATTGATAAACATACTTAAACAAACTTTTACTTTCATACATATTATACATAATTATATAAACACCCAGACACTAGAAAAACGAACCCACACCCTCTGGCGCAGGAGGCAGGTACACTACGCCATTTCGTCAACGCAATTCGGTATGGGTAAGTTACTAACCGAAGTGGCACGTTGGCGCCGAAGCCGACCTGACGAACTCCATGCAAGTGACGTTGTAGTCCTGGTAGAAGGGGTCCTCGGCATCTAGACGGACCGGGAAGCATTCTGGGTGCGTCTCATTCATCTGGCAGCAAGATAGAGCGCTGCTGTTCTCACCTGGAATAAAAAGCGCAATGGAAACTGTAACATGTCTTTCACTGTAACAGCTGTTACGGTATGTTACTGTATGGTAACAGTTACACAAATTGTCACTACATAGTACGAAATAACATGCTGCTCTTTTGTAACAGGCGTAACAGTTACTCGATTTAGACTAGTTTAGCTAACTCCCGTGGTTTCCACGGGGAATCGGGTATATCATGTATTAATTTTTAGTTACATATTTCTTACACGTATAAGCAGGAACTAATCTAATGTCTCTCGTATCCTGAATATGATATTTAAAAATGTGTCTAGTGTGATCAGTCCATTAGTTCTTAACGGTATAACTAAGAAAGTGTATCGTTCGTCGTATGTTCCTGTATCTGGTGGCAGCTGGGTGGCTAGTTACGATGACTGTAGCATTAGTGCTGATAATCTTAGTGGGTACAGTATTGTGCTGTCGACCGACTGGCAGTGCCACTGACCCTTGCTGAGCGCGGTGGCGGTTATGTCGTGGTCGAGGAACTGGCCCCAAACGGCAAGCATGACGGTGAACTCCGTGTCGTGCGCGTAGCTGGGCCGGTGGACGGTGACGCTGACGTCACGGGCGCTCGGCAGCTCGGCACCATTGGCACCACGCCGAGGGGAACTTATTCCTGTTAGGGTTTTAGAGCTTTATATTTTCGTTACGAACAAACGGAGTTAAGATCAATAAGTTCGACCTAGTGAGTTGGAACTAAACTCTTTGAACGGATTATTCTGATCAATACAGAGAGTTTAACCATCCTTTTGGCAGCTCGAATGACATTTGAAAAGCCATTTGACAGCTTATTGGTTTATTTCTACGATGATCATGGTGTTTCAGAAACCGCGCGTATGTGAATTAATATTATATTAAATGAAAAAAATTGTGGTCAATTATGTGCATTGTATTACCACTATTTTCTCAAATTAGTATATATATTGTAACAGCTTGTTGTGTTAATTTCAATCGAAGTTTAGATGCAGAAAGAACAAACATGAAATATTGAATACCATCCTCATTATATATTTGTTAGATAATAGTCGACGCATTTTGCAACGAAATATTACTTTGCTCCCAAAAACGTACTATATTTTCTTTACAATAAACGAAGAAACGTTGAGTTATGTAAATAAAGTCTCACCATCCCCGTAATCCGGCGGCAGCGCCCTTCGGAAGGGCGTGTTGGAGACACCCCACCTCAGGGGGTGGTTTAGGTTGTTGCAAGTGCCGTCCTGGGTACGATACTTGGACATCACGCACGGGGCGGTCGGCGGTTTGCAGTAATCTGGCTCGCTGAAGCAACCCTTGGTGGGAGGGCCGACTCCTATGTCGCCAGGCTTAGGGGATAAATCCGATCTGGAAATAGAGACGAGTTCCTTACTTATGTCTATCGTGAACATAGACCGTTTTAATTCAACTGTTTCGATTCTTGGCACAACATGTTTTTCATCTGTGTAAAAGTAAAAAAAAGTTGTGCGATATACTATTTAGGTCGAAACGGCCTGCCCGTTTCTGCAACCGTTAAGCGGATGTACCACAGCCTCACAGAAGACTTGTATGAAATGGAAGTAGAAGAACCTATGACGTTCGCAATTTCGCGGTGAGGTGACCTGGGCCCATTTTAGAGGTATAATGGCCTGCTAAATGTAAAATGCCGCTTTTTATGAAGAGTAAAACGAATTTTTAAATTCTATTTCAAGTTTAAAAATTATCATTTAAAAAAAATTGAATATATACAGTCCAGAACACTCCTTGTGTAACTTCGGCTTAATTCGGGATAATAATAAGTACAGTTTTTAATTAGCGAATATTATCTGATATCTCCGTTACGGTTCAGTCAGACAAGTAGATTTTGAACTCAATGGTAGATTATTATAATATAAAACACTTAACACTTAAAAGGGTAACTATTTTTTTATGTGACAAAGTGGCAAACCGAACACTGTTGGGTGGCTCTACAACCGAAAGTAACTGTAATCTTTTTTTTTAAACAGAGCTCACAAGTCACATTAATATTCATAATTTCATTAAGGAATTATGCATTTTAATACTATTAATTGTACTATTGCTTTTAGAAGTATATTCAAATTATGAGGGGACGGCGCGTACGCAGTCCCCACTACCAAAAATTACGCGTCCGAGTTATCCACATTAGGGATAATCGCAGGGGTCAACCCGACCGCAGTGCAATGGAAGGGTCTCGCCCTGGGGGAACCGCCTTCTTGATCACGGTATCCCCTACGCCAGGTAAGTATGATTTCACAGCGCCGCTGCGCCCTAGTCATTCGCCGGCCGAAAATCTCGATAGCGCGATTTAGAAAATCTTCAGCGCTACCTACCAACTGGATACCGAAACTCGACAGTTTTTATTTCAAATAAAGTTGAATTTTTTTGCAATGAGATAATAGATGGCGCTATTATATAAAATACAGTAATAATTCCCTTCAAATTTACTATGGACTAAATTGATACTCTTAACGATTTTTTTGCTTATATATGTAAGGAGGATAAAAAGGAGCAATAGATAAATAATTATTTTCGTTTAATAAAATAAGAAATATTTCGTTAAAAAAATTTATATAACGCTGCCATAGATGGCGCTGTTTTAATAAATTCATTAGTTTCTATAGAGCCTGAGAGTTTTATTGATTATTTTTATTTTTACGTTTCATTAACTTTTTTATAGTATGATGATTGTTAAATGCACTTTCCATTCATTTTTCATCTAGCATCGTTCTAATTACTAGATCCGGAGTTCTCGTATGTCATCATACGGTTAACAATATCAAATTTTAATCCTGTCTTAGTAACCGTTCTCTAGGGCGGATAGTATTCGAGAACATTCGGATTAGAATGGCAACCAGCTCGTGTTTCGGTGGAATATCTATAGTTTGAGACGAAGCCTAACTGGGGCGGTGTCGAGTGTCGCGGTTAATTACGTGTCGGTTTCAGGTAACAGCTGCGACCGCTTATGCCTCAATGTGCTGTCGTGTCGATTAATAATCATGTAATGGGGCAACTATTAATACCAAGTCTTTTTATTTATTGATTTCTTGTTTTTACGCGAATATTATACAAATTGGAGGGTTTTATCTCGTTTTAGTTTGATTTTTTCAATCACGAAGTTTCGAACCATTTCAGTGTTCGCGGTCACGGGACAAACACGGGACTAACGCCTGTTTTCTGAAACACTGATCATCGTAGAAATTAACGAATGCTAATTAAGTTGCCAAAAGGATGGTTAATCTCTCTGAATTGATCAGAGTGATCTCCTTAATCATCAAAATGACATTTGACAGCTGATTAGTTAACGGCGATGATCAGTGTTTCAGAAACCGGGCTTCAGTTTGTCACATGACCACGAACGCTGGAAAGTCAAAATTACAACGCGATAAAATCCGTAAAACAGTTTATTTTAACAAGTCTTTTTATTGGTTTACTTCTTAATTAATTCTTGTTTCAATAATAATTAATTATTAAATATTAAATAATTATTTATTTTGCTCTAATATTTAAAAAAAAAAGAGCGAGAGGCAATTCATGATCTGTCACAATTATTTTAAAAGCATATCGTGTGAAGCTGTGAACACAAAAACATCCTAGGTGGGTATCCATTATTTACAAAATTTCGCCATTTTTAGGGTTGTACCTTAGAAGCTGCTGTACCTTAGAAGGTATAAAAGGGAACCCATATAAGATCACTCTCTTGTCCGTCTGTCTGTCCGTGTCACCACCGATCTTGAACGTCTCAGGAACGGGTGGACCTAGCAAGTTCAAATTATACCATATACTGAGATCTATAGTCCCTATACACCTAGTATAAAAATCAAGGTCCTGAGTCAACACGATGAGCAGATTGGGCGAATTTAGATTTTCAACCAAAATTTACTTTAAGTTTCGAATTTGACCTTGCTTTTAACCAAAAATGACAATTCTAGGTCAACCGGAAGTACGTTTTGGGTCGAAAACCTATTTGGTAGTTAACATTGACCTAGAACCACGAAATTTTGCAAAAAAACGAGGTCTTTCAGCACAAATGAGGGAAAATTCCTAAAGATAAGAAATTTTGAAAATTAAGATAAAGTTTTGTACTTTATTTTTTATCGTGTTGACTCGGGACCTTGATTTATACACCTAATAGGGACTATACACCTCAGGATCTGGTATAAATTTCCACTTGCTAGGAGCACCGGTTGCTGAGAAAATTGGTGGTGATTATTAACCACTTTTATTATGGCAGCATAACGGGTAGGTAAGGAATCCTCGGCGTAGAATTTTAACTTTCACTTGACCGTTTCGTTAAATTTTCAGGGAGGAATGTATAAAAAATTCTTAGGCCTTATCCCAGGGTAAAACTTTTTAAAACACGACGTTTTTCGCTTTACAAATTTCAACAAAGACGTCTCTTAATTATAACTGTATTCGAATTTTTCGTTTACAATAGAAGTAACACGTTTGAGGATTTTTCTTTAATTGCGTCCCAAACGACGTAAAATTATTTGTTGTTATTCTCCAAAGCTTGTTTGTGAACTTATTAAATGTTTAATGAGCTATATAACATTGGCATGTAGTAGTAAAATTGAGTTGATAATTTGGAATTCTGTTGTGTTTGATGTGAACCAGTTTTAGAACCGCGAAAGATTAGGTACTTTGTCTTTTATCTTTGCTAATTGTTAAGAAATATTAATGTTTAACTGTATTAAAGACCTATCAAAGTCTATTGGCTTCTGGCCCTTACAGATTGCTTGACATACATATGGACAGGCAATATTTAAGATAAATCAACTGATCTTAACTTTGGGATTAAAATCTATTTTTTCATATTTTTTTTTATTTTCCTCCTAATGTCGAACGTAACGTTAATACGCACTTACTTAACCTGTGTCAGTTCCAGTTCTTAAGTAATTAAAAAGGAACTATAGTAAGCTATTGTTGTGGCAGCAGACGCTGTAATAACTTAAGCTCATTAGTGTTGTTAAGTAATAAGTACTAAGGAGATAAATCTATTAACTAACTTAAAGTATTAAATGATTTCTTGGTAAGGAAATATGGAGGTAGGACATTGGAGTCGGGACTGGGTAAGTTATTTTAATAAGTCTATGGATAACTGCATATTATGTTCCACTAAGTGATCGGAAAGACAAGGAACGATCTTTCTGGAAGGGCTAATGTATTGTGCTCCTTTTAAAACACTTTGAAATTTTCTTGGGCGTGAAGGGCTGGTGGTGCCACGCAGTATCCTCTGTTGATGTATGCCATGTATATCAGGTTTTTCTGGCCAATTGTGCCAGCATCACTGACGTAAAGTGGGTGCGTTCGGATTCTCACTTTTTAAATAGTTTTGGGTCTTAGATGTCCTTGAATGGTGGGAGCTGGGAATCAAAGGTGGGCCTCTTGCGTTAGCTAGATTTTAAAGTATGTAAGTGTATAGAGATCGAATTTTTCACGGTTTACTTTACTCTGATATAACGTTCGTCGTCCGTTGCATTTCTCTTTAAATTCTTATTTAACAAAGATACATTAATTTTTAAAGAGGTAAATTGATGTCGGGCATGCAAAACAACAACACAATTGGAGGAACGAGAGGAACCATAATCTTTAGGGACCCGTAACCAAAGGGTGCGGGACCGTATTACTAAGACTCCGCTGTCTGTCTGTCTGTCTATCCGTCTGTCAACAAGCTGTATCTCATGAACCCTGATAGTTTGAAATTTTCACAGAAAATGTATTTTGTTGCCGCTATAACAACAAATACTAAAAATAATAAACAGAATAATAATAATTTAAGTGGGGCTCCCATTCAAAAGGTATGATTATTTTTGCCTTTTTTATAGATAATGGTACGGAACCCTTCGTGCCGCTGGCTTCGCACTTGGCCGGTTTTTAGTAGGTAACCGTCGCGTCGATCGGGCTAAATACAAAAACGGCTCGTCATTGTCATGACACGCGTGACGGGATCTATTTCGTTAACAGTGGTAACCTCAACGGATCAGTTTTTGTAATGTAGCCCAGTTGAGTAATCCAATAGCCGTGTTATCGTAATATGATAACTACTGTACTTTATCCAACAATCATTTCATTCTTGCCATAGTTATTTTTCACATTTGTCTGCCGCGAGACTCGTCAACGGAGCGGATGGGGTATTTTTTTAATTAAGCTCAGCCCACACCATCTCTGTCTATTTTCTTAGGGTTAAAACACGATAGAAATATCAAATCCTTTCCTATTTCCTAGAGTTTGCCTTCGTACTCTTAAAATATTTTACCTTTTCGACCGGAACGCAAGTCAAATTTGCGCATAGACCATTTAGGTCTATGCGCAAATGTAGACAGAAGTGTTCTTTTACAAGATAGTAGTTGTTAGCTGTAGTTCTTGAAAGCAGTTGAAAAGTTGCCAGTAGCACGTAGACATTTGCAAGAGGGCTGACAGATTATTTGTATTCCTGTGACCATCACTGTACCGGTGGAGTTAAATATTAAATCTGTTCAATATATCATATCTTAAGAATTCAAAAAATCATGTTCATTTCTGACAATTTGGTTGTTGAAAGCTTTCTCTAAGTAATCTGACGTATCCTTAGAGATATTGCCACCTATCCTTCAAAGTTTTGTAGTCGTATTCATTTGAAAATTAATAGTGTAATGTCACTGATTTTGGATCTTATTAACACTGTTATAATTGACGACAATATTGCAGGCCAACTTTAGACCAAGCTGAATACTTTGTCATTTAAAAAAAATAATTTTAAAGAGAATGCAAACGGCAACTTGACTTGATAGTAAGTAATGATAGCCATCAATGGAACAGATTTTTAGAGTTAATCGTGTGTTGTTATCATTAAGGAGTGTTATTAGGTAAGGTTAGATGCTGTTAATTTCTCTTGCCTATGGTAACGCTAGGTTATAAATACTTTTATTTTATGCAGGTCTTCTGTCATTGTGATGATTTAGATGTGCCATGTAACTAATGTTGGTGAAAGTTAGCTGGAAGTAAATACGGTTCAGACAAGATCTTCCTCAACCTCTGGCAACCCGATATAAACAAATGGGAGCTTTGTACCAAAACAATAGACAATAGACTGATACTGCACAGTGTTTATTTTTATGTCGTTTTACTCCTTTTGAAAGATAATATTTTGACAATGCGTCTTCAGTGTCAAGTAGTTTACAATATCCGATTGTATTAATAAAAACTAAAGCCCCCACATTTTTTTATACGCTCAAGCGATAACTGTCTAAATATTTAACTTTGTCATTCTTGATATGAATATTGAAATAAATTAATTGGGATGAAGTCAGTAAAATTATTTTAACCCAATTTATGGCTTGTCGAGTTCTTCAATCTATGTGTTTACTTGAACCAAAAGATCAATGAAGACTACTTAGAGTAAAGGAACCCGTAGCTGACGTGAAGCAATGATGGTTGAAGAAGTTTGCAGTTTGTGGTCATATTTAAGACCAACCCAACCACTTCATTAGATTCGACAAACCTCAAATTCTCGCAAAAGAACACCGATTCCTCCCAAGGGTGATCCGATTCTAATTTCAATGGAGATGGTTGAGGCTTATAATCAGCATTGGGAACCTAAATTTATAATCTAAATCCAAGTGCACTTCAAGTTACAAGGGCATAAGCTCCTTTTGCGGTGGTAAAATAAATAGGAAATAAAGTGACTGAACTAATTGGTTAACTCTGACATTAGGGCGGGACATAACTCAATCTGTCCCGTGACTATATGAACGCTACAAAGCGTTTGAAAAGTCACGAATTTTAAATTGGTGTAAAACGCGATAAAGCCCGTAAAATAATGTCATCTAACATTCACGTAAACACAATAAACCAATACTTGCTCGTCTGTCTACTTCTTAAGAGTTAAACGACCAGAATGCTTCGTTATCTCATTTGATATAATTATATTGAACGTCTCATAAGAAGTCCTTATGACAGAAAACTCATTGATTCAGTGCTACTGAGCCAATACTCAATGCCATCTGCTATCTAAGGAGTCGTTATGAGGCCTTTAATTGGCAATTGCATATCCTCTACCCGCTTTAGATTGCGATTGGCTGCATCGACCTAATTCTTCTTAACGACGAACGACCAACGTCCTCTACTTCATCTCAATTGGATTCGTTTCGAGATGCGTCTGTCAGCTCTAGAAGTGTACATTGCGTCCAGAAACGTGACAACTCTATACTCAGATAAGGCTCATTTGGCTACTTTCAGCACTGGTTGTGGAAGAAATGGATCTGGTTACTTGCGGTCGACGGCTTGAAAGTCTTTTTTAACCAATATTTCTTTTTGTGAATTTGGATGAAAATGAATAGAAAAATGCCATTATGTACTTATTTTATTCTCGTTCTTATAACGAACGTTAACCCTATCAAAAGATAACATCATAACGTGTTGTAGAGGAGTTTACATATAAAAGGTAACACATAGGTAGAATCTGCACCCTTATTAGATTCACTTGTCGGAAATAGCGTGGCTAAACTCAGGCCAAAGGGTGCTCATATTTAACGGCGTCTAACTTTTCAACACACACATCCACACGTAAGGCTACAATAGTTTAAACAATAGCAAACTCGGAAGCGGTCCAATGGTGAGTATCAGTGTTGTCGACATTCAGGTTCAAACGTAAGTGCCTCCACTACCGGTCTTCTGTAAGGAGCGGTACTTCCTCACGGGCCGGCCTAGTTACGAGGCAGTCGCGAGGTGGAACGCTCCAGGCCCACTCACCCGTTCGCCAGCAGCCTGGTGGCGTGCTCCACCACGAAGGCGGTGTCCGCTAGGGGCTTCACGTGGGCCCCCGTGGCCGCCGCCCGCTGGGCCCTGGCGGCTGGAGTGTCCATCGCCAGAGGCTCCAGCCGTTCCTCCATCTGCTTCCTCTCGCGCAATGCCGCCTTCCCGCCGGAAATCGCGGTGGCTATGGCGCCAGCGGTCGGCTGACGCGTCCAGTTCGCGGCCATCTTGCCTGCGAGGGAACGAGGAACGGAGCGATATTTGGTGTGATTAAACGTTTTTGTATATAATATAGAAGCGAAGAGAAAGAGTTGAAGAAATGGAAAAGTATAATATTGTAATTTCTTCTTTGCCTAAGAGACCGGGGTATGACTTAAATCATTGAATGGTGTTGGAAGATTTCGAGAGTTCAACTTGGAACAAATCTAAATTGGGATTAAGTGTAAAAGCAAATAGGGACCGGTCAGGAGTTTCTCAAAAGATGGCAAGGAGAGTCGACTCCATTTAAGAAATAGATATTTGGCAAAATTCCAAGTCACTTATTAATAATCATTACTTCGGTATTAATGTCTGTGTCTCCAAATTGCTAACGTTGAAAAAGTACCAACGTTTACGAAGATCTTTTATGGTATCTACGTTATTGTGAGATTATAAAACCTTTTGTTAATCACTTAATATGGCCCGTTTCAACGCACTGATACTCTTGCGAAACCAATCCAGTTTCATCAAAGACGCGCGTCGCACTTTCTAAACGGCGACTTGTGACTAAGCGACATGTGAAAACGCGTGAGTTTGAAAATTTTCATGGTGTTTCTAATCGTGCTATATAAAAATAACTTCACACACATTTCTATCAAAGAGGTTCAACAGGATTCCTCCTGTTCTGCTAGATCGCAGCCAAGTACTCGGGCACGCTTGTAGAACAGTCAAAAGTTTGAACGCCGTTTTAAAAATTGGCTAGAACTCGCGGACGAGGGAAATATAGGACTAGCGACCCGCCCCGGCTTCGCACGGGTGCAATGTATTATACATATAAACCTCCCCCTTGAATCACTCTATCTCGCAAAAAAACCGCATCAAGATCCGTTGCGTAGTTTTAAAGATCTAAGCATGCATAGGGTCAGACAGACAGCGACAAGTCGCGGGTATCAGGTAGTGAAGCTCCATCGTCACATTGCAAGAAAAAGTCTACGATGGGTCTACTCGCGTACACAATACAGGCAATTATGGCTTGTTATACACGTATGTATGCTTAACTTTATTTATTTTGCTGTGGTAGGACCACGCTCCTGCTGTTGCAAGAATGGGCAGGCTCGTATAAGGAAGTACCATAGCCTCACAGACAACCGGCGTAAAGTGGATTATATACTTTCGCGTTTCCCCTGGTGCGTGTGGTAACCGGGGCGTACTTTTTAATGGTTGGCAATGTCTCTGCAAGCCGTCAGTTGTCGGACGGCCGCCGTCACTTTTTATGGTTCCGTACCCAACGGGTAAAACGAGAGCCTGTTACTAAGACTAGGACTCCGCCGTCTGTCTGTCACTAAGGCAGTGTCTCATGAACCGTGATAGTTAGTTGAAATTGTCACAGATAATGTATTTCTGCTCCCGCTATAACAACAAATACTGTAAAACAGAATTAAAAAATATTGGAGTGGGGCTCCGATACAACGAAGAAATGATTTTTTTTGCTGTTTTCTTCATGCGCGAGTCCGACTCGCACTGTGCCGGTTTTTACATTAAAAACGTGCTTACACGATACAAACGGAGCTCACCTTTCAACGGCCAGGACATCTTCAGTAATGGTGCCAATGTCGCCGGCATGGTCAGATTGGCCGTGTCCTTTATTTCGACGCTATCGTTAGCGTCAGTGTTGCTCTCCTCCAGCCCCAGATTGTAGCCGACGGTCACCAGCAGGGCGACCGACAGTAAGACTCTGTTTGAGAAAAAAAAAACACATATTGCGTACGGTTATTTTTACTCGGTCACTGTTATTTAAATACCGCCCGTTGATGGCACGCTAACAGTTTGTTTTCGAACCAAACGTAGGAAATCGTATGTTTTGAATTATTTTAAAAAAACAAATAAAAAATAAAAAGCAAGAGAAAAAGAAACTCTATTAGTTAGGTTCAAACTGGTTCACATCCCATCTTGGCGGTAAACAAGAAAGAAGAGGGTGTTTTGAATGCGATTGCGGATTTTTATATTTTTATTTTGATTATTTAAAACTGCTATAAAAAATAATACTTTATTGTGAGTTCATAGTTCACATTTAAAAACAATCTTACAAGATTTGAAAAGTACATTATACCAGATGAATATTCATATAGGTGTATGTTATCGAATATATTATAACGAATATGTAATATATTGAAATAACTTAATAAATAAGCCAATCATTTTGTCATTAAACATCAAGGCGATGATGACTCCGTGGCGCAGTTGCCAAGGTATTGGCTTGGGCGGTGGGTTTGATTCCCACGGGACCACTATTTGTGTGACCCACAGATAGTTATTTCGCATCTGGGTGTTTAGTCCTCGTGTAGTTTATATTTGTATAACGTCCATACAACACAGGATAACGTTATCCTAAAGTAAGGGCAATATTTAAAAAAAAGAAACAAATTATTTAATAATTCCAAGCACCATGTTTAAGTTAAAAACAATTGTAAAAAATAGCAGATCACTTGAATTATCACCGGAAAATAACGATGGAATTATATTCATCCATACGTTAAAAGTTACGAGTGCATAAAAGTGTAAGTATCTGAATTTGGTTTAAAAATTTTATCGAACGACAATATTCGAAAACATTAAAAAAAGTGACTCATTCTGCCAATCGACGGATAAAATTCTGTTTTAAAAATTTCGGGGGCAAATTGTTGAAATTCTTTATGTGATTTTACTCTCCAAATAAATGCTTGTTGCTCTTGGCAACAGACGAGGTCAGGTACGGATAATACCTTTTTGCGTTTACTTGTCATGGAGCCACCTGGCAGGAGTGCAGACGGGCGCAGTGGATAACGAGTTATAGCGAGTTTAAGGAATTCGCTAACCTATAACAGGTTCGCAATCGATGTTCGAGTTGAACGTAGCAAGTGCGCAATCTTATACTTGCACGCTATTCGTACAAGTTTCCTGCGTCCATATTGATAATCTTAAGGCATTTTTAAAACGGAAACGTTGTTGACTGATTTACTACGTATATATTATTTATTACTGATATATTAAGACGCGAAGCGAAAACTCCCCCTCCTTTTTTTTACGAAAATTGCACGGACGAAGGAGTATGAAATTTCCCACACTTATAGTTCATATAGAGGAGTGCAGAATGCTAATTTTTTTTTTTTCAAATAATGCATAAAAATGTATTAAATCAATATAGAAAACATTACACACAGTTCCATGTATTTGACGCAGTTACTCTGAGAATAGATTAATATTTTTTAAACTGATAATTTAAATTAATTGTGATCGAATTTCGATCACTCGTTCGTCCACTAGTGCATATAAATAGTTAAGGAATAAGTAATTCTCATTTTATAAGCTTCTTTCCAATTTTATGTAGAGTATGATTTCATGTTTTCTTCCTAGATAAAAATCTCTACATCTGATTTTATCGAGACGAAATTAAGCCCTCTTAAGACAAGTACAAAGAGGATTCCTACAATATTATATCTACATGTTGGAAGTCAACATTATACGAAAGAAAGTCACAAACTTGAGAGAAAAAAGATAGATTCAATGTTGTAAATATTGTATAAATAAAAAAGCATATGAGAGAAAATCACTGTATGAAATCCCAAACTTGCCTGAATGATATTAAAGAGGGTATAAGACTTATCTACACTTTAAGAACACAACATTTGGTCTCGAGAAGTTTGGTCTGTTGAAGTCCAAACTCCAATCCATAAAAACAACATAATCGGAACTAAATGTGTATAAATACAATGGTGGAGTCCTACTGTTGTCACGGAAAAGCTATGGGATTAATTGTTGCAGTAACTCTTCCAAGTTTTATTTTTTAGACACTCGGCCCTTGTCTAAAAAAACATTGTGACGAATGCAAAGTTATTAAAGTTTTAAGACACAAAAATACATTGTTAATATAACAAGCATCGCAGACGAAGCCGCGGGTATCATATAGTTTGTTAATATAACGTTGACTCACATCAGCACAATGCATACAATGCACTGGAAGTTGCGCAGACGTTTCTGGTAGTTGCGCGAAATGCTGGACTCGAAGACGTAGGTGGGTTGCACCAGAGGCGTGCGCTCCGAAGTGCTGGGCGCGCGTTGCATCTTCAACGGTGGCACGTCTGTGTAAAACGGGCAAATCCTTTAGAATAGGCCTATCTTCTCCTTTCTCCCTTGTACCACACGGCCCAAAATGTCCATCGATTGGTTTTCGGAATCGCGTTGTTATTTCAGTTGTAGGCTTTATTTTTATGACCGGCCGCCTGCCTGACGTCAACCCTCTGTAGGAATTCTAGCGAGTTTATATTTATATAACCTAAAATATTCTATAACTAGTATACTAATACAGGTACGAAACTTAATATCGTGCACACAAATAATTTTAAAAAGAAACTGTTGTCGTGATCGTAGTGTTTTGTCCAAATGCAAAAGCCTTTATATTTATATAATATGTGCTGATGCTTGGTTTCGCCTTTGGGGAAGGTCTTCGACCTCTTTACCTGGAAAATACGGCCTAATAAAATACTCTTATAAAGTGTTTAAGATACATGTGTTTCGTTTGGTGTGAGGGGTAACTGATATTGAACTTATAGGTATTTTGGACGTTAGTGGCGGCAGTAATACCTGATCGTTGGTTACCACCTGGTGATTTGCTATCTTCTACCATAAAAGAGATTAACATTTTCATTTAATAATAATAATTGAGATGATGTTTGCAAATGAATTCGGAAGGTATGGACTTCACATAAAAATGTTCAATCGATCGTTCAAGAAACAATATATTATATATCCTTATTTATATACTTTTCGATTGATTTATAAAAGGCCCATAGAAACAACTTTTTAGGGGCATTATCGAATTGATTACCAAAAACAAACACTGGGACTTCAACTCGATTTTTAATTTCGGTTTCATTACATATTTGAGACGAATTCGGAAGAAATGCGGTCTTCGAGATTCACTGATTAGTTAATGTTTTTTCACGAAACTAATAAACGTAATAACGGCGGTCCTTTGGTTGAGTTTTCGCATTAATATTTTGTATCGAATTTCTTTAAAGGAAAAAATGCCCGCTACTCTGTTGCTATGTAAAAAAAACAGGCAATTCCGAGTCGGACTCGCGCAAGAAGCGTTCCGTACCATTATCTATAAAAACTGCAAGAAAATCATGTCTGTTGTGCCTTTTAATATTTTTTTTATTTTATTCTGTATATCTCATCTGTGAAAATTTCAAGTACCTTACTATAACAGTTCATGAGATACAGCCTGGTGACAGACGGACAGACAGGCAGATAGACAGGCAGCGGAGTCTAAGTAATAGTAATAGTCTAAGTAATAGGTTACACTTTAGGTACGGAACCCTAAAAAAAACTTAAGTAACAAACTCGCGTTTATATTATACGCATAACATAAAATATATTATTCTTAGAATTTAAGCATTTAATGCTACTTTCGGATATGGGACTAATGTACTGAGGTTACCTGACGCCATCTCTATAATCTTAGCTAGTAGAGCACACAATTCAGATTTTAGGACCAAACGTGGTAATATTTCACGTTTATATTTATTATATTTATTTGTTCCCTCACCTACACGGGATACTTAAACTGAAGTGAATATATGGAATAAGTCTTAAGCTAAATCTCCCAAGAAGTGAGAAACCAATATGCCTGAAGGTCATCATTCCGTTCGAAATCTCTTTCTCTTTATGAACCTATAAAGCTATATTCATAATTATTGTTGTCGCTGCGGATCATGTTTATCGGGAAACTGGTAAATCTGCAAACAATGTTACCATCCGATGGCAAGGTTTTACCGTATGTGAATTCAAAACATCCTTAGTTAGCCTTTTAAATGTGGATCACGTTCGCTTGCCAGCCAGAATTAACGCAAAATTATTGATACATTACGCCGATTTTTTGTATTATTTCCTTCGCACTGGTCCATACATTAAGTACAAGATGTGTGTCTACCACAGTACAGGTTAACGCTCGATTACCTCACCTGATAATGTAATCGCACCAAACATTTGTTTGTCAAAACACCCAGCCAAGTAAAAGCATATTTAATTTGCAAACGAATAATAAATTTATGAAATGAATGGTTCAAAAAAGGAGGCCGGGGGGCGCGGTGGTCGAGACTTGTTTCCAGGGGCGTTTATTGAACCCGAGGGATTGTCAGCGAGGTCTCTCTACTCGCTTGTCATGGCGTGGATGGGATTATGTTGGCCAACTTGTTATACCGCTTGTGTCTAAGCAAGTGCACAGTGACTAAAAAATTAGGTTCCGTTAGTCTTTGTACTTTCAGCGATAATGAGTTCTTTTCACAATGGATATTGTTTATGTTATGAAGGTCTTGTCTTTTCTAAATTTCAAAAGTAAAATTTTCTCGTTTTCATTTAATGGTTAATCTATAGAACTATTGCCTATTTTTATAAAGTATCTATTGCAAAGTCACACTGTACTCGCGCAATTTGCAGTTTATTCGTATTTGTTGTTATCATGGCAATGTGATAGTCACTTTATAAACAACTCGTAATATTCATCGGATTTTTTATGTATAGCTATATATACCTGTGAAATATAAAGAACAACACAGAAAAATTTAATATTTTAAAAAGGATATGATTGAGATTTTTTCATAAGCAATCAGTGATTGTTGTCAGGCTAAGGATAACTTTGTTTTCTTTGTAGGGGCTGGTAGGCTGGTAAAGTGGCTCATGCAGTGCTAATCCATCTTCCTTTGAGCTTAGACCAACGAGCTACAACAGCGTTGGCAGGATTTTAGGTAGGAATAGATCCACTTCTAATTCCCTAAGTACGTCCCTAAGCCGTGTGGGTCGCATATTACGTAGAAATAAAGAAAAAAAAGAACTGTGAATAATCGAGATGGCGTTAATGTTATTTCGAGTTTTGTCTCGGCGCATGTTGTAGAAGATCACCGGAAGAATTGTCCATACAGTTCTTCTGACCATTCACAATGGCAAATCTGATGGCAAATTCGAAGCGATACAACATCTTTTCATAAGCGCAATCTTCAAGCCGATTGAACTCGAGTTTCTGATGCTCTAATGGATGCCCATTGGAGGAAACTGGTATTGAGACAGCCCAGAGCTGACAATAGTATTCTGTTGCGGCCGAATCTGCACAACTGAAAGTGTGAACGATAGATGACAAGAAAATCTATCCCATTCATAAATGGACATTTTTTATGTGTAGAAGAAACATGTAAAACACAGCACGCCTCCTTGAGGGACACCAGCATTTTTGGCTTTGGTGTCCGTGCATGCACAATCAATAACGACTTTGTTGTTTCCCTTCTTACCATCTTCTTTTGTTCTTTTGTGTTTAATGTCAGCTATATGGTCTTCCACGGCTCTGTTTAGCATTTTTGTATCCGATATACCCACCGAGTCCATTTAAAATTAATCTCGTTCACCCTTCTGTCTCCTTCACTGACTTTTAAAATGTGATCAACAATTTTTCAAGATGTTGTCGACCTTGTTTGTAACCTTGAATGCTACGAAACATTCGTGTCAGGGGTTTAAATCAAAAAGGAAGATAAAGTTTTTTTTAAACTTTTGGGCGCGGTTAATAAATCGCTCCGTTTCGGCATAACCGCTACGGAACTTAAAAAGGCACGATTGGACTCGAGTTATTGTTGCTATCTACGCACAGCCACGTGGAATGGTAGGATTTTATACAAGTATTTTTTTATTTTTTATGTATTTATTTAATAGTTATAAATGTGTTGACAGCAAGTACATTCGCTCAGTTAAAGCTACGAGGCTATCATTGTGGAAAATGGGAGAACATATTATAATTAGAGAATACTGGTTTCACCCTTATTTGTATGCACTTTAAGCAGTGGAACACGTTTTGCGTAGACGTTAATTTGTTCGAAATCGAATACAAGGATACCAAAGGCGAACGCGACCGTTGTTTCGACGAAAAACGAAAGAAAAAGCCTAACATTGAACAACATTTTCAGTGGCGTATTTAGGATTCCATGTAGGTAGTCCTAATTAACGGCCCTGATTCATTTTATACCTACTGTTTCTATTTTCCAATCGATATGAATTTGAATATTTCCAAAAAAAATGTTTTTATATCCGACCACAATGTTTCTTGTCCGTTTTTTTGTTGAAAGTTGGGATGGTAAAAATGCTGGCTTCGTAACCTAGGCAAGCCGTTTTATTTTTAACTAGCTTTTCGTCCGCGGCTCCGCCCGCATGTACATTTTATATCGTGCTTAAAAATTTTCGTCCGCCACGCACTTGGCGACGTTTTTGTCAACTCGCACACGTTTTTTTTTTAACTTTATATAAACTTACAATCATTATTATACAGACTATAATAAATAGTTGACTACATATTCATCCAATTCATGTCTTCAATGTGGGTCTTTAAGTAGATATTTAAATAAAATTACTAACACTAAATATTAAGTGAAGCTTACTACAATTTATTAGTGGAAGTTGCACCCAAACCAGTTAAGCCGTTTCTGAGATTAGCGTGCATAAAGCAACAGATAAACAGACAAAAAATTAAAAAATCATTGTTTTGGGTTCTGTTGCGTTGTTAAAGGCACCTAATAATGGTTTTTCTCAAACATCTTCCATGTACAGACAACGTTCTGTCACACTTTTATTATATGTATAGACAAAGATGAGCCATTAAAAAAGTTAGTTATGACTACAAATTAGCCTCGAATGATGAAAGATTTGATTACTGCAATATCAAAAAACGATGGAGCAATGTCGGGCCGTAAGGAAAATAAAAAAGAGAAATGAACGTTAATTATCTGATTTTGCTGAAATCTGTCAGTATATATAGTAGAGTAGGGGGACGTGAAGTAAACAGTTGCATATAAAATGGTATTAAACTTTTTTTCTTAACTGTTAACTCTTTACATAAAAGTCTTTGTGTGTTTTTTGAATGGATTAAAAGAAAAATCTAGGTAATTCATACGAACGAAACTTTTTCAAATGTTCCTTACGATAACAGAAGATCTAAAGCAAGACAAAATCAATAAATAGGTAGCCGAATCAATAAAAGAGGTAGGTAAAAAGGTTTAGCCCGTAATACTGCATTCGTGTTTGAAGAGAAATCTTTACGTCCAGGCCCCGCTAGAGTTAGATTAAATGAAACACGCTTTCAAAAGCAAGAACTTTCGCACAAATAAAACTGATCAGAGATTAGGGAAGAAATGACCAGAGCTGTAATAATTATCGCACAAAATGGGTCAAATGCACAAGATTTTTATTGCCAAAAATATTTCGAGCCATAATAAGACAGTAACAGATGTACCTATATTTTGTAGTAAAGTTCTAACCCTGTTACGTCTCAGGGCTTCGCGCGAGGCTATTAAACTAATGACATTAGATCTAGTAGTTACGGCATTTTCTGCCCAAATACTAAATACAATATTGCCAACTTGCGAGCCAAATAAGAATAACCGTCCAGCGAAGATGCTACGCATACGCTCATTTACATACGCTCTTTGTATTCTCGAAAAAATTAAAAAATATGATGAAATGTACGTCACGAGTAAGTTTCCTTTAACTTAAAAAAAAAGCAAATGCAGTTCGACATGCGTCATAGCACGCAAGAGTTGTTTTTTTTTTAATTTTTTGAAATGTACTTAAACGAGTTGAGATCAGAGTAATAATACATTATTTCATTTTATTTATGTAGCCTCACTTAATAGTTACTTTACACTTTTTTTTTCACTTAATTGTCGCTGGTCAAAAGAAAGGTAACTGTTTACAATATAATAATAGGAGTACGAGCGATTTTCGTCCACGAATATTTATAATCGATAGAGAAACATAACTGAAACAATAATTAAGAAGTAAAAGTATGCACTTTCATTTCAGGTTTTGATTAAAATAAATTATTCTCCGATGCTTGGTATAATATGAAAATATGAAAATATGTTTATTGACAAACAGAATTACACTTAAGTACATTGTGCGTTGGCACCACACTAGGCAAAGCCTGTCCTGTGGTTGCATTATTGTATACGTAACGAACATAACCTATCGGTTTGAAATAAATAACTTTAACCTCAATTTATCTTAATTTATGAATAAATAATGGTTTTTAACTATCACTATATTCTGCAACAAAGTGTAAACGTGAGTTAAAAATAAATACTCATAAAATTATTGACAAAAATCAATTTTGTACCCAACGTAATGTCGGATTTCCTTAGCATTGGTTATATTTAATTTTTTTTTTAATTTCAGCGCATATATTATTTTTCCTTTATAATTATTGTTTCGGTTGTTTTTATATCGATTAAAATATGTGTACAGGAAAAACTCACGTTATTATTAACAATTTCCAACATAAACTTAAACTTAGATTAAGCTGAAGATACCAGGCTTAGGAAAAAAATATATAGATGATATATATATATATATAGATGTACATGATAAGCTTATAACAAGTGTACAAATAATTTATGTCATGAATAAAAAAATAAAACTTCTTTATATACTCACGTTCTGTTTAATAGATAATTTTTTTTTAAATGAAACTTTATATCTATTATTTTTGTGTCACTTTACCCGTGATAAATGTCGTAGTTACAATAAAAAAGCAACTAACATTAAAAAAAGCACTCAGATGTGCCACATGCAACTGGCAAACCCGCGTCTCCGTCGCAAACTGAGGCTCGCACCGCTTTGCGGGGTCGCAGCGTGGTCCTAAACAATTGCCACAGTTGTTCGGTTAAATTTAATTAAAATTATACATAATGATTGTGTCAGTATTAAAGCGATTCGTCATTGAACGAGGGAAGTTGCTGGTGCCGACGTGCCACTTGAACGAAAGCCGAATTGTCACCGAAAGGTACATTAAGTACTTTTTAAAAGAAGAATTAACCTTTATATCCTCCTGACTATTATGAATTCTTGTACGTGCGATATTTATAGTAATTACAGATGAGTACGAAATTGGTCATTCATCTTTTCTACAATTATTTGCTCTTTAAAGGAACTTAAGTACTAATAACTTCATTATGTTATCATAAGTTAAACATTTTCGTCGTTTATAGTATAACATGAAAGATGCCATTGTAAACATTTATTTCGTTCCGTTAATGACATTCATCTTAGATAATATTAATTGCAGTATATACTTAAATTAATCTGTTTTTTGCCATTCACTTTAATCTTATCTAGAAATAAGATGTCAACAAAAGAAATGAAACGAGCTTTTTAAGTTGCCTTTAAGTATAACTTAAGAAACAAAACAAACTTAAGAAAATATTTACAAATCACATAATCCAATAAAAAGAAATGTTAAGTTGTATATATTAATCAGTTTTAGTTTCACTTGACTTTTCTGATGCATTTTTGTGATAAATGTATTTCGTATAACAAAACAAGAGCTGTTAAGTTTAAATAACTTACCTGTTCACACACACTTCATCGTTAGAAAAATTACATTCGTCTAGAATTTCATTTCATGTTTTTTCTATATTTAATTAATTATTTATTATTGATTTTAATGATATTATTTATGTTACTAATGCCTGGCGTTACTAAAGTTAGGAAGAAGTGAGTTTTTTGTATTTTTCTCTTCGGGATGCTTAGTTTTTACATTAATTATTGTTATTGTTATAAGAATCGGTTCCACTGATAGCACTCTAATGTTCTTACCCTTTTTTAATAACTTCTTAAATTAACAACCAACAGGACGTCGCCCATAGCGACGTTAAAAGTAGCAGAATTAATTTTCCAGAAAAGGGCACTGCACCTCGACCTACTTACACTGTGTCCGCCGCCGTACTAAATTGTATTCCGTTTCCGCTTTAACCGCGTTTTGGTTGTCGTAAGGATTCATCTATCGTGGAGGTTTCAAAATTCACAGATTAGTAAACGATAGAACGGTGATAGCGTAGCGTAATTTAGAAGTCATTGCACTCGCGCACAAATCTGGTTAGTGAACATCTTAGGTTCAATTTAAACGCAATTTACTGTTTGGTGGTTGATTTGTCCTCAGGGATATCACGATGGTAGGGCCACGCAGCAGCCTCGGCTGGTGCCTGAATGGGCAGGCTCGTCCGGGTAAATACCACGACCTCACAGAAGACCGGCGTAAAGTGGAAGTATAATACTTTCGCGTTTCGTCAAGTGGCATGTCAATGAATAAGAAACATACAAAAGCGTGGCAGTAACTGACGTAATACCTTCCTGATACCCGAGGCTATGACCAGCTATTCCACATAGGGAACAATGACATATACTCAGTGGGGGTTTACCCTTGCCCGAGGAATGGCCGAAGACCCGGCGGCGCAGTAGCTAAGCTAAATAGTTTTCGGTGTGATCTATCGTACTTTTAATTATTGCTTTAATTACTAAACAGATAATTTTTGCAGATTTGGGTGTTTGCTCCTTACAAGGGATGACGTCGTGCAGGCAGCCGGTCGTAATAAATCCAGCTAATACCATGAATACCAACATGATTTATATGTGCCGATTCCATCAAGGTGGATAAGTTAAGTAAGATTAAAGTTCGTCCGTGGAAATTTCATTTATCGCTATCTGTCAGTTAGTTTTATAATAAATGGGGGGAACGGAATTGGTCCAACGGGATCTGATCTGAAAAATGAAAAGGCTACGGCTGTTGTACGAAGTTCCCCGTTCGTGCAACAGACGTAGCTTTTTATAAGTAGTATTCTTAAGACATAGAAGACGGGCATGGAGCGGAAGTATGCGTTATACTTTCGCGTCTGGTGATTGCGGTAGCCGGGGCCAACTTTTTTAATGTTGGCAACGCATCAGCAACCCGTCAGGTTGTGGATGTCTATAGGCAGCGGTAACCAACGTCAGCTCGCTTGGCAACTTTTAACGTAAGCGAGTCCGTTTTTACTAACGCAAACCAACACCGACTTCAAATATCTCGCTATGTTTTTATATTTATAGATTGTCATTGTTCCCTAAGTGTCTCCGGGCCGCAAGATCCTATACCAATGAAATTAATATGGCGCCACATGGGAAGCACCAGCTTTCAAATAAAAAAAATCATCAAATTTCACTCAGTTAAAAGTTATGAGGTAACAAAAAAAAAAATACCATCGAATTGAGAACCTCCTCCATTCTTGAAGTCAGTTAAAATAACGGATGGCAACTCCGAGCCGGCATTTCACTCGGTTGCATTAAAAAAATAACCGATAATAAAATGACATTTAACGTAAAACATACAATATGCATCTGCGTTAACGTGTTCAGTCTTTCTATAGGATGTTTGTTAAAGAAACGCACTATCAAGGTCGCTCCTAATGAGGTCAAAGACGCCAAGGGCTGCAGAATCAGGTATTTGTGGTTTGGGTGGAAACAAATGACACATCCTTACTAATATTATAAACGCGAAAGTTTGTATGTATGGATGGATGTTTGTTACTCTTTCACGCAAATACTACTGAATTTGAATGAAACTACAATAATATAGCTTATACATCAGAATAAGACATAGGCTATAATTTATATATATATTTTATGTATGTCTTTTTGTCTTAATGTTTAACACCTTCAGCCTATTCTACGCAGACGTAGTCATACTTCATATCGCATTTGTTATTGATTAAGAAATAGATAAGGAAAGATTAGAAAAATTATTTCAAACTAATCATCATCATTTCAGGCTGTTAGAGCTTACTGCTGAACATAACCCATAACCCTCCCCCACAGACTGCCTCTTGGATGCACGGAGCCACCTGCATCCATCGACTTCCCGCACATTTGCACAGATCACTCCATTTAGTGGGGGTTCGTCGTGAAATGCGATGGCCAGTACGGGGCTGCCACTCGATAACGTTTCTTCTCCATCGGTTATAGGCTCTACGAGCTATACCGGCCCAATATCACCTCCGATTCTGTCGAAATTTGGGCGATACTCCAGGCATTTCATTTGACTGTCGGTATATCGAGGTGTTTAGGTTTGCGTAATGAGAATATTTATTTATATAAAATAATTTAACATAAAGAAATAATAAAAAAAGACGAAGTGTGAGATGTCAAATGTCTGTTTTACTTATTTACTGTATTATGACATAAAAGGGTTACAATAAAACGAAATACATAATGTACATAAAAAATTTCTCTTTTCAGTTTAGGTTACAAAGTACTGTAATGATAATATTATTTGATTAAAAGAAAGTTAACTCCTCAAATAAATCAAAGAAGATTCTTTAAGCTGGAACTCATGACTATTTGGGCAAAGCGAGTTTTTGCATTATGTCGGTTCGACAGACGAACCCCGGAGTCTAATTGCAACCATAAATGGTGTCTTCGCCCGTTTAAAAATCACTACAGACTTAAATCATTTCATTTTTTTTTCAAGGTTACGTCCCATTCGGAGGAATGACGACCGCGGTTGTTTTCATTTTATCAAACATAATACACATTTTTATCGCAGTCATTGCTGGTGGTTTCCCCGTCAACTGGACCTTATTTGCGAACTGGTAGAACGTGAAGTTTATTAAACGCTATCAAAAATGTATAGGTATTAATATTGAGTGCCTGTATTTACGCGAATAATTAATTTAATTTAATATATAATTAATTTAATTTAATATATTAATTTAATAAGCCTTAATTTAATTCATGAATAAGCTTTTTTACCAATACAGCACAATTATACAATTTAGCACTAGTCATCGCAATTAAAATGAAACTTAAAATGCGAGGTGAGGAGTTTTTCGGCGGTAGGGCCACGCAATCTTCCGCGACCCCGGCGCGACTATGGCCCCTTTACGCCTCCTCTACTACATAGTGCTGTGCCCGTGCAATTGGCACAGCACACATCACGAGCCCCATATTGAGCGACAGACACTCCCATGTCTGCCGCTCAGGGTCTCACCATCAGGGGGGAAGGTTGCGCGCGTAGGCCAGCCTCCTGCGCCCTGGTCTCCGGCGGCGAATTTCCAGGGTGGCAGTTGCCTCCCTTTCCCTCTCCGCGGCCTCCTTCCGGGTGATAACGTCCTCGCAGTATGCGAGGACAGCACCCCACGCCCTCTCGCTGTCAACCATAGCGCGAACCACGGCTGGTAGCGAGAGGTCGTGCCCCACGATAGCGTACAGCTCTCGGCGCTGCTCCGTCCAGGCTGAGCACTCCTCCAGTGCGTTTTGGGCCGTCTCCTCGGCACATACGTCACAGTGGTGGCATTCCGCTGTGGGCTCCCTCCTCGCCACGCAAAACAGGTACCTCCCGAAACAACCATGTCCCGAGAGGACCTGCGTTGCACGGTAGGTAAGGGTGCCGTGTCGCCGCCTATCCAGCCACCTCCTGAGGACAGGACGTATGGCCTCTACGGTTCTTAGGCCGGCACTGGGGTGCTCCAGCCTCTGCTCCCACTCATCGATGGCGTTTGAGCGCAGGCGACGCCTGCGCTCCTCCAACTCCTCCGGGGCCGGCATGTGGCCCTGGGATTTTGCAGCCTCGCGCCAGGAGTGCAATGACGCGAGGATCTTAGCTTCTAAATCCCAAGGCAGGAAGCCGGCCAACAGGCAAGCCGCCTCACCGGAGATCGTCCGGTAGCCCCGTATGGCCCGGATAGCCAACACCCTCTGCGGTTTGCGCAGAAGCGCTTGGGTCCGGCGCTTCAGGGTGTCAGCCCAAACGGGAGCTCCGTACAGGGCCATGGATCGCACGACTCCGGCGTATAAGCGACGACAGGAGTCGTTGGGGCCGCCAACGTTCGGGAGCAGCCTACCGAGAGCTGCCGCTGCTTTCGCCACTTTGGGAGCCAGTCGCTCGAAGTGGGCCCGGAAATCCCATAGGCGATCTAAAACTAGGCCTAGATACCTTATCGTAGGTGCTACGTCGACACGGACCCCACACACAATAATGTGAGCGTCCGCAGGTGGCGCATTCCGGGCTCCATAAAAACATAGAGCCTCGGATTTATTCAGCGCCACCTCTAGCCCTAGTCGCCGAATGCGTCCCACTACCTGAGCCACTCCCGCAGTGGCGAGAATAGCGGCCCGGTGAAAGTTTGTGCCACGAGCGGTCACAAGGGTGTCATCAGCGTAACACCCCTGACACCTCGACACCTCACCTCGACACCCCTGAGATAGGCGCCACGTAGCACCCAGTCATAGCCTAAGTTCCACAGGAGTGGCCCTAACACCGACCCCTGTGGAACACCGCACGTCACCTCGATGGTTCGATGCCCGTCTTGGCACGGAAACTCTACACGGCGATGCGACAAGTAAGCCTCGATGGTACGGCGCAGGTAGAGGGGCACTCCATGGAACCGGAGCGCCTCCCTAATGCAAGCCCAGGGCAGAGTGTTAAAGGCGTTGGCGATGTCAAGAGACACCGCCAGGACGACTCCGCCCTGGGACACTGCTTCCTGCGCGAGAGACCTAACTTGCAACACCGCGTGGATGGTTGACCGACCCTTGCGGAACCCGAATTGCCTCTCCGCCAGATTCGGACCAACGTTTTCAAGGTGCTCGACGATGCGGCCAGCAACAACTCTTTCAAAGAGCTTCCCCACATCGTCGAGTAACACTATCGGTCGATAGGCGGAGGGCGAGTCCATGGGACGCCCCTGCTTCCGGATGAGGACGAGTCTGCCTGTCTTCCACCTCTGTGGAATTATGGCTTGGGCCAGACAGGCAGTAAACATCTCCCTCAACCTAGGCTCCAGGGCATCCCCCAGGGCCAGTGCCCAGGCTCGTCCCGGGATGCCGTCGGGACCCGGGGCGGCGCTTTTGAGTTTCATCCTAAGGACGGCAGCGCCGAACTCTCCCGGAGTCACCTCCGGTATATCCAAGCTTGGGTCGGTCATCTCCGTGCTGGGTCGTGCCATCGAAGGTGGCGAGTGCTCCTCCCGCTGCGGAAATAAAGCTGGGGCGATCGCCGCTACCAGTTGAGGCCGCAGACTCTGTGTCAGTGGGGGGGGGCCCAAGGGCGAAGCTTGTTCATCACCATCCTGTACTGCCTCCCCCACGGATCACGGTTAAGTGCAGCCAAAAACTCCTCCCTGGCAACAGCAATCGCTGAAGCTATAGCCGCTTGTAAAGTCATCTTGGCCTGTCTGAAGGAGGTGTACAACTCGGTTTCCAGGTCCAAATCCCTGCGCCGCCGCCTTCGGCATCGGGTGTACCGGCGTCTAGCCACTAGACACGCTCTGCGCATTTGCGCGATTTCCGTAGACCACCAGTACACCTGGCGCTTGGGAGGAAGCTTTCTGGACCGGGACATGGACGCATCGCACATGTCCCCGGCTGATGCGACAGAGACAGGTGCAACGTGGGTTTTTTAGTGGGTAACCGTTTTTAACGGGACTCCCACATACCCCTGCCACTTCTCCCATCCAGTGGCAGGGGATCCATAAAGGATTTTTCCCACGAAAAAAAAAAAAAAAAAAAAAAAAAAAAAAGGGCCACGCAGCAGCCTCGGCTGTTGCACGAATGCGCAGGCCCGTCCGGGTAAGTACTACGACCTCACAGAAGACCAGCGTAAAGTGGAAGTATGACAAATACTCGGGTGTAGCAGATGTTCATGGGCGGCGGTATTCTCTAACATCAGGCGAACCGTCTGCTCGTTTGGCAACTTTTCACATAAAAAAAGAGGATGTTTCCTTTTTTTTAAGAAAGTGGGCGAATTTTGCGTGGCGGGTACAAATTATCGTCAAAAATATAGAAAAACGACGTGGCTCTTCATAGCTTTAAGATGGTCACTGCGTCAATACCTATAAATCGTAGATTTGTTCTTTTTGAAGTTTTAAATTAGTCCATTTAATTGAGCAATTACAGGAACCCTGATATATAAAACTTCAATCATAAGCTTAAACCTTTAAGAATGTGATTTCTTATGCGATATGAAATGAAATTTTAAAAACTTGCGGCGTTCATTCCAACTTCCAACGCAAGCGCAGCGCGCACTTTACTAACTCATGGAAAAAGTCCAGTCCGGTCGGAACAAAAACCGCCACGCAACAAGCCTCCAAGCCGCAAGTGCAAGGGAGCAACAATACTAATTCTCCGAACTTCGCCGCGGGCTTGTTAAAGGGCGTAAGTAACAGCCTATACATGTCCCACAGCTGGGTAAAGGCCACTTAGGACTGTACAGAGGGTATCACGGCATAGTCCACCACGCGGCCCCACTGCGGATTGGCGGACTTCACCTATCTTCGAAACATTTTTTTTGTTGTTATTTCGAAAATATGCAGTTTTTCTCGCGATGTTTCCCTTCACCGCAAAGCACGTGATAAGCCAGCACCCAAAATCAACAACTTCATTGGTGCAGCACCGAGAATCGAACTCAGGTTGCTCGAGTATATAGAATTAAAGGCGAGCGCCGCCCAGATAACGAGCTATCACGGCTCTGACTAGTTTAGGCTTTATTCATTACAATAATTGACGTAGACGAACTCAGCTTTCTGAGTAACAAAATCCGCGTAGCAGATTGTAGTAGGGCCGTACCACGTACCATGGCGTCACAGAAGACCGTCAATTGACCGGCTGTGAGAATATGATTAATATTAGAATAATGTGTGGATGGAATATACAGGGTCCATATATCTTCGAAAGATTTTTTGTTATCATTTATACAATTACAATATGCAGGTTTCCTCACGATATTTTCCTTCACCGCAAAGCACGTGATAAGTCAGAACCTAAAATTAACAATTTCATTGGTGCCGGCACCGGGGATCGAATTCAGGTTGCTGGAGTATATTGAATTAAAGGCGAGCGGATACTGAGCTATCACGGCTATATCGTAATAATTTATTTATTATTAAATAAAAAAATCTTGAAGTTATCATTTTTTGTTAAGCCTTTAGTTACACATACAGAATAATCTATTAAAATCACATTTATAACTCGTTTGACGAACTGATAATGTAATACTTAAACAATCACATTAGTTTTATCGTATTTGAGGAATTCTTACCACAAATTTATGTTCAAACAAGAGAACTATTTAATAAATGGTGTTGAAATGTCAGTGAAATTGATTCGTTCCAGAGAAGATTTTAATTTGCTCTAAATTTTTGAAGTTCCAGCGTACATAATAAGCAAGTTGGACCCAGACTCAAAGCCTGGTTCACACTGGATAGTCATACATATAGACAAAAACATATTGGCCAATATTTTGATTCCTTGGTTAGGCTACGCTCAGGATACCATCGCACTTTTTTCAAAAGAAATGCACGTCAACGGGATGAGGAAGTTATCACTTTTTGTTAAGCCTCCAGTTACACATACAGACGAATCTATTAAAATCACATTAATAACTCGTTTGACGAACTGATAATATAATACTAAAACTATCACATTAGTTTCATCGTGTTTGAGGAATTCTTACCAAAAATTTTTATTCAAACAAGAGAACTTTTTAGTAAATTGTGTTGAAATGTCAGTGAAATTGATTCGTTCCAGAGAAGATTTTAATTTAATGACAACTTCGATTGACACTAAATGTAAAGTTTGTATCTCAGATGCAACACTTAAAGTTCGTAGAGTAGAGCACGCATCAATACAACGGTGTTACTTGCACATTAAAAAGGTCTAGTTAGCCGAAATTGTAAACATGTATTGTTGGGGTTGTTAATAACGCAGCTTACAATTTTAGTCTGGGCAAAGAACCCGTTTAATTTTGAAAATTATCGTATGAATACCTTTTGTTTGTACATTGAAGGACAAAAAATACCTTCGAAGGCTTTGCAACCATCATTTGACAGCAAAATTTTCACCTCAGCCTATATATTGTTTTCGGAAACAGATATTCATTTTCCTAATGAGGTTAATGGTATATCTAAGGAAGAATATGCGATAGGTTATAGTCTATTAGCCTTCGATCTAACTCTCGATTTGTCAGCTAACTCTTCGAGTCATTGGAATCTTATCAAGCATGCTAGTGTAAGATTAGAGTTGTTTTTGATTCAGCTCTCTTACAAACTTTTAATTGTATTGCTTACTCTTAATTTGGTAACGTTATTGAGATAGATAAAAACCGTTATGTAACCGTAGACTATGGCGGCTAAGAATACACATACCTATTGGATTAGCCATTTCATTCGCACACACGCAATCTAATTATTACATTCGCTAATCACTTTTTCATTCACACATTGGTCGAATCCTTACTTCCGCTTAACCCCTTCCCTTCAGTCTATGATCAATCACCGCATCGATAACAAGCCTGTGCGCCTGAGTTTCCGCGAATATCTCCAAAGAAGAGAATTTCATCACATAAATCCCGCATCCATAAATCGCCGCGTTAAAATAACAAAGCTCGAAAAGAGCAAGTGATTGCTGTGATAAGAACCGATAACTGTGGGGCACGTGCCCGCCATTGTTGGACAATGTGGTAGTGAATGTGGCATCAGCGAACCAGACGCCTCAGTATAGTAAACCCTACCTTTACACCACACGTATTGTATTTCTTTTAGGTATATTCTGTGTTTCAACTGTGTGGTTTGAATAAATAACAATTTTAGAAATTATTATTTTTTATAGTGCTAATCTCTGCACTTAAGATTAAACATTAAAATTTGTATAAAAAGTACGAAAAGTTTGTCGCCGCTGTGGGAATCGAACACATCCCGTTCGAATTATCATTGTAAAACGATATTCGAAATTTTTCGTATACTGGAAAGGATGCGCCAAGCATTGATTCAAATGCTAAAAAAACAGCGCTTTAGTCACTAAGATAAACAGCTGTTTAGCTTAGTGACTAAAGCGTCAGGCCGCGGATGCCGAAGACGTGGGTTACATTCCCACGGCGGCGACAACCTTTTCGTACTTTTTATACAAATTATAATAAATAACAATTTGCCTCTATGCATTACGTTTATTTCTACAGTATCCCTATTAATTCACTAAGATATTAAATACATGAAATACTATTACGATACAATTTAAACCTCAATCGCATTTGATCTGTTGCCTCGGATGGTGTTGGTAGCGAAACTGTAGATATGCAATATGAGTACAATAGAAAAAGAGAAATATCTAAGTGAATATCAGCCTTGTTTAAAATTATTGTATATGCCGCAAACCGGTTGACAATAAACTTTGAATTGACGACCCGAATGGCGTAGTGGGTAGTGTACCTGCCTCCTGCGCCAGAGGGTGTGGGTTCGATCCCAACTACTCGAAAAATATCGTGTGTTGAACATAGTGTTTTTCTAGTGTCTGGGTTTTTATATATCTATAATATGTATTTATTTACAAAAGAAAAGTATGTCTAAGTATGTTTATCAGTTATCTAGTACCCATTGTACAAGCTTTGCTTAGTTTGGGACTAGAGAACGTTGTGTAAAAATGTGTCATAAATATTTATTTATTTTATTTTATTTTTATTTTTATTTCCAGCATACATAATAAGCAAGTTGGACCCAGACTCAAAGCCTGGTTCACACTGGATAGCCATACATATAGACAAAAACCATATTGGCCAATGTTGTGACTCCTTTGGTAGGCCACCGTCAGGTTACCATCGCACCTTTTTGAAAAGGAATTCACGTCAATGGGATTTTAATCCCAAAACAGATACAGAATGACTGGAGTTCATTCTGTGGCGAGAGCTGTTTAATGTGTTTGACCCACAAGTTTTATGGTGATTCAATGAGAGACTTTGTGGACATATTTGGTGATAATACAATCGATAGTGATATTTTGTTGCATTATATGTTTAAAAACACTTTTTAATGTTAAAAAAATATATGTATGATATAATAAAATTAAAAAAAAAATAAGTCTGTGTAAGTTTTTTGTTGTTTTTGCAATTAGAGCAGGATGTATCTACAATTAGCAAACTAACGACGTAATTTGGAAAGCGATAAAAATTTTGTTAGCAACGCTACGTATATATTTTCGCAAAAGCTAGTATATTATACATATTGTAAAACCTTTACCAAGTTATTTATAAAATAAATAGTTAAACTATTATTTTTTTTTATTAAATGAACAAAAACTTACTGCGCTGCAGAATTCGAACCCGCCAACTAAGCTAAGCGGCCGATAATTTCACGGCGCGAAAATCTTGCCATCTACGTTCGTTCTATTGCATTTTAAGCAATGCTTAGCGCTTAGATTTTATATATATATAAAGAGTCTGGGCGCAAACCAGAACACGTAGGTTCGAATTCCGCAGCGCTAAGCCGAAAGTTTTAGCTCATTTATCTAAAAAAATTTACAAGTTAAAGTTTCATCTTGAGTGCAGAGACTAAAAGTAAAAATAAAAATCAATCAAAAAATAAATAAGCATAAATATAAAATATGTTACATTTTGACCATATAATTTTTAAAGTATATATAAGTTAAATATATATAAGTATATCAATGTTTACTTTTTGAAATGTGTCTCATCTTAAACATAATTATCACCGAATTCAATCAGATTGACGCAAAGGTGAACCTTAAGCATTCTTTTATCTTTATGGTTTCAAAGTCATCCGCAGAGAAAACATTTATCCTAAATTATGTGGATATGTTCGTCATTAGCGCGAAAAGTTAAGACTCTATGATGTTTAACTCATTAATTTCGATAAACGTTATGGAAGATATAGAGAGCCCATAAACAAATATTTATTGATATAACTAACAAAGCATCATTAGGATCAAACTTTAATTTACGATTTGAGTTTGCATGAAGCGTTTGATTAAGAATTTTAGAAAAAGAAAAAATAACGGGAAATTCGTGTTACTTCCACAACACTTTGTGACTCACGGGTCACTAAATGAAAAAAATAACACAACTGCGTTTTGAGTTTTTAAATGCATAATGTGAATTTTCAATAAACCGGTTTTTTGCAGCAATATCCTTGTGATAAACAGGCCTTTTAATGGATATAAAAATTAATATACCTACAGACTTCATATCCCTTATGAAGAATTTCTAAGGTTTCTGGGAGTTGAATATTTGTAAAGATTCGGTATTAAAGTCCAGCGAATGACAGTGTCAGAGACATAGCTTTTTCTGTTGCTGAATATGACTGACTTGAAGTAGCCAGAATCTAATCCTCTTAAAGTTTAGTATTACGCCTGGTACCCATTCCAGTGTTCCGCATGCCTACGTTTAACTACTAACCAACAAGTGAACACGCCATATTGAGAGCACCCGAATGGCGTAGTGGGTAGTGTACCTGCCTCTTGCGCCAGAGGGTGTGGGTTCGATCTCCACTAATGGAAAAATATTTTATGATGAACATAGTGTTTTTCTAGTGTCTGGGTGTTTAAATATCTATAATATGTAAGTATTTATTTACAAAGGAAAATGTATGTTTATGTGTTTATCAGTTCTCTAGTACTCATAGAATATGCGTTGCTTAGTTTGGGACTAGAGAACGTTGTGTATAAATGTGTCCTAAGATATTTATTTGTTATTTATATTAAAAAAATCTTTCATTCATCTTTCGACTCTGTTTAGATCCGTATTTCAATTGTAGTAAACATATTTCGGAATATTATTTTCCTTATTCGATGTTTATGCAAAATGGGCCATCAATAAATTTGAATAGTTATCTCGATGATAACAGCTGAGTTCATTATTGAAAACATGTTAAAAAACACGATAAATTGTTTGTACTATAACTTCCAATAAACAAACATTTAAACTGAGAATTAGGTCAATTTTATATCCTGGCATTAATCCCGGCTATTGCCAGGGTCTGCCTTCCTACGTAGGAGTTTAATCCTCCACTTTGCCATATCTTTGACATCCTCAGGAGTCATTCCGTTGACTCTAATGTTCATTAGTATATAAATTAATTAAATAAAAAAATAATAATATTACAATAAAAAATTATAAAGTTCGAGTTAAAGGTTAGACATTGCATCTTTTTTAAATGAATCACAATAACAGTTTTTTGATTGTAACATATATGTAAACATATATTTATATGCATATCCATTACTTGGTTAGCTACCAAAAAAATTACTTGTATTGACCCTGAGCATTTTTTTTTCGATTTTCGCTAAAAATATGCAGCGTGTTAAAATTCAAAAATGTCGACATACGACCACTATTTGTTGTCTTTTTCACTCTCTCTGTGTTCCCACAGCAGTCCTTTTCACTTTTAACATACCTTGCCTTTGGTTGCGAAATTATCGAAGGGTACGAAAAACATAAAGTTACTTTATGTTTTTTTAAACAATTATGAATATACTATTATGTATGTTATATGCATAGTCCTCATAGCATTTAGTATTTACAAATTTCACATATCTTAGGCAAGTTATAATTCATGTTTTGGTTACTTCACGATACCATTCCTCATTTCTTACGACCGAGATAATTATATTTACTATGAACTCAGGGTGCTTGAGTATAATTAATTAAAACTGATTACCCGGACACAGAGTTATCGTAGAATCACAAGAAATAGAAATTGTTCCATACATGCTTATGCCATTACTTTCAAATCTGAGGTAGAGCCTCGTCTTTGCTCCCGTGTGAACTTACAAAAGTGGGATTTTTTGTAAATACAAAGTAGAATTATTTGTAGTTTTCCATCTTATTTGTCTTCATTGTTAGATAATCTTAATTGTTAGATAATTGACAACCAATATCTTTAAGGTTATAAGGCAACGCAGCTACAAACCCTCATGTTGTAGGCGCGGGAGGCGGTAATCATTTAACATCCGCTGAACCATCCGCTCGTTTGCCGCCTTCATAAAAAAATCTAGTCCTTCCCATGTTTGGGGTCCCATACATTGCATACCGTGATTGGGAGCAACACAATGCGCTTGAAAGTCAAGTAGAACGTCTGCACGCTGCAAAAAACCATCAAAGTCAGATCCATCAAAGTAAACTCGTGACCTAAATGTGTGAGGTTGCAATCGGAAAGCCGGTTTTCGGCAGCGGTTACCTAACTAGTGTTGTTGACCTCTCCCGCATGGAGTTGTTTTGGTGACGGTTGAGTGGTGACACGTGCATCCGTACTAAAGGGCTTAGGAACTCGGCGTACTATAGCAGGACGCTTCCTTCGCCCTTTAATAAGATTAAGGACTGTTACGGCCTGCCGCGGAAACGCTGAGGTATGCGGAAAGCATAAGAAAAATACGATAATTTACACAATGAACGCCACTGAACAAAGAATTGTAATACTGATAACATACACATATGTAAGTATGTATGTATATATATATATATATATATATATATATATATATATATATACATAGTACCTAGAGACTGAGCATCTGTATCGACAAAAAATAAAAAATAAAGAAAGCAATGATCTGGAATCGAAAAAAAGGAAAAAAATATGTGACCTAACATCCTGTAGTATACATCCGTGTCTGGCCTTTGCCCAGAAGTGAGACGTATATAGGCTGTTACTTTACTTTCGTTTTTTGTTATAACGATTTACTGATATCCCGCCGCTCATTGACAATTGTAACACTCGCAGGGTTGCAGATGCGTTGCCACCGTTTAATAAAGTGGTCCCCGGCTACCTCACTCACCAGACGAAACGCAGAAGTATAACACTTCCACTTCACGCTGGTCTTCTGTGAGATCGCGGTACTTCCGCGGATGGACCTGCCTATTCGTGCAACATCGTGGCCCTACCACAGTTAAATTGTCAAATTGTTATCCTCATTGCGATGTTGACAAGCCCATGAAGGATTGTGAAATCGCTTATCCAAGTTTATTAAAGATTCGGCTACTTATTAAAATTCCAAAGGAACAATAGTTTTAATAGCAATAGTCTTTCAATAGCGTATAGTTATTGTTCGAATGAGAAATTAAATTCAGTTTTACAATTTAGTTTAAAGAAAATGTTTCAACTTAGTAACTTTAATTTTACTGGTTCAGCCAAAATAGCACGCCATAATCGCTACCGGTGATTGTTTCTGTATGACTTGAGATGATGATAGGGTTAGTTGGACGAAGTTTCTTCTTCTCTAATGCAAATAGCGCTACATGAGCGTAACAGAAAGCTTCTCTGAGATAATAAATAACTTTAATGATATGACTTAATTTTTTTATGTCAGATTTAAGACAATTTAAAACTTCAAAATAATTTTTTGATACAAGAAATAACAGGAAGCCGATTTATTTTAGATGTATTTATTGTGTTATTATAGTGTTATTATAACTTAATTTTCGCATCTAGTCTAATTAATCAAATTGTCCTTATAACTTTTTTCTCATCTGACATTATTTTTTGTAGGCAACACAATAACACGTCCTTCAGCCGTGGCATAGCCGTTTGTCATATTCTATTGAATTGACAAAAGGGGAACTTTTGGAAGGGTCTTAACTCTTCGAATAATTTGGTGGGGTTTATTAAATATATATTAAAATGGCCACCGTTGAGGTATTGCAAAAGAAAGTAAAGGAGTTAGAAGCGAAATTAGCTGCCGCACAGGGTAATGCTGTCCCAGCCAGGCAGAAAATAGAAGTTATGTCTGCCGAGGTTGTGGATTCCAATCCTTACAGGTATTAGTGAATATTTACTATAAATGTAAGTTAAAATTAGACAACATATTCTATATCTATGTACCTAATACTGTATTATAAATTTTATTGCAAAACATTAAAACTACGATATCTTTCTCCGACATGTTACCTATTTTAACATATTGTTACGTAGTACTTATTTTAAATGCAATATGAATATCCATGTAATATATTAGTATTCACAAAACGTTATTTCTCACACAAACATCCAATAATGTCAATTACAAAATGTCAACTACGTTAATAAAGAGTACAGGTATTGAAATAATTATTAATATATAGATGTGTTCTTTATTTTACAGTAAGTGATGACATAAAAATTTTGAGTCAACAGATGTTTTGGAATTGAACAGTGTACTTTGCATACAGCCATTTTTTTGTCTTAAAAATTTAATGATATAGAATTTAATAATAATATTTGGGACACATTTTTACACAATATTTTCTAGTCCCAAACTAAGTTATGCTTGTACTGTGCGTACTGGATAAGTTATAAATATACTTAAACATACTTTTCTTTTGTAAATAAATACATGTTATGTATAAATATCAAGATATGGGAAAAACACTATGTTCATCACACAATATTTTTCCAGTAGTGGGAATCGAACACACACCCTCTGGCACAGAAGGGAGGGTCACTACCCATTAGGTAAATAGGGATGTTATACTGTGATATATATTGTCAGAGTATCATTATTAACTACTAAGTTTAAAGAAGAAAGTATGAATTTTAGTTGTTTATTTATTTTACTATTGATATATAAATTCTTTTAATTATGAATATTTTGATTGATACAATATTTTTTTATTTACAGCCGCCTGATGGCATTGAAGCGCATGGGTATTGTGGATAACTATGAGAAGATACGAGAGTTGTCAGTTGCTGTGGTCGGTGTTGGTGGAGTTGGCAGTGTTACTGCGGAGATGTTGACTCGTTGTGGTATTGGCAAGGTGAGAGAATAAAATATATTAATCATAAAAAAATCTACAAATGGTTTATAGTAGATTTACATTATTTTTTTTCCTTGCTTAATCAAACAAGAAAACAAAGATCAAAAACTTCTAATAACCTTTCTAATTCCCTATACTGTATAGTTGACATATTTTATTTATTATATAAATAACAATAACATAATATTTTTAGCTTTCTGCATTTTGGGCATAGACAGAACATTACACATATTAACTATAAACAATTTAAATTTCTAAAAAAGCAATGGCGACATCTCTCATTCGAATTATCGTTGTGAAACTATATTCGTAATTGTTTGTATGCTGGAAAGGATATAACAATAGATGGCGCCAAGCATTGCTTCAAATGCTAAGAAAACAATGTAGAAGAATATGTTAAGATCATCAGTGTGGCAATCAGCCGTTAAGCTCAGTGGCTAGAATGGCCGCGAATGCCGAAGACGTGGGTTCGATTCCCACAGCGGCGACAATCTTTTCGCACTTTTTCTACATATTTTAAATTATTAGTTTTTATTTTCAGTTGATTCTGTTTGACTATGACAAAGTGGAACTGGCAAACATGAACCGCCTATTTTTTCAACCACACCAAGCGGGTCTTAGTAAGGTAGACGCTGCAGCTGCTACTCTGCAAGCTATCAACCCTGATGTGGCAATTGATGCGCACAACTATAATATTACCACAGTAGACAACTTTCAGAAGTTTTGTGATACAATAAGGTAAATATAGCTGTGTGTTTTTGTTTATTATGCTGAGATCTTGTATCAGTTATAAGATCTTGTTACTTAAATATGGAGTATGTTCATTGGCAATTATAACTCAAATGCAAGCTCCCAGATTCGCAGCCTACAAGCGATATGCTTGTGTGCCTGGTCGTTTTTTAATCAGTATGTTGTGTTGGCATTGTTATTCATTAACAAGTGTATGTATAGGCGCTCATAATCACTGTGTGAAAACTTTATTTTGTAAAGTGTAAACAATGATTTCAAGAATGGATTGCTTTTATTAATATTGTTAACACTGTTTACACATGTTAATAAAGATGAAGAAATCTCGTAAACAAATTGTCAATCTCGTAAACAAAACTCATGAATAATTATTCATATTATGATTCATTCATAAGCAATAGTGCAACGCCGATTTATCTCGGGATTAAATCGCAACTTCAACCTTATTCCTTCCTCTGGGGAGGTCCCCATATCAATTACCATCCAAGCCGAGGTTCGAACCTCCATCTGATTGGTCCTTGGATTGTGTCGCCCCCGTTTTAGTCGACTTTCCATCATTCGTTAGCAGGATGTTGCGGAACGCAGCGGAACTCGTGCACTAGCTATGTTGTTCGCCCGAGTCCGTGGGTCGTTTGCCCGCAGGTCTCTTCCGCAAAATACAGTGTCCCAAATAAAATTGCAAATAATTTGTATTAAAATGCAGAATAAATAATTGTCATTTATGAAAATAAATGTTGGACAATGAAAACCACACCAACAATTCTGATCATATTGGTTAATTATTTAATGCAGCAAAATAATAATGACCGACATCAGCAAAAATTATTTAACATATTTTATTACATGTTTCAGCACTGGCAGTCTGACAGGTGAACCCGTAGACCTTGTCTTGAGCTGTGTGGACAATTTCGAGGCTCGCATGGCAATCAACGCGGCATGCAATGAACTCGGTCAGCGGTGGTTCGAATCAGGTGTCAGTGAGAATGCGGTCTCTGGTCACATACAGTTTCTAATACCGGGCGAGACTGCCTGCTTTGCTGTAAGTTTTTCGATGGAATTTATATACACATAGAATATGTTTCGTAATTTTTGATAAGTACGGAATATTGGTGATTTAGGAAAATTGTGTTGTTAGCTGCAACGAAAAAATTATTAATCGTTATATTTTTATCACAAGTTAACTTGTATCGCAGATATTCGGTAGTTATATGAAAAATGAAAAATATGTTCGTAAACCAGTTTGGAAATATGAATTGGAAGTAATAATGAGATGTTTGTATCTAGTCAAATAGTAGTAATTAGCGCCACCTAGCTGCCCGTATCGGAGTTTTAAGCTTTGTGCTTTCCGACTGTTTGAACATGCTATCGACAGGTGGCGTTGGAGATTTTCTAAATCGCGCTATCGAGATTTTCGGCCAGCGAATGACTAGGGCGCAGCGGCGTTGTGAAATCATACTTACCTGGCGTAGGGGATACCGTGATCAAGAAGGCGGTTCCCCCAGGGCGAGGCCCCTCCATTGCACTGCGGTCGGGTTGACCCCTGCGATTATCCCTAATGTGGATAACTCGGACGCGTAATTTTTGCTAGTGGGGACTGCGTACGCGCCGTCCCCCCCCATATAATTAATTATAGCTTAGCTAGATTATAATTAGCGCGCTTTGGAGTGTGATATCATTGTACTTTGTTAACTTTAATTATCTACACATATGCATAGTCGGGGTCACATAGGTTTTATTTAATCAAAACTTGAATTTTGAATACCAGCCACCTGAACTTGTTACTTACACATTTGTTCCCTTTTGAATAGTGTTTGATGTCACGTTCTATTGTTTTGAAGTGCGCTCCCCCGCTGGTCGTGGCGTCGAACATCGACGAGAAGAGCCTGAAGAGGGACGGCGTCTGCGCCGCCAGCCTGCCCACCACCATGGGCTGCCGCATCGGGGCCGTCTTCGCTGTTCCTGGGCAGGTCCGTCCGCGGACGGCTTGGTATGCGGCCCCCCAACCTGACACATGACCCAGTCTTCGCTACTATAAAGTTAAATTTGTAAGGAATGTTTAAGAAATATAAGAGAAGACCTTTTAAAATATGTTAAAGCCGTGATGGCTCAGTTGTTGCTCGCTTTTAATTTGATATACTCGAGCAACTCGAGTTCAAATTCTGATTCCGGCACGAATGAAATTGTTAATTTTAAGTGCTGACTTATCACGTGCTCATGAAAAATCGTGAGGAAACCTTCATATTTTGGAAATGATAACAATAAATATTTTGATGATATGTGATTGTTCAGTCCGTCAATCCGCAGTGGGGCCGCGTGGTGATGGTATTTACTCCGAAACTGGGTATTAATACCATATGGATGGTCTTTGCCTGTTTAGGGATACGTTTGTACGAAAATTAAATGTTAACTTTGAGGGCTGATTTTAATGTTTTATCTATCTGTAGATTTCATTACTGGAGATAGAATTTTGACGTAAGTATTATGGAACTAATGTGAAATACCTACGCTAGTAACCAAACCTACAGATATTTAGAATATTGAAATCGGCCGTAAGTCATTGAAAGTAGTAGACTATGCCCCAATACCGTGTCCTTTTTTGTCCAGCTGTGGGCTTGTTAGATATTACTTACGGTTTTCGTTGTCACGTTTTATCTATGCCAGTTATTATAGCACGTGCATTTTAACGATCAAATCTCACTATTTTCAGTTCAGAACGCCCTCAAGCACCTGCTAGGCTTCGGGACTGTCAGCCATTACCTGGGCTACAGCGCGCTGACTGATTTCTTCCCCACGATGAGCCTTAAGGTATGTTAGGCAAGATCGTTTCATTCATTTGGTATTGGCGATATTGTGATGATAAAGATGTGTCAAAAATGTGAATAGACGGGTTTTCATAGGCAAAAAACCGGCCAAGTGCGAGTTGGACTCGCGCACGGAGGGTTCCGTCTATATAAACGGTAAAATTTTATGGGAGCTCAGGTCTTAAGGGACGTCGATAGTGGTGACTCGCGACCGAGGAGTGGGAAATGACGCTTAGGGGCGTAGGTGGTTTTTATGTGAAGGTGCTAAGTGAGCTGGCGGTTCACCTGATGTTAAGTGAATACCGCCGCCCACAACCTGCGTCGACAACCTGCTGAAAATTTTTCTCCGACTACCTTACTCACCAGACGAAACGTAAAAGTATTTGTCATACTTCCACTTCACGCTGGTCTTCTGTGGTACTTTCCAGCGCACCTGCCCATTCTTGCAACAGCAGAGCCTGTTGCGTGACTCCACCACTGTAATGCATATGCTAGCAGTGGTGTTTGAGAAATTTCGATGGTGGCGATAGATGGTGGAACGCTGGTCCGTGTGCAGCCGAATCCGTCGTTCGTAGAGGCGTGGTGATTTTAATGGAACCATACGTCGGTTCGGCCTTGTCACGCAATGGCAGGGGCCGGTGGTTTTTCCTAGCGACTTTAAGGCCTCGAGATACGTGGACGGTGGTTAGGTTTTAACGCTGGGGGCCGTGGATGAGGCGATCGATGGTGGTGGTCGATGGTGAACGGTGGACCGTTCGCAGTCGATTGTCGACTCAAAGTTTGGACCGTCCGAGCGGTCTTAAAGCCTCGAGATGCGTCGACGGTAGTGAGTGGCGACCGAGGAGCTGTCCAAGTGGGTCGATGGTGACGGCCCTTGTGCAGCCGAAGCCCTCGGCCTCTTAGATAGGCACACTTGGACACATTGGTGCGGTGCGAGTGGGTGGATGGTGGCGATGGTGGTGGCGGTGGCGCTCTGTGCAGCCCAACGCCTCGTGCGCGGAGGCGTGGTGCCGCCGGAGGCAGGCGGAGGCGCGCTCTCGGCCGCCGCCCGTCGAGCAGGCCACCGAGGTGCGCGAGGACGAGCCGCCCCTCCACGCGGACAACCACTGGGGTGCGTACGCACACGGCCGAACACCTCATGACATACACACACGCGGGCACGGACGAACATGTGACAACACACACACACACACACACACACACGTACGCACGAACGTGTGGCGATACACACACGCGCACAGAGGCGAACATGTGATAACGCACACACACGGCCGAACACGTGATGACACACACAGACACGCAGGCACGGACGAACTTGTGACGACACACACACGCACACGGACGAACATGTGACAATACACACACACGCTCACGGACGAACACGTGATGGACACACTCGCACGCGCACGAATGAACATGCGACAATACACATACACGCGCACAGATGCCGACACAACTATCCATACGCTCACGCATTGGGTCGAATTATTCGGTTTCAATCCTTGTATGCCCCTTTTGTTTTTTCCGCATAAATTTTTATGCTTTCTGTTAAATTTTAGCCATTTGTCCTTTTTCTAATGCCGTTGGTCAACCAACCGAAACATTCTACGTTTACCTTTCCTTTATTCTTGGTACGATTAATTTGTAATCTTTACTCCAAGACCACTCTGCTGCCTAAATAAACTTTCGCTTCCGGACAGTACAGTTCGAAAGCCATTCTCTCTGATAAATGTCTTGTGTCTTCTCTGATAAATTTTGACTATACTATGGATTACAGACTAAAGTACTAAAACGTAAATAGGACTTTTTAGCATTCCTTCTCTATGCAAACTTGGCAACATGTATTACATAATTCTGTCTAAAACTATTATTTTAATTCTGCTAACATCCATTCGTCTACTTTTCGATGATGCTCACGCGCATTTAAGCATTCAAATTAGAAAGTCATTCGCTGACCGTGCAATGACGGTTTGTTCCAATCAAATTGATACCGCCATCATGCACACAGTCCTCAGCTTTCCCATTTCCCATCGTCAGGTTGTGGCGACTAACATTCACCATCATCATTTTGCCACTCAACCAACACTATTCTCGATTATTCCAATATTCGTCTAGAAATCTTGGAAATTCCAAAAACATTTCATGCTTTAATAAAAATTGGCACATTTTCTGTTATTCTTGTGCTTTCTTATATCTTTTTATTATTTTAAAATCATTGGAACAAGTGCTTTTCTTTGCATCCGACGGCACCAGAAACGTATTTTTGGCGATTGGAGATGATTTATTTATGTACTTCATATATGGCAACAATTTCCCAACAACTAGTCCATCATAGACAACACAGTTCCCTGCTGCGAATTTGACTCGCACAAATTGTATGTTTAGAGGACATTAATTTGTGTAAACTGCGGTTGGGCCACGCAACAGTGTTCGCTGTTGCACGAATGGGTAGGTCCGGGGAAGTACCGCGACCTCACAGAAGAACAGCGTGAAGTGGAAGTGTTCTTCTGCGTTTGGTCTGGTGAGTGAGGTAGCCGGGGCCCTTTATTAAAAGGTGGCAACGCATCTACAACCCTATGGGTGTTGCAAATGTCCATGCGCAGCGGTTATCACTTAACATCAGGTGAACCGCCAGCCCGTTTGCCACCTTCTTAAATGAAATAAAAAAAATTGTAGTTGGTTAATTGGTTTGTGTTAGATAGAAGTGTTTAAAACGTAAATAGCTCTTAAATGATAAGAAAAGAAATAAAATGTTGCAATAAAATACACTAAAAAACCTGAGATCTGAAGCACCGGAAATTTCAAGGAATTTCTGTAATGTTTTATCATTATTACAATTTTATGAAGACTTAAAAGAAAGGTATTTCTATTTGAAGTATCCCTTACCGAGTTGAGGTAATTTATTAATGCTGTTTTTTATATTTCCAGGCATCTGCCTCATCGATGAGAACGCCCCAGAGGAAGAAGAGGCCTGCAACTTGAAGTTGGCCGAAGGAGTTCAGGCTAGTGGTCTACTTCTAATCATAGTCATTTCCGATTTCTCACTATTTCCATTTCTACTGTCGTCTTTGAATTTCAATTTAGTCTTAAGAGTCTGGCTGCAAAGCTCCTCACATCGCCTTCAAGTCTTTTAATGTTAATATGTATTTATATTTATATAACAATCCCCGGTGGCGACACCAGAGAAATTAATGAAAAATTTGCGAAATAGTGGCAAAAGAAATATTTCGCGGATTTGTCCACCAATCCACAGTGAGGCCACGCGGACTATACCCTAATACCTTCTGTACAGAGCTCGCCTTTGCTCAGTGGGACATTTATTACTTGCAGCTGATACTTATTTAACACTGTGTGGGGTTATTCTTACTATAGCTGAGTTAAGTGATGTATTAACGATAATTACATTTCTTTTGGTAGCCGTGGTGCTAGATTTCCACCACTGTATGTTTTTCGTCTCTAATCTCGAGTATTTAGTAAACGGATGTAGTGATTTGGATCCAGTTTTTTTATGTATGTTATATTGTATAGATGTACTCAGGATGCGGCCAACAGAGTTTATTTTAACACATATGCTTTATCTCTAAAAAAATTGTCATTACTTTATCACGAATCATCAATTACAACGGTTAACTCTTATAATTGCTATCGGTTGGTAGACTGCCGACACTCGTTACATAGTAACGAGTGTTTCTCGTATCATATAGAAAATTCCAGTTTCTTCCATTCTGACTCGCAAACAAAAATAGGCTATATTTTTTTTATGTGAAAAGTTGTCAAACGAGCAGACGGTTCACCTGATGTTAAGTGAATACCGCCACCCATGTACACCTGACGCCCGAGGGTTCCAGATGCGTTGACAACCTTTTAAAATTGGACTCCGGCCACCTCACTCACCAGACGAAACGCGAAAGTATTATACTTCCACTTTGCGCCGGTCTTCTGTGAGGCCGTGGTACTTACCCGGACGAGCCTGCCCATTCGTGCAACAGCCGAGGCTGCTTCCCTACCACCGTAAAGTAGGCTATATTGTAGTACAGTGTCTTGTCATCTCCTTCTGTGACGACCTCCCCTCAGGTGGCGTACGGCGCGGCGCCGGACAGCGGCTCGCCGGAGTCGAGCACGGAGGGCGCCGTGGCCGCCTCGGACCTCTCGCTGGAGGACCTCATGAGGCAGATGAAGAACATCTAGGACCTGCCCCGCTCCGGACGACCCTCTACGGCAGCTCCGACCGTAAGGGCTTCCCTGGACTCCATCGGACCTCTACAACTGAGATAGGCCTACGACAGCTCTTAGAACCGTGAAAAGGTCCACCTGGACTCCATCGGACCTCTCTATAACAGAGAACAGACCTGCGGCAGCTCCAACAACCGTCAATAGGTCCACCTGGACTCAATCGGACCCCACTACATCGGAGAATAGGTCTACAACAGCTCCAACAATCGTCAAAAGGTCCACCTGGACTCAATGGACTCAATCGGACCCCACTACATCAGAGAATAGGTCTACAACAGCTCCAACAATCGTCAAAAGGTCCACTTAGACTCCAGCGGATCCCACAACTTCTGCGGCCTGTAACGACTCCAATTGACCTTGAAATGGTTTCTTTCAAAAATGTTGTGCTATTTTCTGTTCACGTATTCGGCTTTTGTTGTGAATCTTAGATAAGATAATTGTTAGTTGTAAGTAAAGCTGGAATATAAATAATATTTTTTGTATCAGATCGAAAATAAGTATCCGAAAAATTGCGTTAAAATTCGTTTTTCATCCGATGTAAACTTTGCAACTGCAAAGCTTGTCTACGATATTTTTAAAATTTTAATATTATATATTTTTTAAATTCAAAGGAACGAGTAGTAGTAATATCGTTAAACAAATGTGTTCTATATTAAAAATTTATAATATTATTTCGTCTAGTGAATGAAATAGCCGGGGACTAATTTTAAAAGGTCGAACGCAAGCACTTTATTGTAAATGTCCATGGTCGGCGGTAATCTTTTAACATGAGATAAAACTCAAACGAAAAAGTAAGGAATAGACGATGCATAACATATCTATTTATTGATATATTATCTAGTTTTGTAATTTGTGCTAATATTGCTATAGATAGACAAATATAATATGTTTAAGCTGTAAAATGCTTTTCAAAATTGGAACACTCAAGTATTTGGCGCTGCCGTCGCTCTCTCTATATGAACTTTAATTGTGTATGTTTTTGCATCTATATCAGTGTATAATCGAGTTTCATTATGAATTTAATGATTAATCTAAACTAGTTAAATAAGTAAAAGTTTTGTATGTAAATGAAACTGAGCCATTCCATTGTGCTTTCGCTATAATTAAGACGTTACAAATTTTTATTGCGATTATATTGTGAATCGTTTTATTATGTTACATTTTTAAAAGTTTATACAAGTATAAAATTATTTTTAAACGCTAAGGCAAGAGAGTTGAATAAAATTAAATGTCTTCAGCAAGGAGGTCGTTTTTAATTTTTTCCGTGGCGGCTCTTATCTTCGCTAGCAGTTTCTGGTTGGGCGGCGGTAAGGAATTGTTCTGGAAAGGAGTTAATAAAGAAATTGAAAAAACATTACATAGAGGTGTTTAATTGCACACAAGGTGAAATTTAAATGCGAGTTTTATAGATAAATAGTCAAAAAATTAGTGCCTGCTGGATTAGTCTCCTAGACGGTTTAGCCAACTTACCTAAGCAGTATAAAATCTCGATAACTGTTTAAGGGTAAGAGTACTAGAAGTCTAAAAGACTTCTAGTACTCTTATCCTTACATTTAAATTCCAAAATAGGTCAATACACGGTCTAGGCTTTTTTTTGAGTTAGAAGGAGAGTACAAATAAACGTAGATTGTGACGAGTTCCATTACGGCCGTACAGAAAGATGCTTATAGCTTGAGTGAGACAATATAGAAATATTATAAATACTTATTGATTGTCATCTGAGAAGAACCGGCGAAAGAAACTCGGCGAGAATTTTTTTTGAACCATTATTTGAAGAAAAAAAAATGTAGCTATCAGCCGTTTAGCTTAGTGACTAAAACGTCAGGTCGTGAATGCCGATACGTGGGTTCGATTCCCACAGCGGCGACAATCGTAAATTCTACAAATTTTAATGTTTTTCTACGAATAAAAAAAAAACATGTTTACAAATCTATTGCAGTCTACTTGATAGAGCCGGGAGCGATCAATTTATTTCCATGATGTGTTATCATTTAAATAATCACTAATGTTATAATATCCCGTAACACAAAAGTTCCTTTACATTTTTTTTTAATTTAGAAATCGATTAATCGTGAACGTTTTCAGGGATTTTGTTGTAAAAACTTATACATTGTCTCATAAAATAATTACTTATTCTATGCAGTCTAGTTGCGAGTAGAATTAAATTATGTTTGCTCCTAGTGTTCATATCATAATGGATCTTGCCGAGTTGATTTCTCTGCATGGTCCATAATTTACAAATCAAATCAAATCATTTATTAATAGAAATAAGAAATGTACTGTTCGTCTATCGAGTCATTTTTTAGATTTAGAGATAGTCATCATGCAGAGAGATTCAGCCTATTGCTATTGTTGGCGAGAGCGCGCGGTACGTAGACCTCTGCGGTTACTTGGGGAGGGGCGGTGGTGGTGGTGGTGGTGGTGACCTGCAGGCTGGTGGCGACCGCTGCGGCGCGCGGCAGCAGCGGGCCCAGGCCGGCGCCCTTGGCGGCGTCCAGCGCCAGGCTGGCGCCGGCCTGGCCCCTGCGCACCCGGTACAGCAGCACTGGCGAACCATCGCGCACCACGTACTCCATCGTCTGGCGGCGCAGGGCTCTTTCACGGCCAGGTGTCATGTGTGTTTTAGGGTTCCGTGCCCAATTTTCAAGAGGTTGTCAACGCATCTGGAACCCTCGGGTGTCGCAGATGTCCATGGGCGGCGGTATTCACTTAACATCAGGTGAACCGTCAGCTCGTTTGGCAACTGTTCACATAAAAAAATGACCTGTCCGAATGTTATGAGCCGACCACTGTAGACAGTTGAAATTTTCGCAGATTATGTATTTCTGATGCCGCTATAAAAATTAATACTAAAAACAGAATGAAAAATATTTAAGTGTGGCTCCCATACAACAGATTTGACAATTTTAGCAAACAATATTGTTCTCGTATCTCATAAGCCGTAATATCTCATTGTTCAGGTGGTCGCTTTTAATTCAAAGTACTCGAGTAATCTGAGCTCGATCTCTGGTTCCGGCTGTTAAATTTAAGCGCTGATTTACGGTGGCAAACGAGTTGGCGGTTAATTTGATGTAAAGTGATAATCGCCGTCCAAGGACATATGCAAGACTCGTAGGGTTTCGGATTTTTCTGAGTTTTAATAAAGTGGGCCAGGGCTACCTCACTCATCAGACGACACACAAAAGTATGACAACTCTACATGTCGATCTTATGTGACGTCGTGGTGCCATTCGTGCAAAAGCGGGGACTTGCATAGCTCTGCCACATTTCACAGTTCATACGCGCGTTTTCCATTTTCCATTATCCTTCATAGGGAGATATAACTATATCTCTCAGCGAACATAGCCGCATCTCTGGCTCCTCGGCCACTCTGAAAACCGGAGAGAGGGCTCGACGTGTGGTGCTCACGAGGTGGTGTATGGGGAGCGCGTGGGCGCGCGGCAGCAGCGGCGCCAGGCGGCGGTGCGTGGCGAGCAGCGTGAGGGGCGCGCGGGGCGGGGGGCGGAGCAAGAGCGCCCACAGCCACGCGGCCAGCAGCGCGCGCGCCCCCGCCGCCCCGCTCCCGGCGCCCCCCTCGTCCACCAGCGCCAGCCCCCGCCCGCCCCCGTCGCCCCCCGCGCACCCCGTCGCGCGCCACCAGGGACATCTGCGCGGCGCGACTAAACTGGTCGGATTCGAAAAGCGGGAGGGGGCGAAAGACGACCGTATGCGAAAGCGTTTTAGGTCGAATTTAGATTGTTCATAAGTCGCTTCGCCGCCACTCCGTCCGCGCCGACCTTGCACGGTGGACGATTCCGCCACGGACATCCACAGAATACGCATTACCTTTAAGAGATCGCGCCCGGCCTCACTACCCGGACGAAACGATGAAATATATACACACAGATGTTCTGTACGATCGTAGCACTTCTCCGGGCGAGCCTGTCCTTTATATAACAAAATATATTACTTCACGTCATTAGATGACAATTTCGTAAATATTGCTGTTCTCGCTTGATTTAATTCTGGCATATCCGTATAACTGAAAAGCGAATAACCAACAACCACCCTTGCCATAAAAAGGGGAACATTAACGAGCCACGCATGACAATCATACTTTAGGCTTGAATGTGACAACGTGATAATGAAGTAGAAATAAAGTGTAATTTCGTATCAAATTTTAAACAGAGTTATGGTATGACAGGAAGAGTTGTGGACTGTCCACGGACCACAGCCAGTAGTGTACATAGTACAGCTGTGACAGACATCAACCTGCATTGATTACCCTCATAATTTAAATGAAAAATATACAATATAATGTCCATTTCTTGACTTTCATTCTGATGGTATAACGTCGTAACCGAAAGTTAAATGTTATACAAGCCAATGAAGAAGATTCGATCATTTAAAGGTCATATAAAACGAACAACCTGAGTTTATTGCACCAATTTTTTAGTGCTGTGCGGTGAAGAAAAACAGTTAATAATTTTCGACATAATAATAAAAGTGTCCGCCAAATTTTTGATACCCCTTCTAGGCTGATACTTTACTTTACTTTTTAATAAAAGTGAATTTTTGATCCTTTTAGCGGGATAAAGGAAAAGTAAGAAAGAAGTAGGAGTACAAAGGAATTTACTTGTCTCAGATCGATTAGGAACGCTGACATGTGAGACGCGACGCACTCGGTGGAATGGATCCTGGAGAAGATGTGGGTGACGATCCCGATCTTCGCCGACTCGGCCGGCACGAAGCACCCGATGTGCGCCATGTACACTATCAGCCCTGTACACGGGGTACAGAGCCATTTAGAGGGAGCGACCACGGCAGAATGAGTGAAGGTGGCAATCGAGCCAGTGCTTCACCTGATGTTATGATAACCGCCGCCCATGGACATTGGCAACAACAGTAGGGTGGCAGATGCGATGCCGCCTTTTAGTAAAATGCGTCCAGGGTAACTCACTCACTAGACGAAACGTGTAAGTAACACTTTCACTTCACGCAGGTCCTCTGTGAGGGCGTGGTTCTTACCCGGACGCAGCTGCACATTCCTGCAAACTGTTGGGTGAGCCTACCACAGTTTATATTTGCATAAACACGTAAAACGCTTGAGGAAAGTAAATCAAAGTACGCAAACGGAATCGCAGTAATTCATTGTCCCGCCTGAATTTAAATGATTTTAAATACTTGAGAGGCCCCATTTCAAATCCCGGTGCCGGCACCAATGAAATTGTTAATAGCAATTTTAATCGATTATTTATAAATGCTTGGAAGGATATTTGCAAAATGGTTTCGTACACATGTAAAGTCTGCCAATCCGCGGTGTCCTCGCGTGGACATAGAGTTTTAACGTAAGTATAATGGAACTAATGTCAAATACCTTTCGCTAGTAACCAAATATATCTGTAGATAGAATATTGAAATCGACCGTAAGTAGAATAAGAGTCTTACAAGATACGTGTAGAAAACAAGATAAACCAACAAATGTTCTAAAACTTAGCACATATTTAAAGAATTCCGATAGTAATTTTCAACATTTACTAAAACGGTTTCTAAGCTGATATTCCCAGTACACGTTGCAAAATAGTAATTGATAGGACAAAGTTTCACAAGACAAGACGCATCCACTTTATGTAGAAATTTTGATGTTTCATTTTAAGTGTAGAGTGCATATAGTTAATCAGATTTACGGGGTGAGTGATTAGTTTTAAAAATGGTTAGCGGCGTGAGTTCGCGAGTTACCGATCTGCTTCAGGTAGACAGATTTGCCGCTGGCGTTGGGACCGGTGAGGACGCCGATGAATCCAGTTTCCTTAGTTATTTCCACATCGTTGGGGACAAAATGGTCGCAAGCAGCCGCGTAAAGAGGGTGCCAGCCCTCTTTCACTTCTATGCCCTTTTCGGTACTAAGAGTTGGCCGCACTAGGTTCAGCTCCTTGCTCGCTTTGGCCATTACTATTAAGCTGTATTTTTTTAAACATCGCCCTTACTTATTATATATAATAAAACATTATCCTGTGTAAGGACGTTTTATACACTGAAATTTTACGTGGACAGATATCCAGATGCGTAACTACCTGTGGGTCACACAAATAGTTGTCCCGTGTGGTGATTTAGAAGAACCCTTGCATGAATGGGTCAACTAATCCGGAGAATTACGATGGCACAGAAGACCACTGTAAAGCAGAAGTATCTATACTTTTGTGTTTCGTCTGGCGAGACCCTTAATAAAAGTGGGTAATGCAATTAGTATGAAACCAGCACGACTAGGGCATGCCGTAGTCGTGCTGGTTTGCTATCTATTCTCATTACAAAAGATTACGATCCTAAAAATATTCGGAGACTTCTAAGGCCTTTAAGTGCTGACTTATCACGTGCTCTGCGGTGAAGGAAAAATCGAGAGGAAACGTGCATATTTTCGAAATAAAAACAAAAATCAAACAATTCGAAGATATGTGAAGTCCGCCAATCCGCAGTGGGGCCGCGTGGTGGACTATGCCCTGATAACCTCTGTACAGAGCAGGCCTTTGCCCAGCAGAGGGACGTGTATAGGCTGTTACTTTACTTTACTTTTTAGACAGAAAGTGTTACCAGTCGAGCTCCGCGCACATGTCGAGGAGCGGGCCCAGAGGGCGCAGTCTTCGCGGCAAAGTGTCCGCTAGCTGCAGCATCAGACGCGTCTCGTGCGCCACTATTTCGGGGTAAGCGTCCCCGATCATCACGTCCAGCTCTTCCGCATTTAATTTACCATGAGAGGTTTTGCCGTCCCGCCTCATGGTGGTAGGGCAACAGATGCGGCTGTTGCACGAATGGGCAGGCTCTGCCGTAGTACCACGGCCTTGTAGAAGACCAGCGTGTAGTGGAAGTAAGATACTTTCGCGTGTCGTCTGGCGCGTGAGGTACAGAGCCCATATTTTAATGATTGGCAACGCATCTGCAATCCGTCAGGCGTCGTAGAGTTGCAGATGCATTGCTACATTTTAATAAACTGGGGCCTGTTTACCTGACTCACCAGATGAAACGTAGAAGTTCTACTTCAACTTCACGGTGGTACTTCACCCGGATGAACCTAGAAGTTTTTCTTCGTGCAACAAAGAAGAGTGTTGCGTGGCCGTACCTCAGTGCAGTATCGAAAATAAAAAGCCCGAGTTCAACATGAGATATCGCTCGTATAGATAGATAGATATCGAATGAAGAGTAGGGGCGAGAGTCATGAGCCTTGAGGAAGACAGTTTTGAAGTTTATGAAAAAATCTCTAATCCTAAAAAATTGTTCATGTAAATGAGTCTATGTTTGGTTTTCTATTTGTATAAAAATGTTTCTTTTCTGACGCTTAACCGCTCCTAAACATTCTGTATGATTGCGAATCAGATTACGAATGAAAAACTAGCAATTAGATGCATTAATGAAAAACTATGGAACCAAACTTAATACGCACCTTCGCAACCCTTGGTCTTGTAATGGCTATATTCATTGTTTTGAAACTGAAAAAAATAAATTACACAGAAAAAAAAAACTTGAAAGTCACCAATAAACAATACATTAACTTATGGCAATTTATAAACTTTATCATGATCACTACGTAATTGACGTTATGTAACGTTATATTTTATCTACACAATAAAATCTGTGACTTCTATACTTTATCTATAATATTATTACTATACTTTATCTATTACATATATTGGAACATATATCGATTTTTTTTTACTTTTTTTGTGTTCCGTACCCAAAGGGTAAAGCGGGACCCTATTACTAAAACTTCGCTGTCTGTCTGTGTGTCTGTTTGTCTGTCACTAGGCCGTATCTCATGAACCATGATAGATAGTTAGATCGTTGAAATTTTCACAGATGATGTATTTCTGTTGCCGCTGTAACGACAAAAACTAAAACACAGAATAAAAAAATATTTGAGTAGAGGGTGACATACAACCGACGCGATTTTGTTACCATTCAATAGACAATGGTACGGGACCCTTTGAGTCCGACTTGCATTTTACCGATTTTTAATTGGTTTGCATGCCCAATGTGTGGCGAACCTTGAGGAAGTAAACAGATAGAGCGCACGCACCATGAACCTGAGCCCGGGCAGCCGCTCGTGGCGCTGGGCCTTGAGGGCCAGCAGGTACCCCAGATGCGGCATGTAGAGCAACGAGCACTCTGCAACCGAGTCCGGCAGCCGTGCCAACTCCGCCCGCGCCGCCTCTGACATCAGCCCGTGCAGGCCCGCCATCTTCCGCTTCTCTTTCATCACATTGCCTTCCATCGGACTCATTGCGAATAGCCATGCTAAGTTTTGCTCGTATTTTGTTATCATATAATTCTTTTTCTTAACACTAGACGGGATCGGCACAACATGACCTTTCATTCCACTTTCCTCACTCAGCCGTCATCTCAATACTAACCCCTTTAGCAGACATATCATTCTTCACACTGTCCAACCAGATCTTTCCCGGTCGTTCTTTAGCTCTCCTCTCCAACTACATTCATATTCATCACTCTTCTTGTCATATGATTGTCATAATGTGCCCATGCAATATCAAACTACCGCTCCTTATTTTGACAGTTACTGGTGACATTTTGAAGCTTTCCCTCATATACTCATTCCGTATTTTACCCTTACTGCTTACAATCTTGTTATCATATAATTATCTCTTCAGATTCATTGCGACTAGCCAGTCGTGCCAATGGCCTGACCTTTGATAATTTTTCTCGTTCGTCATTACCATATAATTGATATATGTAATGTGTTGTATATAATGCTACTTGAGTGTTTCGACAAGAAAGCTTTTCAAATATCTATGTCATTTCTTATATTTACGCGATTACACATTACCTACTATATGGAAATATGTTTACGGATTAAAAATAAACGCGATAAATCAGTAAACATAGTTTCATTTAGTAATCTATATTGGTGTTATACCAATAATTGCATAGCAAACAGCTTCGAGCTCCTAGCGCGCTATATACATTTTATCAGAAGAAGATGAAGAAATGATTGGTGAAGTTGAAAACGATATGATATCAAAAAAAAAGGTAAGTAATTCATGTTTTCAATATATACTCGTAGGCGATATTGCAATTGAAGTGATACGTGCATAAAAATGAATAAAATAATAGCTCCAAAATCAGCCATGAATATCATCTTAATGTTGAGAATGACATAATGTTGAATGGATGTTGGTACTCACTCAAATCTAGTTCTGGATCAACGCCCGCTCTTACTGTGAACTTTCCCTCTGTTTTTGAGAGATCGAAGTCGATTATTCTGTTCATACACAGCGCCATCTGTTTTATAAAAAGATTACGGCTAAATTATAATATGTTTTTATATAGAAATGTCGAACAGGTATCTATTTCTCTTTCATTTTTCATCCTGCACAATTTCAAAATGGACTGTTCTTTAGTTTTGGTGTTAGCTAAACTACCACATATTGGTTACCTTCTAGGATTAGTTCGTTTATTATGTTCATAATATAATCGCCATACGATGATTTCAGGGCGAATTTATTTGAAAACAATATAACACTTTAAAAATTTCAAATGAAAAGGGTATGGACACAGTTTGGTTACCCTTGGGTAATTAAAAAGAATATTATTCAGATTAATGGTTCGGACTAGGCGCCTCGAGCGCCCTGCCCCACCTTCAATTCCGGCGGAACTGTAAAGGTCCCTAAGGCCAACAGGGGCTATCCAGCCCAAAAAAAAAGTCTTTCTCGTCAGCCGTTGTAGTGTGCGGAAGCTCTACCCGAATTAATAACGGTTGTGTCGACTATTTAGAATTGTAATTAAACTCTACGTGGTTTGTCTTACTGGCCTATGAATTCTTTTTTTAAAAAATCAGTCTCTATTCAAATCAATTTCTATTTCTAAGTCCTTAACTCGAAAAGGTTCGTTTGCAAGTTTTTTTGATGTTATTACGATAAACTTGAGCCGCTTCAACTAATAATTAGATATCGGAATTTTTCAAAGATTTCACGGATAATCTCTATAATTTTTAGTAAAAATAAAAGAAAAAACGACTTCAATCAGAAAATTAATTAAAGACACTCAATGATGGCCCTCGATTTCTCTGGGACGCCATCATAAGATCCGGATCTCCTTACCATGGTACCACCCTTGGGATATATGGATATATCCTTTACGACAAAAAAAAGAATCATCAAAATCGTTTCATAAACGAATTAGTTATCCGCGAACACACATAAAAAAAATAAAAATATATACGGTCGAATTGAGAAACCTCCTTTTTTGAAGTCGGTTAAATAGCCGCCTCACCTCGTAGAGGTCGGTGTTGTCGTGCGTAGCCAGTTGACGTAGCAGAGAGCATTCGCTTGCTCCCTCGCACATCTCGCTTATTAGCACCGCGTGGTACAACGTCTGGAGGGCCCACAAGGGAATATTTTTCACTAAGCCCATTTGTTTTTATTTATTTTTTATTATTTTATTTGGTACACAGCAAACAGTAAAATAGTCTTAACAATAAACTTACAAATGGCAACTTATACATACTATCCGCCAAAAAATATGCATGTAGCATGTAGTGTACGCTTTGATATCATTAAACAATATTAACATATATTTTTTTTGTGTATCTTCAGGTCGATTCAATTCTTCATATGTTTAAAAATTTTTTTTTAAGTTATTTTTGGGTTTTAAGTCGTGTGTACAGGACAACGTCTGTCCGGTCCGGTAGTATATTATATACTGGTACTTGCAATACAACCTGAACATCGATTGGTTCACATTCTCGTGAACAACATCGATTCAGATCTTTTGGACCCTTTACTACGGAGCTAATACGCTATTAAGTTAATACGTACGCTGTACAGTGCTTTCCACTGATACGGCTTAGCTGACAGCGCTTTTATCTTCGCTAGGATACCCTGCGAATTCGAATCGGGAAAATAATGAAATGAGGAACTCTCGGTAGAGAATAAAAATATTTGCAAACATACGATAAAATAATCTTACACCTAATATAAAATTCAAACATTCCAAAACTATGAAGGTTTTTTTAAATACTCAAACCTAACAGTAAATGTTTGTGTAGAATATACATGGAATCAGAACTTGTACACTGTTGCGGATTCGATTAAGTATGTTGTTTGTTTTCTATCTGTCTGTCCGTCTGTCAGCAGGCTGTATCTCAGGAACAGTGATAGTTAGACAGTACATATTTTCACACATAATGTATTTCTGTTGCGGCTTTAACAAAAAATAATAAAAAAAAACAGAATAAAAAATGCTTAAGTGTGGCTCTCATACAGCAGACATGAATTTTTTGCCGCTTTTATGGACAATGGTACGGAACCCGAGTTCGACTCGTTTCTTTTTCACTGTAGGATAAGATAAGCCTGTACGGTAAAGGCGTTTCAAAAATAAGCAACAGCCGTATCCGGAAGAAAGTACGTCGTACAAATATTTGTCCCGGGCGAGAATACAACCCGCGACGGCCCGTAACTCCACCTTTCAGCAACTGCACTGTGTTGGCCAAATTGAATGACGATCCATTCCTTACGTTGACGTTCCTAATGAAACCGAGCGAGGAGCAGATGTTCCTCATGAGGCACTCATTCTGCGGCCTGGTGAAGAACTCGACGACGTCTAATCGCCGCTCCAAGGTCGCCAGATCGCAACTGGGGTGTCTCAATAACACTCTGTCCCGAAAAATGTATTCCGATAATTGTTTAAGCTGTCCGGAATAATTATGCATACAATAACGATTGTATTTACATATTACGGATCAATAACTATTTTACGGATTTTATCAAGTTTTATTTAAAATTATAAATTCTCGACGTTTTGAAAACTTTACAAACACCCTGAGTTGTTTCTCCATGTTTGAGTTATACCACGATACCATCAATTGTTTATTGATTACCTACTAGATTTTCGTCCGCGGCTCGCGATGAAGCCATTATAAATATCTTTTTTTTTTAATAAAAACAATCCTTTGCTCTTTTAAATACTTATAAGAACATGTGTACAAAGCTTTATGATAATCGGTATGTATGCATGAGTAGTTTTGGGGTGGAAGCGTTACAAACAAACGTACATTCACATTTATAACTTTGTATAGTAGGGATATGCTGTGGCAGGGCCGCGCAACAGTCTTCGGCTGTTGCACGAATGGGCAGGTCAGTCCGGGAAGTATCACGACCCCACAGAAGACCGGTCAAGTGGAAGTTATACTTCTTCGTTTGAAATGATTGCGAAAAGAATAAATAAAATATGAGTTATCTCAATGGGCGCAGTTGTTATAGCCTGGACATTGGAGATTGGCAAACACCTGAGGCGCGAGTGGGCGAGCCCAGAGCGGCACCGGGCCAGCAGCCGACAGAGGCTGAGCCCTTCGCGGCCGGAGCGGCGCGCCCCGCGCTTGAACCCGCTAGGGTGCGCTAGCGGGCTGAACACCTGCAGACCCCTGTACGTCTCCTCGTCCATCATCACCAGGTCCGCCCTACGCAAGCCCCGTACTTTCATCCCGCGCGTTGGATCTTTTATCTTTTTTTAATTTTCCTTAATCTTTTTTGTAAATTTTAATATCTTTATTATATTTTTGGATCTTTTAATACCTCGCAATGGACAAACCCTCATCTTTTAATCCCTCGTATACCTCGGAATGGACAAGCCTAACAGAAGACCATGATGTGAAAGTATAACACTTTCGAACTTTGCCTCCCGAGTATGTATGTAACCGGGTAACCTCCCAATGTAAACGGGTTTAATTTTTCAAAAGTTGACAACACATTATCAACCCTTTAGCTGTTGTAGATGTCACTTTACACCAGGAAATCAGCTTATATCAGTGGATCACCGAATCGCCTGACACATTTTCAAATAAAAAGAAAAAACACAACGAATATTTGTACAACAGGTTTGTACAAATATTCGTTCAAACAAACAAACACCTGGCAGTTTGATTTTTATCGCGTCTTTTATAGCGTCTTAATGTTTACTTACTTACGAACGAACATTTGATGCGTTTTAAAACGACAGAAATATTTTCGAATGAATTAATTACGGGGTTTTAATATCATGATCGACTCACATTGAGATTTTCTTCAAGCCCAAGAACTGCGGTTTGCTGTGCATGTCCATGACCAGATTGCTCCAGTTGAGGTCGAGGTATCTGAGCAGGGCGCCAAGGGCGTGTATGCTCTGCAGCTGGCCGAAGTCCAGAACGGTGCGGAGGAACAACGCACGGTCGTCGTCAGAGCTGTTGGGGGGCTCATGGGGCAGGGAGAGGGTGTGCACGCGTCTCTTGCAAGCCTCGTAGCCTATCGCGGCGGAGTTGCATTCGTTCAGACTAGAGTTTCTAAGCTTATAGATTATGAGATTGCTTCAGAGAATGATAGCAAAGCTTAAATGGTCGTGTGTAGAACATGGTTGCGCAAGTTCTAAAATCTATTTTTAAAAACCAAATTCTTCCGTTATATAGGCCAATTATAATAGTTAAACAATATATAAAATTTATATTGTAAAATTTATATTATTTAACAACGGTCAGCACAAACACATTTATTAATTATTACGCAAATGCTTATTTATGATCGTATTAACAAGAATCGCTATACATTTCAATTAAAATAGAAAAAGAGTAACGTAATCGATTTTCCATAAATGAAATGTAAATTAACAATTCATATTACCTGCTTATCTGTAAAGGGGAGTAAAGCGACGAATGAAAACGTAAACCGAACAAACTTACTGTACTCCTTATAGGAAATGAAGACGAGCTTGCAATTGCCTTCCCTTTCGCCGCCCAGGATTAAGCCCTTGGCGGCGCTGACGAAGGAGCCCTGAGTCTTGCCGTCCAGGAGCAGCCTGGCGGGGCCCACTTGCCTGAACAGGCTGACGAACACTTGGTGCTCCGGCGGCCGGTCCACTATCTCATCTAGCACATGCAGCTACGGAGGTTTCCTTAAGGCTTTTAGGTTGGTTAAAGAGCAAAACTAAACTGGCAGGGCCACGCAACAGTCTGGTAATTGTGGAAACTGTCTGGTACTTATATGACCATAAACATTTTTAACGATAGTATAGACAAGTTCAAGAAAAATCTGTCCGCTTACAGTTTTTTATTTAATTAGAGTAAATTTCTTCTTTATCACTACAGTTTTTATTTGTTATTTTGTTAAAAATGCTGTTACTTTCTGTTTTGATTATATGATTGTGTAAAGTCAACTACTGTATTAATTCTTTGTTAGCATTTAACGTACTTCAATTTTTTTTTTATTATTCATTTTTTTAGCAGTTGTCAATATAATAACTTTTGAATGTCGTTTCACCTGTAATTGAGATACCATTTAGTTTAAGATACTATGTACTTATTTATGTTTTAAGCTTGTTTTGATGTGTATCTTGTTGGTGAAGTAAATAAATAAATAAATAAACAGTGTGCGGTGTTGCGCGTTTGAGCAGGGCCGCCCGGGTAAATACTTCACGGAAGACGTGTGAGGCCCCGATCGCTGGGGCCCACTTTATTAAAAGGTGGCAACGCATACGTAATCCTAATCTCATCATTTATCTAACATCGTGACCTGCCAGCTCGCGTGTCCCCTTTTTACATAAAGAAGAAAAAGAAAAAGTTTGCACATTATAACGCCTCTTTAATGTTTGATTATCTCAAACAGATGTTGTAGAACGCTTCGGGACATACAGTTTTTTAAAACTTATGAACTTATATGTATGTCTCACAGATTTGTTTTTAATTCTTTAATCTGTTAATCTGTATATTTATTTGTTAAAAATTATATTTACAATTCCAGTATAATTCTACAAACCTCTCCCGTTTGTAGCGTGTAGTACGCGGCTCCTAATTTCCCGGAACGGCAGTAAGCCACAAGAAGACGCTGTGGAAAAGTAAAAAAACGTTCCTTTTCTAAATGATGGTTAAAAAAACAAAATATAGTATAAGTTTTTAAGTATAAGTTTACGGTACAAAATTGCATTTGTTTTAACTTATTCACTTTATAAACAAGTTTATAAAACAAATTCCCTAACCGCGTCAAATGAAAAACTAGTGAACGGTTTTCGATACGTAGTCATTAATGGATGGAGTAATTAATGAGGAAGGTTTGGGTTAGATTAAGTGTATGGTTCAATAAGGTTTTAATATATAGTTTTAATATAAATATGATGATGATTCAAGATGTCGGAACGGTTTGCAAGTGAGAAATACATATATAAATGCTTTGCCTGCTGCCCATGCGTATGGTTTCCAACCATACTTTATAATAACGTATCCAATGCAATATTTTCGGAAATATGTGAAGTCTAAGTAAAATATATAAGCCCATGCGCTACATACGTAAAAATTATTTAACTTTATACTTAATTTTAGTTTGGACATTAAAGAATCATTTTTTAAAATTTTTTGTTGTTTATTTTATTCATTAGTGTCATATTCTCTAAAATATTATCTTTTAAAAAAAAACAATTTTTTGTATTGCTTGTATAAACTTTCACTTACCTCTTCTTCAGACTCTTCACTAGATTCCCGATTGGCACTACCTGTATTTATTAGATCCGCAGTAACCTCTTTGTTTCTGTTAATGCCGAGAAACAAATTGTGGTCTAGGTTAATATTATATTGAGCCATCCTTAAACCCGTACAAACTTATGTCATATTTAAAAACGGTAATTTTTTACGTTTTCTTAGTATAAAATGTAAGATTTTTTTAAATGAAAATATAAACATCTCCGATTATTTTCACTTCATAATTATTAATTAGGTTATGTTTCTGTATCGATTGAAAATATTTGTTAGTGAAAAACGACTTAATCATTAAAGAAAAACTAATTAGGTACCATAAAATTCAACGATGTGAGATGTGATAAAATAATTAAGCATTAAATATTTACCACAATAATTCGAAAAATATATACGATACGAGTAAAGAATTGAATATTAACGTTTAGCTTTGGAAAAAAAAAATAGATAACCTCTGACATTTGGCAACAACGATTGTTTTATCACTTGAGGTGCTTTCTTTAATTTCTGAATTAGATTCACTTGCATGTTCCATTTTAAGATTAAATAAAACGTAAGTAAGTACTGACTGAATGAAACTGTGATGGCAAATATAACTATAACCATTAATCAAAGAGACAGTTCAGTTTCCCGCCAAATTTATATATTTTTTTACAAATTAAAAAGTCTTAAGCTTACGCAAGTTATAATTAATAATTATTAAATATTTTATTTTTAGTTGAATTATAATATTATTTAATGTAAATATTGTCTATTACTATCGTTTATATTTAATATTATTTTATAATTTACTGTTTAAAATATTTTTATTTTCGGTATGCTTCTGATTTAAAACTTTTGTAAAAAACATTAACTTTTATTTTTTATTTTGTAAATATCATTGGTAATAATAAGCTATATTTCGTAACATCAGCAGAAAGGTGGCGTGCCACTAAGTGTTCGATTGACCAAATAATGTAAATAAAACATTATATTTTCTATAAATTATAGCTTTTTATAATTGATTTTAATGAAATTTAAAATTTAATATATTTTAATCAATTTTTATATATTGTAACAGTTTGTATTTGTTTATGTATTTCTAATAATTATATTTGTATTTATGTTTAGTACGTCTCAGAAGTGTAACAATTCCACTTCACGCCGATATTCTGTGAGGATGTGGTACTTCCTCGAATGGACCTGCCCATTCGTGCAATAGTGTAGGCTGTTGCGTGGCCCTGTCACAGTACCTATAAATGAACTATGAAAAATATAAAAAAATATGAGGAAAATGTTAAATAAAAATAACCAATATCAAATAACTTTTATTGCGTTTTATTTTTAAAAGTAAACTATACTTTATTTACATTTAATAATTAATATTGATTGATTTCATAGAACAGATTGAAAATTCAAGTAAATAAAATTATTTTTAACTTCAGTTTTTATTAGGTTAAACGTACATTTCAAAATTGCGTTAACTACTAAGAAATTGATGAATATTTGTACTGGATTGCGGAGCCAGCCTTTAATAATAAAAGCATGAATAAGAATACACGCGAAGTGCTAAAACCACAACTTTTAGGTAAGTATATCGACTTTTGCGTTTGTAAAATTCACAAAGCATTTTAATAACACCGGAGTAAATATTAAACCGGTGTACTTGTTAATAAATAATGATATCACATGAGTAGGTATTTCTAAATACAAAATACAGGCGGGCTAAAAGCTTTTAATGTTCCACATTAATACGTTTAAAAGTTAAGATTATTTCAAAGTTTATAATATTGTAATTTGTTATAAAAACTGAAAATGGATGAAAAAAATTAAGAAAAGTATAACTTATAATACTTACGCTTTATTTAAGTAAATACTTTTTTAAATAGAATAAAGCTCCAAATCATAAATATCAAATAATCCAACTAATGCAGATCATAAGTGTTTCAACCTTGTGCTTTAGCGCTCCACTTGAGAATCACGTATGTAAGCATTCGGAGACTATAGTCTACATAGAGACTAGACTATATAGAGACTAGACTATATAGAGACTAGACTATATAGAGACTAGACTATACAGAGACTAGACTATATAGAGATTAGACTATATAGAGACTAGACTATATAGAGACTAGACTATATAGAGATTAGACTATATAGAGACTAGACTATATAGAGACTAGACTACATAGAGATTAGACTATATAGAGACTAGACTATATAGGGACTAGACTATATAGAAACTAGACTATATAGAGACTAGGCTTGTAGAGATTAGACTATACGATTAGGGGGTCCCTGTCTTCGGGCGCGTCTTGGCGGTTGTTGACGCGTATGTGTCGGCACGCGTGGCCCACGGCGTCCATGGCGGGCGCGACGGTCGCCGCCATGCACGACTGCACCAAGCTGCGGAGCGACGCGAAGTACACCTTCACGCATCTGAGGCACGGCGTGGAGCACCATATTTGCTGCAAGAGAATATTCCTGGTCAACTAAAACTGCAAACAAACAAAAACTAAGATCTGGGCAGCAATAATACTTTGTTATTATTCTAAAAAATATAATAGTGCGTGGAGACGCTCCGCGCGGAAGAAGTGAAACTTCGAGTGCGACGCATTCACTCTCGATCTGTCTCTTTCTATTCTCCCTCCACAGGAGCGTTGAACGTTTAACGCAGCCTTGTTGGAAGCCGCATTAGAAGTTTCACTTCAAGAATAGATTGCTGCCTCCTTTCAGTGAGAGCCGCCGTGGAATACCTCGAAGGCGAGGCACGCGAAGCCGCAGCCGAGCAGCAGGGCGCAGGGCGGAGCTGCCACCACCGCCAGAAGGGTGTAGCAGGCGTCCCTGGCGTGTCTGAAGCACACGTGGCTCAGCCGCCAGGCGCACTCGGGGCTGCGAGCACCCAGCGGCTCCCCCACCACGTCGTCCCAAACTATCTGTGTGGTGACACTACTTTTAGGGTTTCTAGTTGGGGAGTGGACATATCACCGTGTGCGCTGCCATTTTAAAAGAAAAAAGTTTGAAGACTGAAGTAAATTTATTTCTTTAGCCCCATCTATATGTAATCTGTATCTACATCTGTATGCATTTACAATTTTATTCACTTTAAACGTAGAATATTTGTATTGAACAAAATATTAATTTCAAGAACGAAATGAAATTATGAAATAATCGAAAAACACCGTTCGTGTAACATCATACTTTTCGTAACGCCGATCACACTTTTCGTAACGGTCTCGCCACGTTTTACCAGCCTACTCCCCAAGTCAAGCGTGCGTTAAGAAGTTTTACTTAAAAGCAAACACCGACAAAGTGCCAAGTGAATTATAAACGACAGGAATTTAAAAAAATCACATAGAAACAAAAAACATAAATAAATTAAGATTTTTTTTATATCTCACCAATACAAGATACCTGGCTGGTGTACCTTAAAAGCAAGCCTGTTTTTTAACGTTATCTTTTACACTGTACTTTACTTTGTTAGATACCATTTTATTTATGGAAAAAGAGGCAAACGAGCTAGCGGGTACCTGATTTTTCGTTCAAATAACAAAAAATTACATAACTATAAATAGTGTTACATTTAGTTGCTTTCACGACCTACCACTGTGCCAGAGCTGTAGAAGTTGGAACATTGTATGATTTACATTTTGAAACATGCTAATGCAGCACAGATTGAAAGATAAAAGCACGGGTCAAACTTTCAATTTGGCCGGGCTAGGAACGCGCGGCGGCTTTCGTCACGCGAACGGCTTTGTTATTTGCGTTTGCTTGCGTGATCGTCACTTCGCACGTTTTTAAAGGGTATTGTATATGCTGGAGTAATTAAATTCACCGTAGTGAGACTTTGCTTTTGATTTATTACCTCGTAAAGGTAAAGTAAATAAGGGGTAAAGCACTCTGCAAATAATATCATAATGGATGGCAAACAATAGAATCCAGAACAGATGGCTATGTTTCTACATGGAAAAAGTACACGAAAGGTAATCCAAAAGAATTATTAATGCAATTTTGAAGAATCTCGAACATTGATGCCTTCTAATATTATTCATGACTAGCTGTGCCCGCGACTTCATCCGCGTGGAATTTAAAATAAAAAAAAATCTAAAATAAAACTAGCCTAAGTCCCGTCAAAATCGGTCCAGCGTTTCAGAGATTAGCCAGAACAAACAGACAGACAAAAACTGTAAAAAATGTTATTTTGGTACATGTACGGTGTATACATCCATATGTATTTAGTAAAAAGCGGTTATTTTAATATTACACACAGACAATCCCATTTTATTTATCTGTATAGATATGGAAGCATTCGAGTAGTTGGAACTCTAAACCGGGTTAATTTTACTGAGAAACAACAATATACTAATTCTCAAAAAAAATAGAGAGGAAACATAGCGTGGATAAAGAAATGCTACGATGGTGATGAAAAATTCGGATTACAATTTAAAAGTACAAAAACTGTTATCGGATGTAAGCACCTATAATAAGGTCAAAACACACAAACCAAACGTTGTACGCCGCCCTATTGTAGGCCAGATTGACTCTCATCAGATTAGCTCCACATGTAGTAAAAGTTCTCTCACCGCTAAAGGACACACAAGGGCGTACACAAAGAATTGATTTTATTAATACACAAAGGACGTCTGAATGTCACAGTAGCCTGAGCTAACTATTACATTTAGACGGCCATCGCCACAGTCAGGCCCGTGACCATGAACGCTGGAAAGGGTTCAAAATATCGAGAACTAAAATTAAAAATAAACGTGACAAATCCGTAAAAATAGTTTCATTTACTTTTAGAACATTCAGTGGCGGAGTTCCCCTAGGGCCCAATAGGCCCGGTCCTAGGGCGGCAACATATTAGGGGCGGCCAATCGTGACAAACAATTCACTGATGATGACAAGATATACTTAGGGCGGCCAAGACTATAAATCCGCCACTGAGAGAGAACATTTTCATCTATAGTTTTTAAAATAATCCCTTAAAAGCCCGTACGCTGTCAAAAAAGTTAGTAGTTATTATTTTTTATGTAACAAAGTGGGCAATCGAGTAAGCGAGTAAGCTGTCTATGGCATTACCGTACTTTTCTTGGTCATTCAGCGGATCGGTATAGATGCATACGCGATCCCAACCTTTAAGATTATGGGTATCATTTACCTCACTCATAACAATAAACGCAATAGTATTTTTTATTAAGTATTTAATTCGGTATTATTAAGAAGAAAGTAGCTTCCACTATTCCATTATCGAACAATTCTCTATGGTTCGCTTAATACTTGTCCCACGAGGGAAATGAACCCACGACTGCCGGTGGCAGCTTAGCAATTGTGCCGCTGTAAATGCAACTAAATCAAAATCATAATCAAAAATATATTTATTCATATAGACGCATGCGCGTTCTTATGAAACGTCAATATTTTACATAAAAATTAATACGTTCGTAAGTAAGCTAGCATCGCGAATGTAAAAAAGAACCGCCGAAAGTGCCGCGAAATAAAAGAAATTTTCGAAAATTAAATGCAGTAAGTATGTTGTTTCATTTAATCTGTGTAGTAAATATCGGAACATATAACAAGCCTTGATAATCGCTTCGAAATATTTAACGACGTAAAGAAAAAAATGGCATTATATCTATTGACGAATTGTCTGTATGTAGAAATGCTCAAACGTAAAACTATAATAGTGATAACATATTTTCCGCGATTTCAACGATTCTCAAAAGGAACAATGTTGATTACACATGCAATTCGTAACTCTCCCGCGGGGAAAATATGTTCAACACGAAGGTGTGTACAGTAATAAACCCTCAAACAGTTAACGGTCAAGTACAGTAATAAACACTCCAACAGTTAACCGTCAACTCAAATAGTTGACCATTGGTCGAAGATTTTTTAAACGTCGACACGAACGCGAGTTTTTCGTTAACCTAAAGCAGCGATGGTTACTTCAAGACGGCCCACCTGGACATGCTGGTTCAGGCCGTTGGGGTCCCTGTCCTCCAGGGCCTCGCGGGTCGCGCTGTCCCGTTTGCCCTCCATCTTCCGCGGCGGCGAGACCACGATCCTCGGCGTCTGGCGCACCAGCGCGGCCGGCGCCGACGCCTCCCGCACCGTTGGCAGCAGGCTACAGCGGTACACGTAGGCCGGGTAGCTCCGCGGCGGGTAGCGGGGTGGACTGGAGACGTCCGCCCCAGTCGCCTCCACCGCCAGCGTTGACAGGCGAGGCGTTGCTTATATTCTTTTTGGAACTCAATTTTTTTACGACCATGCAAATTACGATTGGTATCACGAGATAGTTCCGTTGTTCTAAGTAATTGTGTATTGATTTTATATCTAACCAGATGCGGCAGTGAGTGAGAAAATGCTATAAGTTAGTGGCGATCATATTTTAAGTTTCATTTAAAATTTTCTACTCATAGTCGTTTAATTAACTTCTATCGATGTAGTTTTCGAATTCTTTGCGAACGAAATATTGCGGCTTGCTGGAGCACTGACGCTTTATAGGCACACAACTTAACTGAAAGAATACTTCCCTCCAAAACGTCGTAAGCCTTTTTCATTATAATACTGCTCTTTTTGCGCATGCCCGCGTCCTGATCCATGGACGCTTGTTCAAAGGCTCGTTGCAGTAGTACTGAACTTTAGCAGCAATGTATACTGAAGTACAGTAGTAACAAATGTATTTTTTTTATTATTTTATCACGTGCAGGCCGTTGACCTGCCGTTTCCTTCCGTTAATGCAGGTGATTTGAAGTCTCTCTTTAGCTATTACTTACCCTATTTCAGGATGTTAGGAAACGCCTGTTGGTTCCGGACGCCAAGAGAGGCGTGGTGGAGTTTCATTCACGGCAATCAGTTATTATTTATTTCTACGTTGACCGATTAGTGGTAGGTACCCGATAATTATGTTTGTGTGTCATAAAGATATTAATGAGCAAATAATTTTGCGGGGAATAGATATAAATGAGCATAAAATAATGAGATCACCTCTGTACATGACTAGATTCAATTAGTTAGCATTTCGCCATAAAAATCCTTAAAGCTTTTGCATACTTCATTCCAGGTAACGAACAAAGAGAAATACAAATATTTAAAAAACACGCTCAGTAAGAACTGAAAGGCAAATAACCACAAGCGTCATGAAGGTAAAGAGTTTATTCCTAAAATAAAGAGAGACAATTAAATTTTATTTCTATAAATTTCTACCTGATTTTATTAGTTTAATATTCAAATACTTTCACTCATATATTAAGGTAATAAAAAGGTAAAGTAATAACCTATACATGTCCCACTGTAGGGCATAGGCCTCCTCTGTTCAGAGGGTATCAGGGCATAATCCATCACGCGGCCCCAATGCGGATTGGCGGACTTCACATATGTTCGAAACATTTTTTTTTATTATTTCGAAAATATACCAAACCTCACGATGTTTTCCTTCATCGCCGAGCATGTGATAAGTCAACTTAAAATTAAAAACTTCATTGGTGCCGGCACCCGGGATCGAACTCAGGTTGCTCGAGTACATTGAGTTTGAAGCGAGCGCCCGTTAACTGAGTGACGCTCAGTTAACGGGGTTCCAATAAAAATAAATCTAACTCATTATAAAGTTAAATTGACTGGTCGCATCCGCAAATTTAAGAATAAACGTATCTTACTAATTTTTGTTTTTGTCGTGAATAAGGAACAATGATTTAAAAAAGAAATGACGGAAATGACGCGTATCCGTTTCCTCCTTGAATAATTTTAATAAAGTTAAATAATACGCAATGTTTTAAGAAATATAAATGTTTAATGTTTCATTTTACAAAAATCTTAGACCTTTATATACATTAATCGATAACTAAAGTTTTTATACACACACATTCATTCATTAAGTACATATAGTGGTTAAGATAAAACTATATTTTAATTCAAAAAAATTGTTGTGCTAAAGTATATTTTTACTATAATTTATCGCAAACATTCTGATAGACACACTTTTATAAACGATTGAGCGATAAAATTACACAAGTAAAACTATTTAATCAATAAAATATACAGGCATATATGTATTGCACCTTCGAATTATTGAATAAAAATGGATATGTACATAAATATCTTTAGTTGTGACTTGAATAGAAATAAGCAATAATTTAAAAAAGTTTTAACACATTTTATTAATAGAAAAAAAATACAATGAAAGTGAATTATATGTAGTATTCAAACCTTTTTAAAAAAAAGACTATTTTGTATATTTTTTCGGTAGAGGCTTTATAACTACAAAAGATCCCCTGTACTGTTGATTGCAGGTTTAAACTATATCGTAATATACTGTAACCCATTTGAAAAGTAAATAGGATCGAAAAGCAATCGATCAAAGTCCGTCATTGGGTCAACACCGCTGACCTAGTTCGGACTGTAGGTAGCCATTTATGTTACCATCAGCCCTGCCGCGGTCATAATCGATTACTCAGAGCTCCATTACAATAATTTTCTGTCGTGTTATACATGTCACGTCCACACAATGGGTGTTTGTTTATACGAGTACTATTTTGCATCATATTAATATCAAAATTCAAACTTGTTGATTTTAAGAGTTATTTAAATAATATATAATAAACGTGATTAGCGCCATTTGTAAATAATCCATAAATAAGTACTATAAATACTAAATTATTTAAAGAATAAATTTGTTTATTCAAATAATGATTTAAGTACGCGTTAAAACTATCTGTGTATATAGAATTACATCGTTTAAAACTAATTACAAATTTAGCACCTCTGATAAGTTAGTATAGATACAGTTATGAACTATAATTATATTAAAGCTCCAACAATCGCTTACTTGGAAGACGACATCTATTGCAAGTTTATGTAATTATAACACTATATATGAAGTAGGTAGATGTTATAAACTTACAGAATAGTAACCAGATAATAAGGATTATAATGTATATTGCCGTAAGACTAATTAAGATATACTAATTATAGGGATAACATGTTATTAGATCAGTTAAAACTTAGTGATAATTCTTAAAAAGTCATGTTGGTATTTTTTAAGCCTTTAAATAGTCTATAAAATACAATAAATTCTTTAATTAATAACATCTGTCATCCATTGCGTCCTAGAAAGTCCTATGTATGGAAATTTTCTAAGGCTCCTGTAAACGAATGCGTCAATTAAGTGTTCAAATAAATAGTAATTTCAAAATATTCTCGTGTAATTTTTATAATTGCTACGCTGCATTTTAAATAACTTTTTGCAGCGCGTGCGGTTGATGCGTCCAGGTCGGTGGTCGGTCAGCGAATGGCGAGCGAGGAGCGGGTCGGCCCCGCCGGCCGCAGGGTGGGGACGATCGCCGGCTCCTCGGCGTCCGCGTTGCAATCGCTGCCGGCGTAATTTACAGGAGTAAGCGAGCGAACGGTTGAGGGTAGTTGGCTGTGGGTTTACATGGGCGATCTTTCAATGTGGCCATGGGTTTAGGTGGGTTTTTTTAATATTTGAAAGTAGCAAACGAACTGGAGGTTCCCTTGACGTTAAGTGACCGCCGCCCATGGACATTTGCAAAACCCGTAGGGTTGCAGATGCGTTGCCACCTTTCGAAAGTGGGCCCCGGCTACCTCACTCACCAGACGATACGCAGATGTGTAATATTTGTACTTCAAACCGGTCTTCTGTGGGTCGTGGTTACTAACCCGGACGGACCTGCTCATTCGTGCAACAGCGAACAGTGTTGCGCGGTCCTACCAGTTAACAGTAGTTAAGCGAGCTTAAGAGCTATGCAAATAAAACTCAAATTAGAAACAACTTCGAATATTGTATGAATTCTGTGACAAGGCCACGCAACTGATTACTTATGTTTGAGAAGTAGTAGTTGGTGGCGTGAAGTGGAAGTAAGACTTCTGCTTTTCGTCTGGTGAGTGAGGTAACCGGGGCCCTCTTTTTGTCGGTGTATCTGCAAGCCTTACGGTGTTGTAGATGTCCGTCGGCTGCAATATTTACTAAACTTCAAGTGAACCGCCTGCTCAGTTGACAATTTTACATAAAAAAAATATATTTTTATTTGTGATTTTATTGTAAATTTGACGTTGAGTAGTAGTCCTCAAGTTTTTTTATTTTTATTTTTAAATAATTTTCAGTTTTAATTTAAATTCATTACGTATATTTAATATACGTTGAGCTACAACAATCAGTAGGTATATTGAAGCACAGACATCGGAGAAAAACAATAGGTATTCTATATTTGGATTTTTTCGGCGATTTCAATAACAGAAGAACATAGAAGCTGTCTAAAGCACTCACCTCTTGACCCGTCGAATGCAGTTAGTGGTTATAAAGGCACTACAACTCGATACCACATCACCACCTTGGGAACACAGGATTACAAAGTTTACTTTACTCGCTAAGTTATCGTCTAATTTACCTAAGACTAAGTTAAGTGCAAGCGGTAGGTTTTCGTGCATTTAGTGGCTAGATTATGGTAAAGCTTATAGGTATATAATATTTCTTATTGATAGGATCGGTCGTAGATTTATATGCAGTGGATAGAGGAAGGATTGTTTGGGGAAAGATTGAAAGAACCGAGTGATAATACTATTTTGCAGTAACAGAAACAGATATTTTTGTTGCAGCGTAAGCTGTCATTTATTTGCAAGTTTGGCCTACGCTTTCTTCGGATCCAATGAGGCCGACTATGTTGTGATAAAATAGGTACTATGTGCTAGGCAATGAAGTCGAATGACTACAAAAACTTTGGAAATATGTCGTTTTTATTAGCTGCAAATTGCAAATTACAAAATAATAATATCAGAACAGGGGAATCCTTGGGTGTGTGTGATGATAGGTATGGGGGAAAGAGAGGGCGGTTAGTTGGTCGCACCTGACGCGCACCGCTCGCATCGACAGCTCGCTGCCGGAGGAGGAGGGAGAGCCGGGCGTGGGCACTAGTCTCGGCGCCCTGGGCGTGCGCGGGGAGCGGCCCCGCGCGAACTCCAGCCGGTAGTTGTCGGAGCGGGGGCTGCCGCTGAACGCCTCCGCCTCAGCTCCTGCATTACAAATCGAATCATTAATTAAACGAGCATGAACATATTGACATGGTACTCAAAATACTCGAATTATAAGACCTGTTCAAGTGTTTTTTTGTAAGAACGGGGCTATCAAGTTAGCGGTTCCCTGATGTTTAGTGATAACCACCGGCCATGGATATCTGCAACACCAGAAGGGTTGCAAATGCGATGCCCCCTTTTAACAAAGTGGGCACCAGTTTGTGGGCACCATAGATGTTTCCACCACACTCACTCGCCAGACCAAACGCAGAAGTGTGCCACTTCCACTTCTCGCGGGTTTTCTGTGAGGTCGTGGTACTATTATATATTCTTTCTGCGATAAGTCAATCCTATTCTTTTACGAACCAATTGTACATAATGTTGTGTAGTTGTATAGTTAAGGCCCATTTACACGGTGCCAGTTTCTTGCCTGTTGTATACAATTAAATTGAAGCAATAAATAAGTTGCATGGTCTAAACAACAAATGGTCTAACCAATTATTGCGCGCAATTTATTGCATTCAATTATTGCTCTTGCATGTACAAGAAAATGGCATCGTGTAAATAGGCCTTTACTCAATGACACAACTTGCGTTCAAACGGGATGTAGCATTTGCAAGTATGAATATAACTATAGTATAACTGTCAGAATTATAATACGAACAAATTTACACAGACTGAAAGTAGGCCGTTCTCTATTGGGAGCCTTTTCTCTATTGACAATATGTTTGTATGCAGTACAACAAAGGAGTGGCCTTGAGGTCAATGAATGGCATTCATTGTAATTCAACTGAGGCCGTTGCATGCGCCTCGCATTTAATCAAGTTAGTGCCTGCGAGGTTAAAAGTATGTAGAGCACCGTTAACTACTTTGAGCTAGCTTGAAACGTTCCATACAATGTCAGAATAGAATAAAAAGTTATCGTTCTTAATGTTTCTAAACTATTCAGAATATCAGAATAAACTAAAGAGCTTAATTATTTACATTGGTACGACGTTGAATACATATATTATACATGTCCATATATACAGCGTGTCGTTACTACGCGTCAATAAATGAACACACGTCTAACGCTACTTGCCAATAATCATAAAAAAATATTAACGTTAAACAAAATCCATAATTAAAAAAATATATTTTTCAAACAAACTAATTAAGTAAAAAAGAAACAAAATTTGTAGCATCCTATACAACTCGCGCCACAGCGTCGCATTACAAGCCTCTCCTTCTAACAGTAAGTTTTGTCTCTTTTAAATTCATTCAACCCATTCATATGCTTTGTGACCTTTACAAATGAACTTTACGTTACGCTTTTATAGGTAAGGGTGTTCTAAAATTCTTTGTTTTGGAAAATTTAATAACTCTGTTGTCTTAAAAATATTGATGTTTAAAGAATTTAAATGTTTGATACAACTTTAAAAAGTTATCCCCTATATGTGTGTTCACTTATTGTCGCGATGGTAACGACACGCTGTATAATTTCTATGTCTATATTTGCCTACAAATATTGACTTCAGAGGAAATTTATTTATTTCTTATATTTACTTGTTGTTTTAGCACATGCCATCTACTTTTTACCATAACAAGGGTTGACTGAAAGAGAATGCTACCAGGCAAAATAAGTCCACCCATTGTAGCCTTTGCCTAAGGTGTATCAATGAAGTTTAAATAAATAAATAAATGTTTACTCTTTTGGATGCGGCAAAACAGGTGTGTAAACAGGTCCGTCCGGGAAAGTACCACAACCTCACAGAAGATCGGCGTGAAGTGGAACTGTTATTCTGCGTTTTTTCTGGTGAGGTAAGGTAACCGGGGCCCACTTTATTAAAGGGTGGCATCGCATCTGCAACCCTATGGGTGTTGCAGATGGCCATGGGTTGCAGTTATCACTGATAATCAGGTGCATCGCCATCTCGCTTGCCATCTTTTTACATATTTTTCTTATGTGAATAGTGGTCAAGCGAGTAGGTGGCTCACCCGATGCCAAGTGATTACTGCCACCCTTAGACATCTACAACTCCCGAGGTATAGCAGATGGGGCCGCGTAGTGGACTATGCCCTGATACCCTCTGTATGGACGAGGCCTTTGCCCAGCAGTGGGACATGTATAGGCTGATACTTTAATTTACTTTTTACGAAGTGGTCTCGAGCTGCTGCAAGATGGCGAGGGAATCGTGGAAGGAGGAAGGGTTCATCTAAGGAAGGTATATAAAAAAGCTCGAAGGCTCACCGTGGGCGCGCGTGATGGTCGCGCAGGCGGGCGGGTGGGCGTGGGCGTGGGCGTGGGCGAGCGCGGGCGCGGCCGCCCAGTCGCGGTACACTCGCGCCGCCGGCCCCGTGCGCCACTCGGACAGCTCCACGCAGCGGATCTGCGGCCAAAACGCGCACGGCTCCCATCAACTTTTTAGCGGTAACCCATAAAAAAGTCAACTTTAAAGTTGAAGGTCGTAGCCTCGATTCCCACGCGGTACAACTATTTGTGTGACACACAGATAGTTCTTACGGGTCTGGGTGTTTGTGTACGTGAAATTTATGTTACTAAAATCAACAACACACAGATAATGTTATCCTAAAGCAATAGCAAAGTTTTATTTTACAGAAAATGAAAATGAATGAAAAAGAAATTATCTTACAAACTTCGTGTGAGTAAAGAAAATCTAGAAATATTGTATTCACGTTCTTACGTTTTTTGTTAACTTGTACCTTGACTAAGTAAACAAAAAATACTCTTTCCACTGCACTAATCTCTGGTATAGACCGCTAGCCTGTCAGGCTTGTGAGGAGACTTACAGGTGTGGAACTCTTGCTGCGGGCGCTGCTATCGGATGAGGGGTTGCTGTGCTGACGTGGGCCCCGTGTTCTCTCCCCAGATGGCGACTCTCGACACGAACCGTCCGGCTCCTCTCTCCCCTGAAACCCAATGCCATTTGAAATCGCTGATACTTTTCCTATAAAAGTAATAGATGGCATAATTTAACGGAATTTCAGTTTTCAGCTTCCAAATTCTGCAGTGCATCAAAATAAGTTGATTTTTTAATCTCATGACATAAGAATGGCGAACAAACATTTTTATAATGAATCTTTAATACTTTATTCCTATTGTCAATTTTTTACGCCGTCTTTGAATAGTATAAATGCATGAATACTTACTCAAGGAATGGTATCTTTCACCTTTTGAAAAGATCTTTAATAAATAAATGCGCTAATTGGTATAGGAAGTAAACAAATATTGCCAGCTCATACTGAAGATGGAAACGATAACTTCATTATAACTCGTAGTTAAACAAGCAACCTCTAACTAGTTTTAATGAAACGTAAAAATAGCACAACGGAAATGATTAGAGCCCTCAGAGTTTTTTGAGCTAATGCCAAACCGTTGTTAAAACGCTGCGGTTCTATCTTATATCACGTGTAGCAAACTTTGTATCGTACACGCTATAATTAGCGTGTTAGATATAATGTTTCTTAATTATCGTTTTCGCAAGACGTATTTCATCGTTTAAGTGGCTATATGGTGAGGGTCATTGACTATTTTTTATATCGAATTTTAGGCGTATTCTAGAAGCATTTTGTTTCATATTCCCGATTTTTTATGCCATAAGATGGCAAGCGATCCAGCGGTTCACCTAATCTTAAGGGGTAACCGCCGCCCATGGACGTTTGCAACACTCGTAGGCTTGCTCCTACTGCTTGATGTTTAGTGATAAACACCGCCCATGGATATTTACAACACCAGTAGGATTGCAAATGGGTTGCCGCCTTTTAATAAAGTCGGATCCCGTTACCTCACTCACCAGTAGAAAGAATAACACTTCCACTTCACGCCGGTCTTCTGAGAGGTTATAGTAACTCCACGGACTCCATGGTATTTCAACATGTCTTATGACCGCGGTGTTAAGAGCATTGTTTACATTCATATATAAATTCTTGTAGGCAAACAATAATTTATAGTCAATACGAAATAGAGTTAATCTTAGCCCAGAAGACATTCTCTTCTAAAAAAATACGTCGATCGTTAAGGCTATTCCCAATGGAATTTCAATTAAATCAAACTAACGACATGTTATATGTTTTTGGTCAGTACCTCCATCTAACAAAAGACGGGCGTTAAGTAAAAATGTTTGTGCTTTTAATGTTTCGTTTGAAATCTTTAAAGGTACCAGACCGACATGGTACAGAGGATGTTGATAGGCGGCGGTAATCACTCACGATCAGAAGAAGGACTTGCATGTTTACCACCTTTTTTTTGGTATCGAGGGGGAATTATTCAAAAGAAGCCCCGTCATTTCTCACATGTCGGGGCTATGTGGGGTTTGTACCCACAAAAAGACCATCGGTGGCCTCCTTCTGTGCGTTTGGAGGGATTCCGAGATCTCCTACGGAACGCATCAGTGTCCCCCGGTACTGCTAATGAGCATGCCTCGGAAGAGGATAAACCTTCCCCGATTCCCTCACCATCTTGCCACAGCTGTGCTTAACTGTGGTAGGGCCACGCAGCAGCCTCGGCTGTTGCACGAATGGTCAGGCTCGTCCGGGTAAGAACCACAACCTCGCAGAAGACCGGCGTAAAGTGGAAGAATAACAAATACTTTCGAGTTTCGTCTGGTGAGTGAGGTAGCCGGAGTCCAATCTTGAAAAGGTTGTCAACGCATCTGTAATCCTCAGGTGTAGCAGGTGTCCATGGGCGGCGGTATTCACTTAACATCAGGTGAACCGCCCGCTCGCTTGCCAACCTTTCAATAAAAAATAAGCTCGAGATCACTTCGAGCTGCTGCCAATCTTTTAGTCGCCTTTTTCGACAGACAGGGGATACCTTAGCCCTATTCTATGAGCCCGGGAGGAGAGAATCTGTACCACCTTCACCCAAAAAGCTGTCTGACCTTGGAGTTGTTGGTGGGCAAGCTGGACGCACCGCTGCTGACGAGGCGCAACTGTTGTCTAATGTTGGCCTTCTCTCTCGCACGCTTGCGCTGGAATTCTTCTTCAACTCTGTAATCGTAAAGGGAGTTTGATAGTATTGTATGTAGAAGGCAGAGCAAATATGTGGGAGAAACAGATGAATGGAAAAGACTGTAAAAGTACTATTTATCTAATTTTTTCGCACTTTGTAATCTTTATACCATGTGAACTTTCAGTTGGAATGGTTTCAGTTCGAAATTCTGTTGGAGAGTTGGAGAAATTTTGGGAAAGAACAATAATACGGTAATTCTATCGGGTACGTTGTCAACCAACTACACTTTTCACGATTCAATTCAAATAATCAATTTAAATATGGCCAATCGCAAAAGCATAATAATCAGTTAATAGGGAAATACATCCCATAAGTAGTCTTCTTGTTTATCCTCTATTCGGAACAAGCCATGATATTATAACAGAACGTTACCTTAATATGGTTGGCGTCTAGAAATAAAAGATTAAATGACGAGATGGATGTAAAAGATAAAGTGAGGTATGTTGTTTTTGCTGTTGTCTCAACACATTCCCACATTATTCTCAATGGCATGCCTTAAGGTATGTGACAAGTCTTATCCTACCATCAGATTCTCTAGAAGCGACTTCACGTAGCAATCACGTCAAGTTGAGAATGCGGTTAGCCTTGATTGCTTTTTAAACCATTTTACTCGCTTTTCTTATATTACACGTAAAATGTTCAAAAATATATGACTGCGTGTACACAATCGAAACGTTTAAAGAATAACGTTACTTGAATAATTTTATTGAAATGCCGTTGCCCAAACAATTTAATATTTACCAGCGGTAGATCCATCAATGCACGAAGGCTCACTTTTAATTCAATACACTCGAGCAACCTGACTGCGATCCCCGGTGCAGGCACCAAAGAAACTGTTAATTTTTTGTGCTAACTTATCACTTGCTCAGCGGTGAAGGAAAATACCATGAGGAGATATTATTTCAAATATCATTTCGAAAATAATTAGTTATAACAAAAAAAAATATTTCAAAAACCTTCGTATGTTTCGCCAATCCGCAGTGGGGCCGCGCGGAGGCCTTTAGTAGCTTTGGAGGCTGTTGCATTAGTTTTACTTTTTACATTAAAATCCGGCGTTACCTCCTCATGGCCTCCAGTTCGGTTTTCCGCTGTTGCTCTTTCAGGTCGGCTTCCTTCGACAGCTTCTCGGCGAGACGCCGCCTCTCCAGCTGTCGCACAGTCGACTGGAAAGTGAACCGCTTGCCTCTGCCGTTCGTGCTGGTCTGGTTGCGCTGCAACGATTAAATTACGTGATATGTTGGCAAGCAAGTTGTTGGCTGATGTTAAGTGTTAACCGCCGCCCATTACCTTACACACTGCGTTACCACCTTATAACAGATTGGGCCCTGGCTACTTCACTCACCAGACGATACGCAGAAGTATGACGCTTCCACTTAACGCCGGTCTCCTGTGAGTTCGTGGTACAAATGTACTGACGTTATTTCCCGAACAGTCTAAATTGAAGTTGAACGCAAGACCTCGGCAATCGGAGAGGAACACGAGACGATCCAATTAATGTACAAAGTGTAGGGGGCAAAGCTTTGGGTTCATTCACTTTGGTTATTATTCAGATTGGCCGATCACCTCGCAAATTTTTTTACTTCTCTAACGAGCACATGGTAAATCATTGGTTGAAATTTTAATGAACAAAAACTCATTTGTACTTTACAAAATTTTGTAAAAACCTGAACAGTAAGGTAGGCTTTCTCACTAGGTAGTACAGAAGTTTTGATATTTGTTTTGTCGAATGAAATAGTAAATTGGTGATTGGACCCGTGCGACAAAATCGTAAAGGACGTTGCACATAGGATATGTTACGTAAGATTAAGTCTACTCGCCAGTTTATTAAAATGGGGGCCCCACTTCCGTTTGGCATCTACAGTGATGCCAAGGAATACTGTCAATAGGTATTCCCCGTAAATTTAATACATTTAGTTTTTTTACTATTCAACATTAAGTTGAGTTGTTTCGAATACACATTTTCGAAGTATTAAGTCTGAAATAACGGCAGACTCAATGCGGTTATCGGATCAAAAGACGAAATCAGAGCTACTTTCGGAACCATTAACGATCTATTCAGCGAAGCATTAGTGTCGTGCCGAATGTCCTATTACGCGGTGCCGTCAAAGCCTCGGTCGAGTCGCCTTTGTTGAAAACTTTGCTCGCAACACATTCAGAGCGTGGCAACCCGCGATGGCCGATAAAGCTCGCATAATAGCCACAGATGTGGCGCCAGCGTATTCAGATAAGCAATTAGACGTACTGAGCGCGAATATTCGTAACGTGCATTTTGAAACATATTTTATTTCGCCCGTAGTAAAAATTAATAAGCCGTGACGATCCAGCAAGCGGTGGAACAATGAGATGACATAACGACGTTACGATTTGGAAATTCGAGAGGTTATTTAATAATTAGTACGCGTATAACAATCGCGGAGAATGAAAAGTGTGGTATATGACGTAACAAGATTCACAGCACGGATGGAAGCGCGGTAAAATGTCTTAACGCATTAAAAATTGTATGATTGAGAAGACAATTCAATGTAACATTTGACTGTGTTAGGGCCACGCAACTGCTTCTGCGGCAGGCTTGTCCAATTATAATTTCGACTTTCGTCTGGTGAGTGGGGTAATTGGGGCGTACTTTTTAAAGGTTGTCAACGCATCTGCAAGCCCCTCGGGCACTGTGAATGTCCGTTGGCTATGGCATCCACTTAAGATCAGGCGGACTGCCTGGTCGCTTGACAACGTTTCACATAATAAATTATAATCTCTTCAAAATAGCAATCAATACTTTACTAATTATTTCATTGTGTACTTTTTCGGAAGCTAAATTGAATATTTAGTTTTTTTTCTTCGATTTGTCACGGCTTTTTGTACTTTCCATGTAACATGTAATCAGGAAATTCCTTACAAACAGACGAAAAGGAAGTCAGTAGTACTTACTACGAATATTAATAATACGTTTAACTAGAAACTAATTTAGTTTTTTCGTTGTTAAATGGTGCAGTCCGAATGCCGTTTTCACACATGGCGATGGAAATCTCGAGCGTCCTATTTACGTAATTAAACCGAAATAAGTATGCGTGCACAGTGTTTTCTAAATTCTCTTTCAATAAACAAAAAAAATATTTCTAACATATGTGAAGTCCGCCAAACCGCAGTGATGAATGCCCGAAAGTCTTCTATACTGGAGAACAGGAGGCCTTTGCCCAGCAGTGAGACATATATAGGCTGTTACTTTATTTTACTTTAAGAACGCCCACCGTAGATGACTTCATTGGTGCTTCTGAATTGAACATGCAATTAAGACAGCCCTAACAGTACCTAAGCAAAATCATATATTTTCGCAACATGATACATTCAAGGTGATATTTGAAAAGCACGGGTTATTAATAGTATAGGTTATCAGCGGTTCTGTAATTTTACGGTGATAGGGCCACGCAGCAGCGTCGGCTGTTGCACGAATGGGCAGGCTCGTCCGGGTAAGTACCAAGACTTCACAGAAGACCGGCGTAAATTGGAAGTATAATACTTTCGCGTTTCGTCTGGTGAGTGAGGTGGCCGGAGCCCAATTTCCAAAAAGATTGTTAACGCATCTGCACCCCTCGGGTGTAGCAGATGTCCATGGGCGGCGGTATTCACTTAACATCAGGTGAACCGTCTGCGAGCTTTACAACTTTTCACATAAAAAAAATTCTTGGTCCATTGCGGCCTCCGTATGGTAGTTTGATATGTTCAGGTATAACGAAGGGAAATGATGCTGTACTTCGTAGCAGGTTATTAAATGTGGCAAACAAATAAATGTGCACAATTTACTTGGGGGAGTTCACGATTATGCCGACGTTGTGACGATGCAAATAAGTCACAAATTTCATTGGGAGAAGATAGCCCTATTTCTAGCGAGCCAATCGTCAGCACGGATTTTGTACAAAGCGGACGAAATACATTGTCTCGTCTCAACCAACTACGGCCGTCTTACCACTAGCTATTCGTATATTATAGCTATTCGTATATTATGTATTAATTATTGGGCACGCGAATTGTATCGCCGGCTGTTTGTTTGTAGGACAATGCAGGGATTACTACTTAAGGCCGTGCGCGTTCCGACCGAATTCGTCCATACCGAACCTTTGTTCGCCGTACAAGCAAGGGCGGATCCAGGGGGGGGGGGGGTCATGGGGGTCATGACCCCCCCCCCTGGGATGGGTCCAGGACCTAGGGGGACCACTAATTAAAATTGTTAAACATAATATTTTTATATTTTTTTGCCACAATATACATTTTATACAACTACCTTCTATATTTAAGTAATTAATATTCAATTAATAAGTATAATATTTTAACCGACTTCAAAAGGAGGAGTATCTCAATTCGATTGTTATATTTTTTTTCGATGTATGTACACCGATTACGTTGAGATTTATGATCCGATTTACGTGATTCTTCTTTAGTTTGATGCAGAATAGTTGCCATTATGTTATGAACATTTTACAATATTTTAATGTTTGTCATCAAATCTTGCAAATTAAATTTGATTCTACATCCCGGTTACCGGTTGAGCTGAAGTTTGTATGTGTTTGTGTAAATCGCGAGACAATGCAATATTTTTATGACATGGTGCTGATCTGATGATGGAGCTGGAAGGTGGCCAAAGAAACTTCGCAATGAAACGACAGAGCCTCATTGCGTTTGGGTACATTTGAACTGTATTGACGAGTAGTTTGTCTTTCATTGGTAACCAGGATCTGACGATGGAGCTCCATCTTCAGCCGTCCATGGACATATGCATAGGGTTGCAGATGCGTTTTCTCCTTATAATATAGTGGGCTCCGGCTACCTCACTCACGAGACAAAACGCGGAAGTACTTTACGCCGATCTTTTGTGTGGTCTATGAGGCTATTCTATGATGTTCTTATGATCGCTCTGTAATGAAACGGCTCAACCCCATCGAGTTTCGGCTCGTTTGATTCGTCTTCGAGTTCTTTGGTGCTAGATGGTAACCAGGGTCTAATGACAGAGCTGGAATGTGGCCATCGAAACTCACTAATTAAGGAACACAACTGCTTCGAGTTTGATTCGTCTTAATGGGTGGACCGTTTTGGATTTGGTGGTGAGAGGTGGTTGTTTAATGGACGTGAGTATGCGATCCCATTTTTGGGAAATAAAGTTTGTTCGTACCATTTGTTATGAATGTGGATTCTGTCTTTGATTAGAGGGATGAGCGCTAAATATTATGAATGAATGAATGACTGAATGACTGAATATTTTTTTTTTGTTATTTATGAACATTTTTTTAACGTGGACGATGTAATTTTAGTTTGTATACTGGCTATTTTAGGAGTTTTCATTTGGGTTGATTATTAACCCGTGTCCCGATAGTCCCGTCTTATGCTACTTGTCATTGAAGTCATTGTGGAGCCAGCGTGCGGAGTAGAGGAATTGAAATAAATTATAACCAATACGGCTATACAAAACCTGATAACGAAGAAATAAATATAAAGAAATCTCAAAAATAATTAAGCCTACCAATAGCTGCTTATTATACAGGGCGGCTTTTCTAAGTGGATCCATTCAAAAGTATAAAACGCATTTATGTTGTGTTTTTAGGGAATAGAATACCATTTAAAAAAAAACAGTTTGTTTTAATTTTTATAAACGATTTTACACCTCCTGTGTGAATTTGGGCACCTTTATAAAATCCAATCCATCCATTATACAGGATAATATATGATAATAAAAAGCAACGAAATGTGAATTTTGCAAATCCGTCTATATATGACGAAGTTATGCCCGAACATACATAAAAAAATAAACATCCGAATTGATAACCTCCTTCTTATTGAAGTCGGTTAAAAATACTTATTTTTTACTTGTGTCTATGATTATAAAAATTAAATTATAACTTCTTATCACTTGACCACGACTACGTGACCCCCCCCCCCCCCCCCCCCCCCCCTGGCACCAAAGCTGGATCCGCCCTTGCGTACAAGTCACTGATTTAACAGAGCTATTTGTAATGGGTTACGAGGTGTGAAGTTACTCTGCACTTGTTAGTAGCATTTGAATCATAATTTTGACGCGGTTTCATCGTAACGAAGCAAGCGAATTGTATGCCTTGGGACAGATTGAGATTTTTTGATCACAATTTTGAACTTGTTTTAATCGGCTACACTCCAATAATTTCCAATTAAATCGATAACATGAATTTGTTGATGCTTTCGAACACCG